CGAGGATTGTATCCCAGAAGATCCTTGATTTGGGAGGTTGAAATTGCATGTACCTTTCGTACGTGGTCCTTTGTGGCTGGGAACGAGTGGAACACGGCATCTGCACAGGTGCAATCCTCTCGACTCAAGGCACATTGGCGTTGCGCTCCGAGCTCCATATGGGTCGCTCTAGGGTAGTTCTGCATCTCGGCATTGGTCCTGTAGATCCCGGTTTGGCCTTCATATTTAGCACGTGCCCGGGGAATATACTCGTATTGTCTTTGGACGTGGATGGCCAGCTACTTCTTGTTCGCGAATGACCACGAGCAACCAGCACGCTCACGGTGTACACGACCGAGCGAACAATCCTTTGCACTAGATCAAATAGTCATATGCTGGATTACCTCAAGATTCGACCTTGCTTTGTAGCCGACATGGTGGTCTAAAGAGCCACATTTCGGACAGGTGTATGTGGTGCCGGTTGCGGAGTCTTGACTGCCACTCTCCGGGCTCGGCAAACCTCGCGATGATTTGGTCTTGTTGGTTGTAAGGTTGATTTTAGAGAACATGGATACAAATGTGTCGTGATTAATCCCCTCAATGAAATCGAGGGTCGGCTCGGTTGCATCGTTCACGGGTGCCAGGTCAGTTATGTTATTACGAAGAGGGGCCGTTCCTGTAAACAGGTCCTTCTTGAGGTCACCGAGACTCCGTCTCACGGTTAGTCGCGACGTTCTATCGGCCCTGGCTTCGAGCTCCATTGAGTTGGAATCTGCATATTGACGATATAGATTTGAGGAGACATACTTTTATGGGCAACCGGGATGACGAGATACATAGCTTGAATCTAATTTAAAAAAAGAAAAAAAAAAAAAAAAAAAAAAAAAAAAACCAGGAATGAAGAGAAAGCGAGATAGAAGAGGAGGGGGGTAGCTCGGATTCTCCTTTAAGTGACGCGATTTACTATCTAGGTGGTGAATTGGTTATTCTAACTTTCCTACTTAACTCCGGAGTGGCTGGATATAGGTGACTATCATCCTGGCCAGAGGTGAATTCGGGTTGTTAATTCACTTTACCTGATAGTATCCTATCTTGATTGTGGGCGGCAGAGTCTATTCATCTTGCCCTCTACTCCGTATGCTTTACGTAGCAATGTAGCTGACCGTTTGATCATTGACAATGAGAAAGCGGAGCTTTGTATACATGTAGATTAGGAGTATCCGATATTTATTAAGATGTCGTCTTCAGTGGGGAGATGGGTTTTATGGGGTAGTTAGTCGTGTGAATTTGGAGTAGAATATTGAATGGTGTGCTCCAAACGCCAGGCGAGATAGGGCTCAAAGCGCCATGCAATGGGAACAACAAGGACACTTTTGTCCGTCCCTACAGGAACATTGACCGAGCTCTGAGCTTCTCGATCCCCATGACTACCGCTATCGTTATTGGTTCTGGATGTAAGCGCAAGTTGATTGCGACATTAATTCTGGCGCGCGAAGTAGGATGTTCGTGCCCAGAGGACATCGTAGAGCGTTTTGATGCCTCAGGCGCAAAGGCCAAGCCTTCATGTAGATAACACCATATCTACTCTCTCGCTTTCTTACGTCCGTGAATTCAAATAAATCGATGAAGATACCATGGGCTTTCAGTTCGGAGATCTGGCAGTTGCTTCTGACTGCCGCGGGGGTCACTCCGTACTTAGTAACCCTTGTTGTAAGCTGTAGCCTAGTACTAACTATGGGCCGAGGAATATATATTCCGGGCAATGTGCATCATTCTAGACATGGCATGCTCCAGGATTATGGGCGGTCTAGTAGTTGTAGAAAGATGAGAATGTCCTTAAGGAATAGCATCTCGCCTCTCTTCCAGCACGCATATTATCACCCTCCTCAGACTAGGGGAATGGAGGCTATCTTTCAAGGGACCCCTTATTCTACTCCAGAATAGCCGATCACCGTTCGCCAAACGCGCTCTGTCTATTCCTCCATAGTCCATACACTACTGAAGAGTGACGGAACTATCTGCGGGGAATTCGATGCTAGTCGCGGCTGTTCAGAATATCCCCCTCGTTCTGATTTCCATTTCCAGGCTAGACTTGACCACTTTCTCGATTATTGTCGATCTGAATCCTGTAACTCCGAAACTCGTAGGTACACCGTACACCGTAGTCCGTTCTATAAGCGGCCGGATTACTACTTCGGGTGAAATGACGAGGTCAAGAAACTCCAGCGGTTCTTCAACTAAACGCACCGCTACGGACTAGGTGCATGAAACTGCAGCGTCCTGGGGACAGTTGGAAACGTGCAGTGGGTGATTGGTTTGCGGGTAAAAACTTGAAACCGGATCGGCATCCACGTTGTCAATATCGACGTCATGGTGCCGAGAACGGAAATCCAAGCGCCGCAATAGTCAAGGCTTCTACGCAGTAAGAAACAAGTTCATTGTGCTGTTCCGGGGAGACTACCATAGTCGACATTTATGACATAGGGTTGGAAAATAGACCCGACCGTGGTCGGTTCCAGGAAAAGTCGATCGAGTAAGTTTCAGGTGTTCTAGGCTTCTTCGAAAAGGTTCGTCCTGATGACCGCATGAATCATGCCACTCGATCGTGCCTAGAACTTTGAGGAATTCCTCGCATTGGCGTCTACGCCACAACTGATTGAAGCTTGAACAATTACTTGGTTGAATCCTGGTAGATTCCCCGGAAGATCCGGCTTGCATGGCAATGCGGAGGCACGGAGTGAGGACGGACTTCGGAAATAGGTGTCGGATGCGAGACCCTCTAGGCCGAGTGGGCAAGAGGACGGTTCCTACCGATGTAAACACTAAACAGATCAAAGAAAAGCATTGACTACGGAGAAAGATCTCAGTGGCAAGACAGGATCGATTAAACTCATCGTCCCATCCTCACTGTCCCCTAAGATCCCGACTAGAGGAACACGTGGAATCAACAGTTGAAACTTGGCGGTAGCGAGGCGTGGCGAGGAGGCGGTTCTCGAACCTCCGAGAAGTGGAAAATGCATAATCCGGGCTGACATCTGTCGTTCCGGGCAAGTTCCACGGGGAAACCAGTCGAGGAGATTTCGGAAAGGCTCCGTTCTCCAGATGGGGAGGACGATGTTTGAGGGGGATGGGGCTACGTCATGCCCCGTACGGAGTAGTCTGTAAGCGACCACGTGCCCGGGTAGCCCTAGCCCTACAGGCTGAGGGTTAGTCATTAGTCATGGATGCCGTTCTTAATTTGCGGTTATTAAAAGGGGTGCCTGGAACGGGGCCGGAAGGAGTACGGGGTAGACTGGAAGGTAGAAATAAATAAAATAAAAAATGAACAATGCCTATTGCTCAATAGAATAGAGAAGTGTAGCATTGTTGATCTGGAGGAAACGTTTCCTGAATGAAGCCAAATTGCTCCCGAACGTGACTGTGAGAGGGTTGGCGCAGGCATCCACAAAGCTTGGATAGACGGTGGATGGTTCTAGAGCCAACCACAACCGCGGACCCAACGCCACTGACGAGAATCGGCTCGGTCGGGTTGCCTTCTGGTTCCAGGTCAATTTGGGCTTTGGCATGGAAGGATTCAGCTCGCTTTGCCGGCTTTCGGGGCCGACTTTCTACAAGTTGTTCGGTCGGCAAAAGACGTTGATTCTGCCAGCTGACCCGATCACGAGGGAGAGAAATCGGAACGGGCCAGACGCAGCGAGCTGAGCCCGTAGATGATGGAATACAATGATGGCACCTGGTTTCGTGCAAAAACTTGAATATCAAGGTCGGCAATGCGATGTCATGGCACGTTTTTAGTGGCGATTCACTCCGCATTTCCCCTCCTTTTGACGAAGTTCATGGGGGAGGAATTGGGCTTCACCGGTCAACGGATGAGGAAAAGACGAGGGTTTCTCCAGAACCTCCAGAGTTGAGCAGTTGAGCCCTGCGTCTTTTTTCTCCGTGTCCTTCCGGGCGGTCGGGCAAAAGACTCCACGGCGACTTGCCGAGACTCTGGAGGCGCCCCGCATGTACCCGCACGAAGTCTCGTGACCGTCGCCATCCTTTCATTCCTCGCCTTTCCTTCTCTTTTCATCCTCGCCGCTCGCAGCCAAGTCGGCTTCGCCTTTAGGCATGCCGAGGGATTCCACGCCCAGGAATGTGGCTGTTTTCGCTCGCCGCTTCATTCCCGCTGTCGGTTTCGGAGCCGATTCTGCGTCCTTGGGATCTCTAGGTTGGTCGTGCCGGCCGATGTAGATGCCAATGTGTCTTGCTCTCCCGCAATTCGTCGAACCAAAGAATAACTTTCGCTGACAAGCCGCTCAATCAGACATCATAGCAGTGGCGCTGATCCCCTTCATCTCGTCTAGTTCCCAGACCAGGCTCCGACGGTGTTGGCCACTATGACGAACCAGAGCCTTCTCCGAGCCTGCCGTGGAACCCGACTTTCTTCCCTCCTTTTCTCTGGTCAACCCGGCCGTTCCCCCAGCATTCCGGTCCTTCTGACTGGTTCGACTCGTCGGTTTCGGTCGGCCCCTCCCCATGGTCCGTCTCTGCTGCTGCTGTTGCCGGCTGAGTCTGACGGAGAAAGATGTGGGCAGTGTCTGGCGTTTCCCCGTGCCTGCCGACTCGACACTGGCTCTGCACTCGGCCGCCTCCACATCCTGGTGGTGGATATTTTTTCTCCCTCTCGTCGAATAACTATTAGTTTCGGATTCTGAATTTTTATTATCTTATTTTTTGCGGTCTCCATTTCCCTCGAGGGGCAATCGATGTAACATAAAAAGGGGACATCCCCCCCCGAATCTGGATTAAGTTTTTTTCATCAATTTCAATTTGACATTCATTTCTTTTCCCAACCATCCACTCCCTTGTCAAGATACCCCGTGTGGTTGGTGAAACCTGGCTTCTTCTATTGGGATTCGTGCTCCCTTCCTTGCATACAGCATACAGCTTGCATCAATTATTGTTTACTTGGATAAACCTCCGACACGAACCCTTTCGCTGTCTCACCACCTCCTTCCCGCGTATCGTACACCTACACAATGGGTATTGAATCTTCTGCCCATCACGGGGAGTCGATCAACCCGGCTGTCGCTCCCCACGCCGAACACTCCAGCCAAGAGTCTGTAGCTATGAACAAGCCGTCCGATGTTGGCGTAGACACTCCTGTCCCCCGGGTCACGCTCCGGGCCTTCGTCATGGGAGCCTTCGTCTCCATGGGTGGTCTGCTCTTCGGTTATGATACCGGTCAGATCTCTGGTTTCCAGGAAATGTCCAACTACCTTGAACGGTACGGTGAGCCGAACGGCGACGGAACCTACTCCTTCAGCACGGTCCGTTCCGGTTTGATCGTTAGTCTGTTGTCCATTGGTACCTTGATCGGTGCCCTCTGCGGTGCTCCCATCGCCGATAAGTTCGGCCGAAAGTGGTCCATCACCTTCTGGTGTCTGATCCTCATCGTCGGTCTGATTGTCCAGATCTCCGCGCCTGACGGTAACTGGGTCCAGATGGTCCTGGGTCGTTGGGTTACCGGTCTGGGTGTTGGTGGTTGCTCTCTCTTGGTGCCCATGTACCAGGGTGAAAGCGCTCCTCGTCAGATCCGTGGTGCCATGATCAGTTGCTACCAGCTCTTCGTCACCCTGGGTATCTTCCTGTCTTACTGCATTAACCTGGGAACCAACACCATGGAGGGTACCGGCCAGTGGCGTATCACCCTGGGTCTGACCTTCCTGTTCGCTCTTATCCTCGGTGGAGGCATGATTTTCTTTCCCGAGTCCCCTCGTTTCGAGTACCGTCATGGCCGTGTCGACAATGCCCGTGCCACTATGGCTAAGATGTACGGCATCCCTGAGAACCACCGCCTGATCAACCAGGAGCTCGAGGAGATCCAGCAGCAGCTTGATGCCGAGTCTCAGGAGCAGGTCTGGCACGAGTTCATCACCGCTCCCCGCATGTTCTACCGTGTCGTGCTGGGTATGGTGCTTCAGTCTCTGCAGCAGCTGACCGGTGCCAACTACTTCTTCTACTACGTATGTTACCAACATCAACCCACAACCTTACAAGTATTTTATACTAACTCATTTATCATAGGGAACTACCATCTTCCAAGGTGCCGGTATCTCCAACAGTTTCATCACGCAAGTTATCCTGGGTGCCGTCAACTTCGGAACCACCTTCGGCGGTCTCTACGTCGTCGAGAACTTCGGTCGTCGCAAGTCCCTCATCACCGGTGCCGGACTTATGTTCATCTTCTTTATCTGTTTCGCGAGCGTTGGCCACTTCGTTCTAGATGTGCAAACCCCTACAAACACTCCCGGCGCCGGAAAGGGCATGATCGTGCTCGCCTGTCTCTTCATCACCACCTACGCCGTAAGTCCACCCAACCTTCCTCCATCCCTATACCTATAAGTGCTAACGCGTCCCGGCAGATGACATGGGGTCCGATGATCTGGGCTATCGCCGCTGAGCTGTTCCCATCGAAATACCGTGCCAAGGGCATGGCGCTGGCCACGGCCTCAAACTGGCTCTGGAACTTCCTGATCGGATTCTTCACCCCGTTTATCACGCACGAGATTGATTTCGCCTATGGCTACGTCTTCGCTGGCTGTCTCTTCGTCGCTGCTGGTGTCGTGTACTTCTTCGTCATCGAGGGTCGGGGCCGTACCCTTGAGGAACTCGACTGGATGTACGTGAACAAGATCGTGCCCTGGAAGAGCAGCTCTTTCGAGATGCCTGAACTCCGCAGCCAGAGCCATGGTGGCATGGATGCGAAGTATGCGCGGAAGGAGTCGCAGTCTTATCATGCGGAGAATGTTTAAGTGATTTGTTGAGTGGTGATGGATGAGGTGAAAAGCATTGTGAAGGGGACGGCTATCGCATGTGTTATGCTTCTTATGGGTTTTCTTTTTTTGGATATCACATCGGTTGGAGTTGGGGATGGGGGTTTTGTTTATATGTAGATCATCTTGTATATATGCATGGATACCTGTTGCAACTTATGAGTTCTTATTTCTACTCCGGTTTCTATCTATCTGTTGGTGTTAGGTCATGCAGAGTCACGTGGTGCGCGCCCGTGATTTTTGTTTCCTGTTTAGGATGAGTCTCCACTGAGCAGCGTCGCCGTCAACTGTACAGAAATCAATTATACGAAACGATTTGATATTTCGACTTATTTTGGCCAAGATTGATCATTTTGATCATTTCCCGCAGGAGTTTATCTTCTTCTTTAGCGAAGTATACATTCACATAACAACCAATCGACCTATCGATTAAAATTCTCTCAAGCCATGAAATCTAGTAGGTGCCAAAGCTTGTGGTAAGGTATTATTAGTTATTATCAAGACCTTGGGCCTTAGGCGAGGTTGATACTAGATACCAAAGGTAATAATGCTCTAGAAAATGGCGTTATAGTAGATAATTCTAAGGATACGATTAATTCAAGATAAAAATTAGTATTTAGTGATTACATTATCAAAATAGTCTATAAATCGCGATTCTAAAGTAAATTCGCCTTATTGATAATAATAGTACTAAAGTAATCTATAATTCATGATAATCGCAAGCCTTTTGTTGTAGATTGTGTGTCTAGACACTATTGAAACTCTATAATAGTAAAATCGCCATGCCGCACAGCCAGAATAGTGAAGATGATTTAGACTACTACCCTTTCGGCATTCAAGAACATCTTATGATCTCTTATTAGGATACTATTAAAAGAGCACAATCTCTCCCGCTTTCTCGCATCACCACGGTAGGTATAAACCTTCAGTGTCTCTGTCATAGTTTTCATCATGCGCTAGACGGACGATACAGACATTTCGCCAGAGTATGCAAAAGCTTGTCTGCAGATGGTCATATGGCCCCGCAGAGACAGTCGACAAACGGGAAAGCAAAATGAATTCTTTCTGAATCTGCAGCTATCATAAACCTGCTGCGAAATTAATCTCGGAAAAGGCCTCCCTGGTATAACGGCTATGACCTGTAATTCATCGATTCGCTTGAGCTCGGCTATCGTTGGTCCATTCGTGTCAAAACGCCCGCTTCTGGTAAGGGGTTCGCGGATATACGCGTGGTTGGGGGTCCAATGGGTTTCGGCGAGCTCGCCGTAATCTCCATTTCATTTGAAGACATGACCCGCCGGTCGTAACAGGGGCTCAAGAAAGGGTCAGCGCCTCTTGGTGTCCACGTAGATGATTGATGTCCTGTCCCTGTTGGGCGTTACCCTCCTCTCAAATGCGCATTCTGTCATGGGCGGTATTCAAAGAGGAGCGAGTATCATGAAGGTCCCGTTCCATTGCTGGATTGGCTGCATTACGGGCATTCTCCAACTTTTGTGAGGAGTCTTCCGTTCTCCGTTTTCGTGATCCGGAGACAGATTCTGCCTTTCCTGAACACCAATTATTGTTTTTCCCGCTCATCGGGCTGTAAATCCCAAGCCCGATGGTCTTGAGCGCTCCCTGATATAATTTTGAAAAGTCCGGATACGCCCCCCGGTGGGATAGATGTGACAGCCAGCTGACGTCGTCTCAGGACCTTATTGATGGCCTCTGTGAGACTCTTCAGGAGCCTTCCTAGCTGTTCCCGTAAGCTCCGGTCTTCCGTCCGGCCGTCGAGCCTCTGAATAGATAGTGCCGCTCTATCTGTTCGAGTAGACTTCATCTATCAGTAGCCATTAAAAACCATTAAATTCGGTAAACGAGCCGGAATTGATCGAACGGTTATCAAATTGGTCAAAATAGAACCCAATTCAAATATCGAGTAAAAGCCGCACATAAAGACCGCTATCATCATCCTGGATGCTGGATTCAAGATATGTCTAGAAGAATGCTACCATGACATACTTGGTGAGACCGTATAGGGATTGAAGCTATGGGAGATGGTCAGCGGAGAGCGACTGAGGCAAAAGAGATGGCGAGAAGAGAAGAGAGAAATAAACCAGGGAACAAGAAGAGCTAAGTGAATCTTGTGGAGGTATATTCGTTATTCACCCACACCTTGCTATCTAGGTGACAAAGGTGATATATCGCTGGTGAAGACATTTGCTCGAAGGGCATTCACAAAGCTTAGATTATGACTAGTTACATATCTTCCAATTGCTAACAGACCGTAGAAAAGGAAACATGAATACAATTGACTTGACTATTGCGGCTGACAGAAGTTTAGCTTAGAAGAAAAGAGATTCGGGGACATAGAGAATCGTCGCTGGATGGAAGCAACAAGCTAAATGCCTGCTGAGGGATTCATGATTCCATACATAGTTCGCTGTGACGCTCAGACGGCTCCTCAGATTGTTTGGTAATTAAGTCCGCTTCCTCAACAACTATCCAGCCGTCGAATAACATTCGTCATTTCATCGATTCTTGATTGTGTCTATCAACGTGGGATCAGCAGGTGTTCTAGTTTTCGACGCCATTTGACCAGAATTCCTACCATCAAAGACACTGCTCCCGCTGCCAAAATAGGGAAAACGCCCTAATGGATTAGGACTTTACTAGATAGGTCAACGTACATTTGAACAATATGTCGAATGTGGCCATTGAAACGTAGACGCAGCGCAATATGTGCTTAAACAGGGCAATTTACTAAGGGTATTTCAGCTGCGCTAAAGCCTTGAGCTAAGAGATCAGACAGCTAGATCACGCAAGGGAACTCGCCAGGACAGGAACTCGGAAAAGCATGGAGAATGCCGGAGAAGAAGTGGTGGATGGACGGTCACCTGATTGGGGATGACCTGCGATTTTCCTGGCAACTTCCACCTTTTTCACCCATCTCACATCTATTTATTCTTCTCCATATCACCGCACACTTGGAGATCTTTTCTATCGGCCGCCTTAACGTTTCCATAGCTCACCATGAGTGACAATACCCAGGAAAGATCTGCGACTACCCCAGTCTCCCCCACCATGTCTGTTGCGCGCCCACATTGCTCGACGCCTGACAACCATTCGGTCTCCAGTGACGCATCTTTGATAGATTTGAGCGACTCCCTGTCGCAGTCCGAGCCTCGCCTCACAACAGAACCAGTTCCGAAAGACATTAAAGAGACACTCAAAACCATCACGAGTGCGACTGAAGCCCTGTTGCCTATGATAGACATATTGGCCGGTGTCTGTCATGATTTGGGAGCCTTGGCCCCGTACCTGACGGATTTGGGCCATGGTTTGCGCAGGAATGCTGCTCATCTTGCCAGAGCTGGCGATCACACAGAAAACACGATCTTCGATCCTGAACCAGCGGCTTCCCACGATACGTCTGATCCAACAGACTCTCGCAAATCTTCATTCGTCAGACAAAGGCCTATCGGCACCTCGGACGAGCCGTCGACGTCCGGCATTGCCCCCGACAAGAAGCCTTTGAGCAAGCTGTTCGCTAATACTGGCACCCCACCCACACTTTCCAAGACGAATAACGAGAGCTCAGAGTCCGACGAGTCTTCAGGGTCGTCCATCGCACTGATGACCAAGCGACAAAAGACAAACCCGGTGGAAAGTTCCGTCCGGCACGAGACAGCCCAAGACCGAAAGGAAGTCATGAGCGCAGCTCCAGCTGTTCCTAGCAACGGGAAATCTCACGACCAGATCATGGAACAAGAGATAGCCTTGGACAAGCCGGCGCAGGTAGCCCCTGGAGTCTATCCTCATGAATATCAGGCTTTGCCCCTACCTCCGCTTTCTCCAAGAGGATATTATAACACGCCAAGGCCATTCAACACGATAGAACTTCAGGCGATTCCCAACCTTCCACGCCGGTTTAGTATGCAAGGCAGCCCCACAACTCGAGCATCCAACCAAGACGCAGTGCCGAATAGGACAGGATCTCACGCAGCTGAGCTCCCTGGTCATCCACCAGTATTCTCAGCCGAGGTAGGAATCAGTCCACAATATGTCCAAACCACTCAAGGCAGTCCCCTACTTCACTCACAAGTCCACTACCCCAGCCTCTTGTCAAGCTCAGCTGACCCCTATCCCATATCGCCTGGATTACCGGGCGTTGTGAATCCTTACCAGAGAACAACATGGCCAGATAAATCGTTTGCTACCCTGCCCAGCCGTGACGAGATTAGACGCGCTCTGAACAGCGCACCCAATTCAGGTTCTAGAAGGCTACGACAAATCCAGGATAGGGATCTCGATCAGCTTCTCCCCTCTCTTGAGCAACCCTTCTCGCACAAGGTAACTAGCCTGTTCTTTGAACATCGCAATGGCAAGCTAATTAGGCGCAGGCTCGGAAGTAAATTATGACTTTTTAAGTCTTCTCTCGCTCGCATTCGCTTTTGAAGTGGCTAGTGCTGTTGCACTTTCTGGCATGTTTCATGGCTGGTTGTTCTTCAAAAGTCAATTGGCTGCATACTCTGCTTTCATGGTACTGAATCCTTGTTGTATCTACTTCTATGCTTTGTTTACTATCGTTTCTGAACTGCTAGTTGCGAACAAAATGTGATATTGCTGAGTATTTTGTTGACAAACTTTTTGTTTTGGAATAGCTTGCCCTTCCGGAACCAGTAGACAGGCCGAGCCACAATGACCTGCATATTAGTGTTGGTATGGCATAAAGATAGAGTCAATTATATGCTTTGATAAAGTATTAGTTGTCCGTAACGTGAAAATAGTCTCTACAACAGTGTGGCATCATTCACTTAAGTTGACCCAGCTCAATCGTAAAAACAGTCCTTCCTACCATTTTGGTTTTCCTTGTAAACCATCATTCGCCTTCGTTGCCTTTCCCAACTAATCACTCTAGTCTAAGAAGATGACCCCAGTAGCTCCCATGCGCGTCACCTTCGTCGCCCTATCAACCTCTACCGGCTGCTGTGTAGCCATTTGGAACCAAAGTACATATCACCCCGGCCAATCGAAACTCAAGTACGGTCAAAGAATGCCCATATTCACTACTACCCCATCCACTGTTTTGATGGAGGATTCCATAATCATCCTTCACTATTTCCTCTTCTTCTGGTTCCTTTCTCTTTCTCTTCTCTACTTCTCTCTCCACGTCTTCCCCGAATACTTTTCTTCCACGGCCAAATCCAATTTGATCATGCAGGTGAGTGACAGCTTCTTGTGACGTCTAGATGTACTATAACACGTCTGCATATCACGGAGCGTTTGTTAGAGCAATATATTTATTGAATCAATGATACCTGGTAGAACTATGGCTATGTTCTCGTTAAAATCAACGCAGTTTTAATAACAACTCTATTCACGGTCAAAAATGACACTACCTACCAAGATCTAGGTCCAGATATGGATTACTCTACAATCTGTTTCGAGCTCACAACTCTGCCCAAACTATCATGGGTTGACTGATATGTCGAGCCAGTTGTTGTATCAGGGGCAGCCGACTATAGCCTTTAGTACAGTAGGGAATTTAGCAGTTGCAAAATAGAAAAAGGTTAAAGCCGATGGACGTGAAATATTCCATGAAATGTGGGTAAGTCTCTACCTAAAGATATACCTGCTTTATGTTAGCTTATCCGTATGACAGGCGATGCTTTTATGTTCTCCACCCCTCCGGTGACTGTGAGGAATACATGAACGAACCCACGTCAGACAAACAGCTCATGCCTCGAGAAACAAGACCTGTTTGATTCTTTTACGCCAAGGGTGTAGATGTTCCTGTTGGAGACTAATCCAACGCAGCTGAGGCAATTCAGACGGGACAGTGCGGATGAAACCGGATTATGGCGTTGGATAAAGTCCGAGGCTTTCCGGCCATATTGGCCGGCGTCATGGAACATAGGAGGAAGGGAAAGATTCTTTGAGTACTGATCGCAAGCTAATTTGCGGAACATTCTGTACTGAGATCAGTTGGGAATAATTCATAGATGTACCGTCAAAGGTTCGTGGTATAGGGCCTTTCAGTGCGATCTCTTGATCCCATCTCCAGGCACTCTCTAGTGATGGATGATCTAATCTTCATCCAGCAGTCCATAACTCGCGGCTCTCCAAATCAGTAACTCCCGACCGGCAAGAAGCAGATCAATAGCCGGCCATCCGCCAAGAAAGATCGGGTCTCGACCGAGACTGCGGGGTACCCCACACTCTAAAGTCGGTGTGGGGTACGGATTACACCGGTCTATTTAGGTTGTTTGCACCAGTCAACTCCCCTTGCATTGCCAGCAATCTCCTCCCCTCTGATGTGTCAATTCCGCTTCATGCCATTCCGCACTCCACAGCACCTCAAACCATCACTCCACCATGGAGAAGCCATCAACAATGAACATCGATCATGTCGATGACAGTCCGAGAGATTCGGCTGCCGAGAAAGACCTCCATGATGCGCACTCACCGCCCGAGTTTACACCCGAGATGGAAAAGCGCGTGTTCCGGAAAATGGACCTGCGGTTGATTCCGATGTTGTCGCTGCTGTATCTACTGGCGTTTCTGGATCGAGGGAATATCGGTAATGCGAAGATTGAGGGGTTATTGGAGGATTTGAATATGACAGGGCCGCAGTATAGTTGGACCTGTGAGTTACTTGGGATTGACGGCTCTAACAAGGGATGGAATGTGGGGGCTGACATGAAGTAGTGACGGTGTTCTTTTTTACCTACGCTGCTTTCGAACTGCCGAGTAATTTGCTACTGAAGAAATTGAGGCCATCGCGATGGCTGCCGATAATCATGATTGCTTGGGGGATTGTCATGGTATGTTTACTTGGGGTTGAGTAATATTAACATGCTGAACTGTTGGTCTACTAGACACTGATGGGAGTGGTTCAAAATTACGAAGGATTGCTGGTTGCTCGTCTCTTCCTCGGTCTAGCTGGTTAGTCTCGCTGCGCCCTTCTAGGACATGTTTAACTAATTAATTGTTTTGCATCATACAGAGGCTGGCCTCTATCCCGGAACCGCCTACTACATCACCCTCTGGTATCCCCGTCACCGCGCGCAATACCGACAAGCCATGTTCTTTAGTGCAGCAAGCATTGCGGGTGCCTTTTCAGGTATCTTAGCCTATGCCATCGCGGTAGGTAGATCTCTTCGGCTCCATAATGCCCGTCTAATCTTTGGTAGAAAATGGATGGCGTCGGCGGATATGAAGGGTGGCGCTGGATCTTTATCCTCGAAGGTCTTCTCACTGTCGTCGTTGCATTCATCGCTCCGTTCGCGATTCACGACTCCCCTGAGACAGCCACATTCTTAAACGAGGAAGAGCGACAATTCGTGCTTCATTCGGTGCGCTTCCAAACATCAGCAGGACACGACATCGGCCACGTCGTCGAAGAAGAAGAAATCAAGTTTCGTCCTCGCTATGTGATCGATGCCTTGCTGGATTGGCAGATTTATGTTGCCTTAATCAGTATGTCAACCACCTAAAATCACCAGAGAAGGTGACTAACGCCAGTTAGTGTACTGGGGCATCACATGTCCATTATACGGCATATCCTTCTTCTTGCCGTCGATCATCAAGGATTTGGGCTACACGTCCTCGACCGCCCAACTGCTCACAGTCCCGATATACGTGACTGCCGCGATCGTCGCCATCGCCGCAGCATGGGTGTCCGATAAACGAAGACAACGCTCACCGTTCATCCTCTTCTTCATGTTCCTCATCGCCATGGGTTTTGTCATTGTCCTCGCGTCCACGGGAAGAGGCGTCCCCGGCGTGGTCTACTTCGGTGTCTTTCTCGCCGTCATCGGTATAATCCCCACTCTCATTCTTGATTGAGCATTTCTAACGAAAGAAGGAATATATCCCGCCTTCCCAGGAAACGTCACCTGGCTCAGTGTCAACCTCGCAGGCGACTATAAGCGTGCCGCCGGAATGGCCATGCATATTGGATTAGGGAATTTAGCAGGCGGTATGCCCCCTTCCAAACCACTCTCCTGTTCCATACCGTTTCTCCATCTTCTGAACTTGACATAATTTTTAATCCGACCTGACGTGGTATCTAGCCATGTCCTCTAATTTCTACCGCACTCAAGACGCACCGGAATACGTGCTCGGCCACGCCCTCGAGCTCGGCTTCTGTGGTGTGGGGATGATTGCTGTGCTGGTTCTCAGGTTCTCGTATAAGACAATTAACAAGAAACGGGAGAACGTGGATGTGTCGCTGTATAACCCGGCTGAGATGGCGAAGATGGGTGACCGGTCGCCCATGTTTAGGTACATGCTTTGATGGTAAGGGTGGTTGTTGAGGGTTGTTGAGGGTGGCTGAATGCATATATGGGGAGTGGCTATAGGCGAACTGTTTATTGGAATCAATGGGCTTAGTTACCTGGCGCCGGGGTCTCTTATAATGAGTATGAGTAGGAATATGAATATGGATATACATTAGGCGTGTTGGTTACTTTTTCCTGCCCAAGCATTTGACAAGAGGGCTAAGGCCATGGTCACGGGAGAACCTCGGCGAAACTGATATCCCTACGAAGAAAAGGGGGAAAATAGACATCCATCGCTTATATACTCGGTATCCGCCCGAAATATGAAATAAATTGATTTCAGCGCTTGAGTTACAGGATTAGTTCTGCACCCATTGCCTTTCTTCTGACGTCAGCGTTTATGAACAAGGGTTTTCGGCGTCTGACTTCACTGCGGAGATAATGCAGAACAGCAATTGGGGTAATTTTCAGGAAATCTCACAACCTAAAGAAACAAGAAATAAACCCAACAAAATCTTTCACGAAATCGACGTAGAGAAGAAACTGAAATTCTGAACAGTCAACAATCATAAGCCAAGAATCGGGTCCGTTTGTCCGAGAGGGCTCAGCAATCTCGGTGTTTGACTATCATCAAATGCCGAAGCAGTACGCCTTAACGCCGGCACTGAACAAACACTTTCACTCAGTCTCACCTAAGCAATGTCATTTTACCCCAAAGCAACACGAGAAGAACGATCCAGAATGCATCATGCAATATTACACTTACTAAATTTGTTGGGTAATTTGAAATGCAGTTAGGCATGTTGGGGGCTGGTCCACAGCGGCTCTCAGCCCTCGGTGTTTGGCGAAGAGCGGGGAAGCGGTCTATTTAAACGTCATGCTGCTGCTGGTGGCTCGATATCTTCTCTGTACAAGCAACTGCTCAATTTAATACACTATCTGACAGCCTATTCAAGAGCCTCAAACCGAGTCCTTGAAAATGACTATTTCCGGATCCTGCATGTGTGGCGACATCGCCTACAGCGTTGAGGGTATGTACTAGCCACAGAATTTCCGGATACGATGCAACGAGAAGCTTACCAGGATACTAGTGGAAAGCTACCTATCTGCGCTATGCCACTGCACTGATTGCCAGAAGGTATGTTTGCAGCTACGCCAACGCCCCACCCCCAAATCCCATATCCCAATCTACATTCGCTAACACCCACCCTCCAGTGGACCGGCGGCGCCTTCACCTCCAACGCAGTCGTCCCTCGATCCAGCTTTAGAGTGACCAAGGGTAAGCACCTGCCTTTCCTCCACCTTTTCATTTAACTTTCATCCCTCCCCGTCTGAAGATCTCCGCTAATCAGCCCAACAGGAACCCCCAAAACATATGACGTCACCGGCGCCAGCGGCAAGATCAACAAGCACTTCTTCTGCGCGAACTGCGGCTCGAGTCTGTATACCGAGCTTGAGGTCATGCCTGACAACACGGTTGTGAAGGCTGGAACGCTGGATGGTGGCGAGGCGAACTTGAAGGGGAAGATTGATGTTGAGTTTTATGTTAAGGATCGGCCTCAGTATTTGGCTGCCGTGGAGGGTGCGAAGCAGGAGCCGCAGTTTGGTTGAATATTTCAAGGTTTGAGTGGGTTGGTTTGGGTGTGAGGTTTGGGGCGTTGAAATAGCATTGGGGAGCGAGGCTGGAGTTGAATGGGGGATGTTTGAGCAATTATGTATGGTTGTGTTGTGTTTGTGTGGTGTTGCGGATGGTTCGAACAGATTTGATTTTGAGAAAATTGCACATGAAGAATGACGAAATGAAATGACTTTTGCTGGAACTTATCCATCTTTAGAGTGGTGTTTATAACTTATCTGGATCTAATCCCTCAGTGCGTCTAGAATCCTCCGCAACGCCTCCTCTAGATGCTCCTGCGGATGCGTAAACACAATCCGAAACCATCCATCATCCTCGGATCCAAACAACGGACCACTGGCCAGAAATACCTTTTTCTCGACCAGCTTCTGCATGACGCGATCACTGACATCTGCGTCCATATCCTCCTCCGAGTGCAGCTCCCGATACTTCTTCCCTAGGTTCACCCACAGGAAAAACGCCGCATTGCACCCAGGGGCATGTTCAATACCCTGCTCCCTCAGCCCACGCACAACAAAAGAATACGACTCCGATAGCCTCTGTTGGTTCATCTGAATATACCTATCGGTAAACTCGAAGTCCTCAAGAACCAACGACGTCAGGTACTCCGTCGCCGCAGAGGGGTACGAATACAATGTGGGATTTTTCAATGCAGCGTGCAGGTCACGATTCGCCTGCGAGATAATCACGCCCAGACGGAGCCCGTTCGCACCAAAATCCTTGCTCATACCCCATAGCACATGGACTAGTTCGGGATCGATGATTCCGGCGAGAGGAATCGAGAGTGCGGAGACAAACGGCACAGGGGACGGCCCCTCGTGGTCGACTATGTTCTCCCACGTAGATAGCGCGTATATCTCGTCGCTGATCAAGTGCATGCGGTATTTCTGGCACAGGCGCATGAGTTTTATCAGGACGTCGCGTGGATAGCATCGACCCAGTGGGTTGTGGGGATGGCAGAGCATCAACGCTCGGACCTTCCGGCCTGTTCGATTCTGAAACTCAAGCAGCGCTTCCTCGTACTTCTCGACCGCCTTTAGACTGAGCGGATCACAGCCTTGGAATCCCACGGGGACGACATTAGTCCCTGGCCTGGAGGAGATGTCAGGTATGAACGTTCCATAGTAAGGCCTGCCCAGGAGCATTCCCTCTCCGGAATCGGAAAATGCCCAAGACAGGTGTTCAATTGCCGAAGAGACACCGTTCGTCACGAGGACCTGATCTGGCTGCACTGGATTGACGGGGTGGAAATGGCGATTGACGAAATTCGAGACGGCGTTTTTGGTTCTCCTGGATCCTGACGGCCCGTCGTTGTAGGTGAGCCATTTGGAGGGCAGTTCGAGCTTCGTGTTAATGGCTTCGAGAAGTTTGTCATGCATGAGCATGTTCTCTGCTAGCCCGACGTTGACGAACCCATTGGGATTGGTAGATTTGCACCACGGATCGTTGACTACGTCCCACATTAGGTTCTTGGAGCCGGATGTGGTGGCTTCCTGAGCTCGTTGGGACATGGTTGATTGTGGCATGGTGAGTGGATGATCGGTGAGTGTTTTGTAGAAATTGACAAAGACTGAGACTTCTTTTCACTCCACCCTGCGAGTATATAAAGACTTGAAAGAATTGAGGTCAATTCAAGGGCCGAGATCGGGAAACGGTTATCCACGGCGGCGTTGAGTCACGGGAAGGAACCATGGATCGCCATCAAACACCGAAGGCCGATGCTTGACTTTTTTCGGCGTTTGCTCCGCTGTGGATGAGGTCTTGTGTTTCACCACACAGGTTGAAATCTGACACTTGCTCGGTAGAAAGCCGGAATTCGTATTCTGATTGGCATTCACTCTTTCGATTAGTAGGTAAATCTTTTGCTAAGAACCTGCGATGCAAAATCGGACAAGCACTGTGGATCATCGGCTCAAAATGTATGTTGTCGAAACCCGGACGATTACTGCACTGATACGGGACCAATTTTCGATGATATGACAGCATAAATCGGCATTATTCAAGAATACATCTTCAATGAATGAGTATCTACGGAATATGGGGTCTAGGTATGTTGACAGCTCAACGACGTGTTTGCCTCGTTGCACTGTCTCTCATGCCTGACTGCCTCGGCGATGCCTCAGGCATTTCAGCTGAGCGTGAGCACACACTTAGCACGTGAGAGGGAGTGTGGCACGTGACCAACTCTTGCTCTCCTGGTCCGCAAGCTTGATTCCTACAACCATCTTTTCATCGGTCGTAAGACATCAACAAGCATTCCTACCGACATTCTAGCATCAAATCTCATCATTATTGAATGGCAATGACACCCCCTCACTGCCCCGGCCACTTTGGTCTCAAAACCTGGCCTAGCGTCGATACCTCTAAACTCAGAGGGGAAATTCGTAAATGAACCCAAGACCGAGAACGCGTCTGCGGCCGAATCAGCGATCGCTAAAACTGCGGCAACTGCAAGACTAACATGGCTATATTCCTGAGGTTCCCGGAAAAACCAATTGCCCACCATAGCAACATGGGACTCGAATTACCCCCTGCAACCCAGGGGCGCAGTCGGTTTTCTTCCTCCGAGTTTAACAACTCCCAACTGTCTGGCAAACTGAATCCTTTATAATGTCCGACGTGACTCCCGAAAGTGCAGGTTGGGTTATTGACGACATACGACGGCGCAATGGTGGTGTATCGGATGAAGACCGTGCAGCAACCCCTGCCGGTGTTTTGCAAGCTCTGGACGCATTGCGAGAGGACTTGTTTTACCGGATTACTACTATCGGAAACCCCGGTTCAAAGCTGATCGTGCACCTGATATCAAGAACGAGCCTTCTCGCATATGACAGAGCGGAAGCTAGGGGAGAAAACGGCTATTTGGAGTTCACCCTGACGAAAGACCACCTTATGATTGACTCCAACGATAATGGATATTGTGGTGAAGCTATAACGGAACTGTGCAGGCATCCCTTTTCGAAGAAATGCCCGCTCTTCACTCAGCAACAAGTTCTTGGGGCATTTCAAATTGGAACCAAAATACACATTCAATCGGGACCGTTCTCATTTTCCTTTCAATACACACAGGGGAACAATATGATGGACAAGCTAACGCCCAACCGTGAACAATCTGAGTCGCTTCCATCTAATGTGTATTCCCGGATTACAATATCTTGTCTCCAGCCAGGGCAATTCGAAAGACTAGCCAATGATTTCCGTCGTCTACAAACCAATGGATTTCTGCTTTTCGATTCCAAGTGCACCTTTTTACGTTTCAAAGTCCATCCACCGGACGCAAATTATGCCCAGGTACAATACCAGATCACAAAACAGAAATGCAGGATGTCCTTGACCAGAACTTCGGAACCTGTTCCACTCAAGCAGAGCTACCATATATTTTCAAAGGAAGTCGGCTCATTGTGTTGTTTTGGTGGGGCAAAGTACAATAAAATTTATCTGGCGTTTCCTATAGACCAAGAGGCAAAAGTCTTGCTTAGTCTTGGAGGTTATCTGAATATTGATGGCAATTGCGCTCTCTTTCCTGGAGATGACCAGTTTGATGTGAACTTTCCGCTGCACTGTCCCCATATGGAAACTAGTGGTCTAACTGAGTACTTAGTTTATTATATGCGTGTCAAGGCAGTGCCCCTTTTGCCAAGTTCCTGAGGTCCCACCTGACTTTCTCGCTACTTTCCTCTGCGAGAAGATGGTCTTGCTTTCCACCCAGGAGCCTATGCAATATGAATGGGTTCAATACATCCCCAAGGCAGACCTCGTGGGAGGAAAGTGGAAAGCGATGTTAAATCACTTGTATAACCACCTTGAAAAGTGCAGGATCTATAAATCAGAGAGTGGGAAAAGAATGCACCTATCTTCCCTTCGCTACCTTGGGCCGGAACACTGCGATCAGCACGGGAAGCCGCTCTTTCCAGATCTCGACCAGGAGCTCTATCTCTCAACCAGATACAACCCATATCTGGAGTTTCTGAAGCCTCTCGGAATTCGAAGGATATCAAATGATGAGTTGTTCGATCGGATCAAGGAATATTACAAACCAGAGACTCGGACGTTCAAGCCCTCTGGGAAGGATTGGAGCGCACGAGTTGCCCGGCTTCTTACCTCGTGGTTAGAATACGACACTAGCAGCCCGTTGGCGACCAAGATAAAAGATCTCAGATTTATCTCCTTGTTTGATGTCCCTGTGCTTCTAGGTGTTGACTGCCTGGCCAATCCGTGGCGAGCTGAATTGTTCCGAAGGCGCGATGTGTGGCTTCCCTTTGACACGAATGGGAATCCCGTTCCTGCACTCCCTAACATTTGTCGGATCTACGAGCACGACGCCCCAAACTCCGAATCCACGAGGCCATACAACCTACTTGGTATCTGTTATCCGCAGCCGCAACAGGTGATGGAAAAAATCGAAGCCTGGAACCATTCTTTTAGATTCGACATATCGGTTTCGGAATCGCGCGATGCACTCCTCTATTTACGCGCTAATATGGCTGAAGGTGCTGCGACCAGGGTCCCCTGCCTGCCCATGGTTGATGAACAAAACAAAAAGGTAATCACAAGAGGCAAAATGAGTCAATGTAGTTGTGAATTGCAGACGGATGTCTATTTCCCATCGGAGCACGACCACGGAATAAGTGAAATTGCAGCGAAGGTGAACATGATACCTTGCGCCCCTAGGATCCATGTCTTGAACGAGGGTTTGCTTGATCCAACACCAGGTCGGCGACAAGGCAAGCCTGTTTTATCCACTGATTGGGTTTCATGGCTGGAGAATGCGGCATTAGTGCGCCGCGTGCCCAGGTTACAAAATAGTCAGGACCCAAATCGCCTATCCGAAATTTTCGAGACAATCATAAAGCACTACCCGGGAATGCTCCTAGACGTGCTGCGATCTCACTGGGCTACATACAAAATGGAATTAACACCAGGGATTGCTTCAACGGTCAAGGCAACGCCAGTTCCCACATTGGATGGAAACAGATTGGTTTCTGAGTGCTATGTGCCAACGCCTGAACTACGCGTGATGGCGTTAAAAGTGTTTCGATCCACAATGGGCTTGCCATTCTTGCTACTCAGTGAAGACCCCTTGGTTGAAGAAGTCCAAAGTAGGTGGGATTTCCTGTCAGTGTTCGGCGTGGTGACGGAGCCAACCCCAGAATTCTTTGTGGGTATCTATGACCAAATTGTAGGAAAGATCTCACTGGACGATGCAGCATCAGAGTTTCAAGCTCTTTACAGTATGCTTTCAAAGAAGCCTTCGCATGACAGATTGTATGTCGAAATTCACCCATATCACCGGTTGAAATATAATAACTGTTATAGGGCCTTCTTCAATGCAAGAAAAGAGATTTACGTTCCCTCCGGAAAAACAGGGCATGCGAAGCTTGTGCCCCTTCAGCACTGTCTCTGGAATGGCCCTTGTTGGTTACAAGCTTCGTACGTACTGTCATATGTGAAGGGATACTGCGAGAACCCACAAATACAGACTATGCTCAGGGTAATACTCAATCCCACTGAGGCTGGCTTAGAGACGTATATAAAGGAGTTGCGATATCAGCAGGGTATTGGGATGGCCAGCTTTCCCCATATAGAAAGGATTTATGCGCACCTCAGTGAAGATAGCATGGATGAAGCGGATCTAACCACTATGCGGTAAGTCTACGTTCCGTATAATATCGAACCATGGTCAGAATACTCAACGCCAACTTAGGGATTTGTTTAAGAGGCACAAGCTTGTCTACCACCCAGACAGTCTGAAGTGGTATAGCCCCCCAGAATGTGCTTGGGCATTATCTTCGGACGATTCCAGAATCTCCATCGGACAATACTACCCTCAGTTCCGTGAGCTGTTCATGGCCAGACTTCTGATTGGAGATTCAATGACCCGATTATACATCTCGAAATTGAGCGAAATAGTGGGTAGGAGAGCTTCCAGCCTTGATGAGCTTCTATCGGTCATGCAAAAATTCGATGATCTTCCACTGTCGCTATCTGACATTGGTTTACTGAATCGCATCAAGTTTCTACCAATTGTTGGTGTAAGCCAGGTTCAGTATTATTCCTCGCCAAGGGATGAATTCTTTATTGTTGACCGTGATGGCTGGCCCTCCAATTTTAGAGGCATTGTTCCAACCCTTCGGTTTAGAGTCGATCAGGTTCAACGAATCCGGTCATTTCTAATTCGTGTTGGGCTGGAAAACCGATTTATAACCGTTGCAGGATTGAAACAGACTTTTGTCTCGCAAGAACGCATAAAAGGGTTACCACAGCTGACTTGCGATTTCCAAGACCGAGCCGCCGCGCTATGCAGGTATGCGGATGATCTAATAATGCTACCCAGCTGATCGAAAATAGCTAATTTCAAACAGATGTGCTACGTTCTATGCCAGCGAGAACGCCATGCAGCAACAAGAATTATACGACCTTTTCCGAGCATCATTGATTTATGAGAGCCGCGATATCATAGCCAGATGCACCATCCCGACAGCTGATGGGGCCACGAAGTCAATCGATACTCCTGACATGCTCCATGTACAATACGAAAGCGGAGAGCTGCAGCTCGTTGTTCCAAATGACATAACCCAAAGACAGATTTGCTTCGCAACGCAATTGCCTGAGGCCTTGGCTAGTTTATTCTCTGCAAATAGCCCAGAAGCACGAGGAACGTTCGCAACGATTCTTCGGGAGCCAATTGACAACTTAGACAGTATCTTGGATAGCTATGGTATTCCAGAGCTTTCGGAAGTATTCGTGGATGCTGAAGAGTCTGTCGAGTCTGAAACCAGCATGGAGGAGGTGGATGAGACGCTTTCCATCTCAGATAGTAGTCTCACCGAGGAGCTCATCGATCTGGTAGATCATATGGACTTAGACACGGATCCTGAGGATTCTGTCGAGCCTGAGGTGTAGGAGTTTCAAGTATCAGGAGACGGTCAACCTGATACCTGGTATTCCTACATGAAGCTAGCATGTAGGGGCTTGGTGAACCATTTTCTAACCCGGGTTAAGCCTCTATAAACGCTGAAAATTCTGCCCGCTCGGATAATCTACTTTCCTGGCTTAGATGCGTAAAGCAAGATAAATATACATTAGTGGATCTAATATGCTGCCACGATGCCTCTGCTAGAGTAACACAAATTCTTTTAAATATTCACACCCATTTCTTACGCTCGTGCCAACGCGGAAAGACTGATTTATGCTTGCCTCAAACAAACGATGATGGATATTGCGATGAAGACGTAAGTTACATGATAGATTGTATTATCGGCTCTACCTTTTAGATAAGCATAGTAAGATGGAATGGTTGATTGCACTGGAAAAGAATATATCATGAAGCGGGCATTCAGAACCGCAAGATCGGACCGAAGCAGTACCGATCCTCCGGTACGGTCCCTATCCCTAGGTAATATTTGGGAACCCGTTCATTGTATAAATGTGAGATAGTGAAAAGACGAGATAAAGCAAAGTCTTGCACCAGGCGTCACTCCATCTAGATAAAAGTCCGCAGGCTATAAATTCCGATTGCAAGCGTCTTACTTCGTAAGAGCTGAAGTTGTTCACCTCCCATGACACGATATAGGACGGTCTGTCGAACTACCCATTGTTCCCATATAATCTGTGTTGGACTGCCAGTCCTCGCTTGTATCGACTTGCACCTTTCCTCGTGTATTTTAGCGCTGCAGATCAGTGGATATAGCCCCGCTGCAGCCTGCGAGAGCTTCATAAAATTCAAGTGCTTCAACCTCTGCAGTTCTATCAATCTGCGATCAATCTCTCCGGGTCGTCGGTATCCATGGATTTGGCTCGCTGGAATGCCTGGGTACCACCAGCATTTGCCTTGTTCAGTTTCGAGATATCTTTTCCTGTACTGGTCGCATGGAATGATACATCTGGAAAACACAGCCTGCCAGGCACGAGTGCCGAATGTGACGCACGGAGAACCGACTGGATCCTCTATATTTGATGCTATCGGTGGGAGAGTGGGTTGGCCTTCTATGACTGGACGTGGCTCATAGCCTATTGTCATTGCTTTTCTGGCCATGTCGCTTTCGTGCATGAACCTATCGATGAGGCGAGTATAGATATCACTAGCGATGGCGACATGGTCAGCTTGATCGGCTTTCTCAAAACCAAGCTCTTTGTCATAATTGAATCGTGTTTGTCTCGTAGAATGACAGAAATTGTGACTCACAGTATCATTGTACTAAAATTGAGAAATTTCCAGGGAGTGATGGTAAGCGTTATTTATCTGCTCCTCAAGCAGGAGCTGCAGGACATCAACCCGAAGACAATTTCGATACTGATTCTAGAATAAGATTGGCTAAAGAAGGCGTCCTTCTGTGAGAGGCATGTAATGAAGAAATGTATTGGAAGAGGTGGTTGAGAAGGAGGGAGATGAAGCCGATCAGAAGGGATGTAAAGTGAGTGGGGATTCACTGTTCAGCCATTCACTTCTTCCTGACAGGAAATTCCCAGCTGCACGCAATTTTTCTCACACTGATCGGTACTTGTCTTACCTCCTCTTCCTACCATTTATTTTTCAAATCGACTACCATTTCTAATAGCCCACCAGGTAATCTTGGCTGCAACAGAAACGATGGATGCCACGATTCAGGGGATAGAAGACTACACACAACTGAGCAATACCTTAAAGGATTTCAAGACAGCTATCAAGATCAGATCAGCTGAAAGGTGTCTCTGAGCTTCTAAGTGTGTTCCCGTTCCTTCAATCGTCGATTAGATAGAACATAGCTGATCGGTATGGGGCTTTCGTCAGAAACATACAATGATGGGATGAAAGATGCTCGGCAGAACAAAGCCCTTGTTCGCGTTCGAATCAACGCGATTTTATTGATAACTCTGTTTACCGCAAAGAATGACCAGAGCGACCGGCTCGATGGAGCTCCAAGAAAGTACTCTTCTAAACTCCACTTTCAACTTCAAACGCCGCTCAAGCTTTTATGGCTTGATGCCGATGGCAAGCCGGTTGTTATATCGGGGGCGGCTGAGTACAACATATGGCAGAGCGAAAGAAGCGGCTTCCGAGAAGCGAATCCTGTTACTGTAGAAGCGAAAAGCACAGCCAGGAGTAATGGCCGCATGCGAAACTGGGCGTAGTGATAGGACAATATGGGGTATAAGCACCCACAGCAACAAGTGGGAGCTTATACGTTTAAACCCCGATTTGACCGTAAGATGATACTCCTAATAAAACCAACCAGGCTGACAAAAACAGTATACACTAGAAAGACCAGCATACTAAAGGTCCTCGGACGAAGCCCACGCGGATCTACAAGAACAGACACGGTCACCTTCCGTATATTGTTACTACACTGGCTCAAATGTTTGGGCAGACGGCGATCACTTCGCCTACAGTATCACGATATACTCAGGAGGAGTCAAGAGAAAGACCCTCTGTTGAAGTAGACAACGGGAAAGGTTGTCCGCAATCAAGAAACAAATTTGCTTGTTGTAGAAGCGAAACCGTCTGCCGGTGATAAGCTCGAGCAATGCCTTTGGTATATGGGTAAGTATCTACCAAAGTATATTTGCTTGTTGTTAGGTACAACAAGTTAATGTATATAGTACATAATCTGGACATATCTAGTGGGCGATCGGTTCCGCCCTACACTCCTCGGGAGAATATTCGCCGAAACGGCGGTTCTATCGCCGACAGTCTCACTAGCATCAAACGAGGAGTCACGGAAAAGATCTTTTGAGAATGTGGAAACCTAGCCAGGGATAGGCTAGTGTCCTTCGGGACCTCTTTTTTCTGTCTATGCTTTTCTCTTTCCTCCCCCCACGACCTTTCTTTTTCTTTTCATTGTTGATGTGTTTGTGTTCCTGTTCGGGAAAGCTAGGCTATATCTTTTACTTCACCATTCTTACTGTATAGGTCAATTATAGGCCTGACGGTTCTTCTGAGCCCACCATTCTTTTTAACAGGCCAGCAATTGCGTTTGATTGAATTGCTAGAAACGAACGTACTAGCCGATTCTGTTGTGATACTTCATATACTCCAATTGGTTGTAGGGGACCTGATCAGACATTGAGAATTCGCAGTTGATAACCTTCGATTGGTAGCCTGAAATGTTGCTACCAATCATTTCACCATTGTCGAAATGGACCGAGATCGAGTAGTTCGCCGAATCATGAGTTGGGCAAGAATATGGTGCAATCCCTCAGCATGTTCCTCTGTATGGATGGTTACTGGCTCCTCCCCCGTGTTAAGGGGCGGAGGGAAGAGCTCTTGTTAAATAGTTTTCTGTGTGCAGAGAGCAGATTGTCCTCTCCCCCTATTGCTTCCTAAAAAGTCCCTTGATACTCGGACTTATTAGGAGCTGCTGGACCTTTTGGCAAAAGTGGCGGAAGTATCCTTGTAGGTTATGGATGCGGTTAAAGAATTGGATGGCAGTAGAGAGAAGAGAAAAGTCCGGCTGAATGTCATGCAAAGGTGGCTAATTTGAGACACTGCATTTCGCAATATGTGACCCTCATCGATAACTACCGAGCCAAAACATTTTGCCAATGAGTTGGCTGTTGATCGCGTGCCTTTTCGTGTACCTTTCGCTCTTGAAAAGAAACTTGTTTGATCATAAGTTGCGATGGACTGATACACTTTCAGTATGCCTACAGGTCCACAGCATGTTCTAGTAGAAGATATATAACCGCTCTCGAACACCCAGTTACTGTCAATCTCAGACAACGTTAACAAGGAGGAGCATATGAGCGATAAATAATTTCATATGCCATATCTTTAATCTAGAACATTTTTCTAAGTAATGGTGCCCATCTACCACTACATAAAATGGTTCAACTCATGCCTTCCCACCCCTCCTCCCAAAATACATCCTCCCCTGCCACCTCCTCAACCTCTGTCCAAACACCTGCAACAGCAAGATAAACGCCAACGACCCAAACGTAATCGCCGCCTGGACCCCCAACGCCCGGGCCGCCCCAATCCCCTCCACCCATTCGATCTGGATATACGTCGCCATGAAACCGCCCCAGTTGCGACTCGCCGTGACCCACGCACCGACTTCCCCGGACCCCTCGGGGTAGCAGTCAAGTAGGTAGGCGTTCACGGCCGTCGTGATGATCATGAGACTGCCGCATTGGAGGGCTGCGAACACGGCGATCACCATGTAGTGCCAGTGGCGGTCGAATGCGAAGCCGAGGATGATGAGGCTAACGCAGCAGAGAACGGTGGCTGGGTAGACGATAATGAGTCGGGCTTCGGGGTGTAGCCGGCCTTGGTGTCGGTGGGTGTAGAATGTGCCGACTGCGTCGTGGAGGTAGTGGCCGATGAGCCAGCCGATGATGACTCCGACGATGCCGAAGAAGTAGAAGTATCCTGTGTGTATGTTTAGCGTAGGGACGGAGTTGGGGCTGTGGGAGGGGGATGACCTACCTATTCCGCGGGTCGAGAAGCCGTAGTCGTTGGTTAACCAGATCCCGATCGTGGTGTTGACTCCGATCACCCATGCGAAGCTGAGGAAGTAGAAGATGAGAACAATCAAGACAGGGATCTTGGTGATGGCCACGATAGGTCGCATTACGCATTGGAGAAAGCTTCGCTGTCGCCAGAGCTGGACTTGCTGAGCACCGGTTAGACGAGCGAAGTACGATCCTCGAGGTACCTGTTGACCTTTGCGTTCGAAAAGCGTCTCATCGAGGAGGAAGACGAGAAGAAAAGCAACGGCAGACATGATCGTACACAGCCAAAACGCCCATCGCCAGGATACATCGGCGACGATGAAAGACGTGAGCAGTGGTCCCAAGTACGGACTCAGGATAATGAAGAACTCGATACAGTTGATCACCTTGAGATGCTCATGGAAGAAAAACATATCTTTCACCCAAAGAAGAGCCGCGCCTTGTCCAACGCTGCAGAACAGCCCGTTTATGATACGAGCGGCGAGATATGATTCGAAGGACGTGGCCGCAGCCGACCAGGCGCATGTTCCTACCATCACAGCTTGAAAAATGAGAAGTATTGGCATTCGACCAAAGTATCCGACCAGCATAACCACGATCAGTCCACACGCTCCGATTGCGAAGAGGTTTCCGACGACGGCTCGCTGGACGTGCTCTTGGGGGAGATTCCATTGCCTGTATCGAGTCCATTCGATTAGATCGGTCTTCCAATTACATATATGCTACTCACATGGACTGGGGAATAACTGTAATAATCGCCGTCCCTCCCGTGTAATCGGCCAGAAAGGCAATATATGCCATAATTCCAATGATGAGCCATTTTTTGCCAGAGCTCCAGTTCAATGGGTCATCCGGCGTGTCAAGCGGCTGGGGGATGAGAACGTGTCGGCCATCTGCGCTTGTTTTTAACCCCGATGCCTGGTTCGGATATCGGCTTGGATCGGTCACATATCCTTCCAGGGCTTCTGCCTCTTCGTCAATCTCAGTGGACTCGACCTGTAAAGGGGGTTTTTCTTCGGGCGTTGCAGAGGACATCTTCGTGGAGAATGAACTGCTGGGAGAATGACGTGGGGTGGGAGCTGGGCAACTGGTAAACGATCAGTCAAAGACAAACAGAAAAAGAAAAAGCAAAAAAAAAACTGGGAGCACGACAGGTACCATGTTAGACTCAGTTTGTTTGGTGACAATCAACCCCCTACACATTCATCTGACCCCCTGTTCATATTCCCTTCAGATTGCGTATACGATGTAACCTAGACAAGTCCAGGGTACCTAGGCCCTCAGAGAGCCAGCTGCAAAGCCTTTCATGAGATATCCACGGAGGAAATTCAATTGCAACCCTGCTCAATTGGCCCATCCAATGAAATGCTTCCTTTCCAAGGGTAGACAAATAACAGCTTGTTGATCAGTTAGATAACTGCGGAGTAGGTGATACTAAGGCCATTCACTAAGCCATAAAGGCCACCAAGCCATGACGATCAGCAACAACGGGGGCTTGAGAGTCGTCCCGTGTGCAGGGATTGTCGGCGCCCTAAATGTTTAATCCCAGTAAGCCTCTGGCCGGCTCGGCGGAAGTTACATCGTCCCGAACCTAGCGGCCAAAGGCATGCAATGCGGCGCAGGTCGTGGTATCATCTTCCCTGTAAAACAAAAATCACGCATATTGAAAATAGAGCAGATAGTCGGCCACCCCGAGCGAAAATGGCATGGGACAGTAGTGCCAGGGAGAAGACGTCGGGAGGGCTGTTGTTGTGAGGCACACGAGCTCGGTAGGTCCTCACATGGTAACAATCTCTACGTACGCTTCCCTTACGTGATAGATTCATTCTATTAAGACCCGTATTGACGCGGTCGTACCCCTTAATAACCAACCCCTGCCTAGATCAAGGTGTATATCGTTACATAGCACAGGGAAAGACGCCAGCTTTTGTGGCCAAGAAATCCGACAGCATGGTCCAAAGCTTTCGAGGCAGGATAGTGTGAGGACAGGACATCTCAGGCTCTGGGAATAACGATTTAGCATGAAGGTAGTCCAGGACATTCTAACAAGCACTCCGTCAAGGACGCCATGTCGGACACATATGGAGGTCGCGGACCTCTTTTGCTCGGAGTGACATGGGCAGAAGCATCACTGACCCTAGTCCTGTTCGCTCTGCGGGCAAAGACAGCCTCAATATGCCCACCCGAGAGCATGACATCCGGTATCTTCGGCCTGCGGTGGGATTTCGTTTGGGCGCTTTTTGCTCTGGTTGGTTATGTCTCCCCATAATTGAGAGTCTCTAACACTACAGAAGATGATTGCTCTAGCTGCACAATGCACAATGACTGTGAGCGTCAGGTACGGGCTTGGGATGCACCAAAGCATGTTGTCGGATTCCGATATCGTTCAGACGAACTTCTGGAGCTGGATTGCTCAGGCGATCGGGATCGTGGATCTGGCTGTTGCGAGGTGTGCGGTGATTGCTTTCCTCCTGGCCCTGCAAGCACGTACCCACCGCAAGGGACGATGGGTTCTGTTCTTCGTGGGCGGAATTCAGGGGGCTATTAATATCGCCGAGATAGGTGTTATATTCCATCAGTGCAATCCACCGCGGAAACTTTGGGATATGAGTGCTCCCGGGGCTTGTGATCTCATCGATATTTGTTTACATATTGGATACTTTCAGGGAGGTAAGTGCGTCCCAATGCACCCAGATAAAGTCATTGGCCTAACGTAATGATAGCCGTTGGAGCAGCAGCTGATATCTTCCTCGCCTTCTACCCCGTCTACATAATCGGAAGACTTCAAGAGATGAGGTTATCGTTAAAGATTGGCCTCTGTCTGCTGATGAGCGGTGGCATAATGTACATATCTCATCATTCCCTCCTTTATAATTCCACACCTCCGAAACAATGCGACTAACGATCTGAACCAAACGCAGCGCCGGAATCGCAGGAATAAACAAAACGATCGCCATCGCCAACATCACCGAAGCGACCGACCAGACCTACGCAATCGCCCAGCTAAACATCTGGGTCCTTACCGAGATGTGGTTCATCCTGATATTCGGCTCGATTCCAGTCCTCCGACCTTTCTTCGTGCGGTTCTCCCAGAGCATCAAAAGCGCCGCGTATGGGAGTTCACGCAATCGGTCCCTGCAGCCTCATTCGGGTTCAAATAATGATGCTTGGATGTATTTGCGGGATCGGCCGCATCGATCGTGGGTTTCTCGGGGGAAGGAGGATAGTAAGGGGACAAATGGGTTTAATAGTAATAGTCAAGAGGAGATTCTGGGGTTTGAGCTTAGGGATCAGATTGTGGTTACGCGAAACACAACTGTCATCGAGGAGAGGCAGTGATTAGTTTTACTGTGCTGCAAGGGTATCATTCTGGATTGGTAGACGGATATTAACCTATTCATCATGTTAATAAATGTACTAATCAGAGCATTCGAGGTCGAGGGCTCCTTGTGACACCTGGCATCTATATGTGGTAGGGGGCCAAATACACACAAGATTTGTGTAGCCTTCACCAATGAAGCAGAATGATATTCAGCAAGTACTCCGAAGGCGAGCAGCTAATCCCAACACCTCAGTAAATTAGGATTACGCACGCCTCAATCCCAACAAAGCCCATCCCATCCCTCTAACCCTGATAAGAAACAACCGTCCCTCACCCCCTGTCGAACCGTTACCCGTTCCAGCAATGCCGCAGTCATATCACGGCAGGGATAATCGTACCTTTGTCTTCCGAATGTAACTTCGATAGATTGGCTCCTGATTGCAAATGAGACAAGCAAAACAAGGTTGACTGTCCCACGAACAAGCCACTATGACATCTGCGAGCCGAGACCACTATTTAAGAGGTGAATGGACACCGGTTTGTGCTCCCCTCACTCTCTGCTACATTTTCATTCTTTGGACTGTTGTTAGAGCGAACAAGAAAACAGCAAGATGACAATTTTCGACGACATCACCGACGTCAAAAAATTAGCGGAAGCTGAAGCGGCCGGGGACGTGAATGCCCACGGCCAGCTGCTAGCCGCGATCCGCAAGCTTCAGTTAACGGCCGAGAAACCGGTGGAGACGACATCTCGGGTCAATTTTCAGGCATGTTTTCAATCAACCCCTCAATTCCTGGACAGTTAGACTGACGAGACAGATAATGCAAAATATCTGCGTCCGCGTTGCGGTCGAGCAAAAATTCCTCCAAGCCATCGCGGAGAATGACAGCCCCATTACCTCGGCAGAGATAGCGCGGGGAACAAATACGGAGGAATTGCTCATCGGTAATTAATCTAATCGATCTGGATAATGTGGATTCCAAAGTGTCAACCGTGGTAACAGTGTGATCAGTGCGCGTGATGCGGGTTATGACGGCGATCGGCTTTGCGGATGAGACGGCACACCAAACGTACGCTGCGAACGAGGTGACTCGGTTTGCGATCCTGCCGGGGTCAATTGCGGCCGTGAAACACCAGTAAGCTTGGGTATTCTCAATTGGGCTGCGGTGATCATGCTGATAACTAGTTGCTAGCTTCGAGCCTGACTTTGGCATGGTAGGTTATCGCGGAATCCGACCGAACATTCTACTCCGTGGGTTACTCCGTCGTATGCAGTACTGACCAAAATAGGGAGCGAAGCTAGTCGACTACATGCGCGGCCCTGGTGTCTCGCAATTCGCTGACCAGCCGGATGAAGTCACCCTATTCAAATATGCGCACGGTTTCGACAAGATCTTCGGCATGCTGGAGGTCAACCCCGAGCAGAAAGAAGCGTTTGACGAGTACATGGCGGCGCGACGACTGGTGCAGCAACCGCAGTGGTTTGAAATGTACCCGGCCGCCAAGAAATTGAGAAACGTACGGTCGCAAACAGACTCGGTGCTGCTAGTCGACGTGGGCGGTGGACCAGGTCAAGAAATGGCGCGATTCAGGCAGCGACACCCGGAAATTGCAGGTCGGATCGTCTTGCAAGATCTTCCCCTGACATTGAACCGGATCGAAAAAGTTCCGGAGGGAATTGAGCCGATGGAGTACGACTTCTTCACACCGCAACCAGTCCAGGGTATGTCATATCACGTGATCCCGGGGGGAGAAGAACAGGTGGCTTCTGGAAAAGCGACGGAAAAAGTTGCTAACGCGGGGGAAATCACAGGAGCACGGGCATATTTCCTCCGGCAGGTGCTGCATAATTGGTCCGATGCGAAGAGTATCCAGATTCTCTCCCGGATTGCAGACGCCATGGATGCGGACTATTCGACGCTGCTGATCGACGACTATGTGCTTCCCGATACCGGGGCCGGGTTGCGGGCGGCGGAGATGGATATCCTCATGTGGTTACATACGGCGGGGTTAGAAAGGACGGTCTCGCAGTGGAAAGCGCTATTTGATGCAGTTGGGCTCGAGTTGGTGGGGTTTTGGAACACCGATAAGAGCGATGAGTCAGTGTTGGAAGTGCGAAAAAAGGCAAAGAACAGGGAGAACAGGGCGAATGGTGGACCCGCGATGGTGGCAAAGCTCTGAATCTAGGAGGAAATCAGCACTTGGGGGCTGCACGTCAATGAAACCGGACAGGTTAGGTGCGGTCAGTATGAGACAGCAGGTTAATAATCACGAGTCGGTGAAGCAATTCTTGACATTCAGACCGAAAAGACCCACTGACAAGTCAGGCACCACCGAGTGATTGGTGCCAGTTCAGCAATTGGCGGGGCACCCGCCTTGCAGCCCTAATTAGCCTCACGTTCTGGCGGATTCGGTCCCAGTCACAGTCGACTAATCGCTCGCTCGAATGGGCCTCCCATTATTATTCTCCCCTCAGTCCGTCCCGGAATCCTACAGTTGGAAACCATGCATCATGAACCCTTTCAAGAAAATCGATCGACTCACCCCCGAATCCTCCCTTGACAGTACGGGATGGGCTACCAAAATCCTCGACAAAGCCATGGTGGCCGTCGGCTCCTACGGCGACAAGGCCGTCTACGGGGCCTGTGCAGTGGGGATGGCCGGTGCCATTCATGCCACCGCGGCAGGCGCGATTGCCTACCAGGTGGTCCAGGGAGTCGGGCAGCTTCGCCAGATTGCTGGCCATCTGGACGGGATCAACAACACTCTGGCGAGGGATCATGCCCTTAACGCACCTCCAGCGTTCGCCGACTTCGTCTATAACATGGTCAAGAACATGATTGGCAGTTCGTCCTCTAGCGCTTGGTACTTTGTGTACCATCCCGACACGTACTGGACCCATCATTTCTCGAATCAAATCCGCTCCGAGGGACCACTCGGCAAGCGCTTCATTGGAATCTTCCAGGATCTCGATATGGTCGTCATCTTCATGCGTGCCATGAGAACGGCGCTTGCATCAGACCCCAAAATGCAAGAGGATCCCCCACATTTCAAGCTTCTTATCCCGGCCTACTATCCCATTGTCATTACCTCGCCTCTTCAGTTCCCCAAGGATCTGGAGCCCTTCAACCTGTACTGCGACACGCACGACGGACAGCCCTTGGTCTGGATGAACTTACCTGGGGTCGAGAAAGGAATACATGACAATATCGGGCTTTACAAGCCGCCGCAGAGCCTCCTCAGCAAGCGTGAGCTTTCCCTATAGTTTCTGTCGTCCGAACCATTCTAATCCATATGTCAGTCTTCGGCTCGAAACAAAACACAGGCCCGCGAACCTTGGGTACCATCGGTGATGTCGACGGAGGAAAGCTGTACGAGCTGACCGATCGAAACGTCAACATCGAGCATCTCGCCGAGCACGAGAGAAAGAAGTATAACAGAAGAGCCTCTCGCTCAGCCAGCAGTCTGATAAGAGAGAATCTTGCCCGACTTGACGATGACGAACCTCCTCCTTACGACCAACATTCTTTCTGCAATGGCAATAATCGACCCATCAACCGGAGAAACACCAGCGCCAGCAGTACTCAGAAGAATGAGTTCGCCCGCGCCAGCAATGAAGAATACCCCAGATATGAGAACACCAGAGAGTACCAACCATACGAAGCGGACGAAAAGACAAACGAATTTGCCCGAGTCAGCAATGAGGACTATCCCCGATACGAGAACAACAGAGAGTATCAGAAATATGGGACAGACGAGAAAATTCCTCTTTGCGGACGAAACGAATTCTCAAGATGCAAGAGCGAGGAGTATCCCAAGTATCCCAACAACAAAGAATACCAGAAATACTCCGAGGACGAGAAACGCCCGAAGTCCGAGAAGAGCGAGTTCGAGCATTGCCAGAACGAAGAATATCCGAAATATCCCAGCGACGAGGAATACCAGAAATACCCCGTGGACGAGAAACGCCTGAGATTCGAGAAGAACGAGTTCGAGAACTGCAAGAAAGGGCAGTATCCGAAATACGAGAACGACAAAGAATATCAGAAGTACGAGGTTGACGAGAGACCTCCTCTCTGTGGACGAAGCAAGAGCCAGGAATACTCGAGATACCACAGCACCAAAGAGTATCAGAAATCCAGCAAGGATGAGAAGTCGCCGAAATCTTCTCCGAGATCTTCGAAGGATGAATTCGAGAAGTGCAGGACCGACGATTACCCCAAGTACAAGGAGAACAAGGAATACCAGAAGTATGACGAAGAAGAGGCGTCGGACAGATGGATGAGCGACGACGGCATGGACAACGCTTCTACCATCGCGTCAGTTGCCTACCTCGACGAAGACGAGGAAGAAGGAGAGGCATCTGATCGGAAGCCAAGGTATCATTCTCGTCGACACAGGTCTCCCCGATACAGTACGACATCTTTCGTCTCGAGCCTTGCTCCCTCCGAGAGTGTTTTCTCCTCCACCCACGGTTCCCACAAGGGATACCGTAAGAAGCGCAGACACCGCAGACGCAACCACAGCCGGACTCGGTCGAAAGCCTGAGGCGGCATTTGTACCCATATCGCGTTCCTGATCAGAATGGGTGGACTTCTGCTTGTCTCTTGCACTTTTGTAACAATCTCGAGTGTTGCCTGGTTTCTAATATTCGGAGAACGCGTTTCTCTTCCATCAACTTATGCATAATGACCCGCTTCATCTTGATCTCCACTTCACTCGTTTTCCGTCGAATTTTCCCGCATCATGAAGCACATTGAGATATGAATATAAATGACAACAACAATATATGTGCAATATGAATTACCCTTCGATTTCGTGATCCAAATTATACCATTTTCGCGCGTTCAAATCAGACCTATTGTTTATCAGCAGCCTATCCTTTAACGAGAGTTTCCTCCTACATCTGCTTCAGCGACAGGCATACCAGACATTGTAATAGACTCTTCAATCTGCGCATGTCGAATTTCATGGCCCGCAGGTTGCAGGGAGGTCGAACCAGTCATTCGCGACCGCAAGGGGTAGTGTCAAATCCAAGACTCAAAGCTCAACTTTCAACGCCACTCCACATGACATAACTATACATGAAAATACTTGAAACATAATATATGGAAAAAAAAAAAAAAAAAAAAAAAAAAAAACAGCTATTACTCTAGCAGCAGTATGACAACATGCAACTCTCTCTGATCTCAAGGGAAGGTTGCCGTCTGCTCTCGTGGCCGATCATCAACAAAGATGGCGCGAGGACCGGGGAAAGGCAACCACTCGAGCTCAGTAATCACTCTCCTCTCTCCGTTTCTGCCTTTCCTGTCGCTAAACTCGCTTGACGATCACAAGTTCGGAGGGAGGTGGAGTACGATTCCGGGGTCTCCGGATCTCATGCATGCATACATGCATGAAATGAGCGGGTATCTGGACACTCAAATGACCGCGACGAGGAATCAAAGTTTGACTCATCCAATTTCGTAATCACCCTACCCCTCGACTTCTTTGAGCCGGGAATATTCTAGTGGACTAACCGGAAAGTGACTCGACAGTTTGCTTCAACGGATAGACTGCCAGGGACCCGATTTGTTTGTGCCCCGCGGAATTTTGGTCTATGCATGGAGCCTTTGCTGTAGCCTCTTTCTATTGAGCTCGGGAACACAGCTGAACGGTAGGGATTCCGAAGTCGGCGTAGGTAACCGATAGAGCAGATGGAGTCTGGGATGGTGTAGTCGTCGAGGGGCCTATTCTCACCCGTTCCCGCAGATATTACCAAATCGTAGATCCCATCAACTGTCTGGTAAACTCTCGACTGTTTGCTTCGATCTATCTTGTCTCGTAATGTATTCGCGATTCGCGTTTCCGTTTGTCGCGTTGCTCCTTCATTTCGCAGCAGTGTTCCTTTTTGGACCCTGCAGAGGATTCTGTGATGCAATCATTATCATTCTTTTCTTCGTTTCCATCAGGCCCGGCCAATCTAAGACATTCGACATCATAGTTACATCCGTTAGATGTCGAGAGCTTCGTCTTTGCCCCTTGCTTGGGCCTGGACTCTGAAAGCTGGAGCACATCGTCATTGAGTCAGTCTACTGAGGTCATGGTACATAAAACTCAAGCTCATGGGCCATGTGTCATCGACGCAAGGTACCATAGTGGCGAATCTTCCTCTTGATGTACGGTGACATGGAAACGTCGCTGGGTGAGATGTTGTTGGGGTGACCATTATTGTTGTTGATGAGGGACGACGCGTCTCACGCGTTGTGTCGACTGCCGGATTCGGTACTTCTTATCACGTGATTGTTTGTCAGCACAAAGGTGCATGGAGTATGATCTTTTCAATCTTCCTATACTTTTGGGGGTTTTAAATATGATATACTGATCTCTGTTCAGTGATCCTCTGTCCTATTCAAGTTGTAGTAATTAAACCCTTCATCTTCAGGGCGGTCAGTGGATATATATATATTTGTGCGGCTTCATGAATGTATGCGAATCTATGTCACCAGATAGACAAGTTCAATATGTAAAAGCGAAAGGAGTTTTAAATCTGTATAGTAGAGTTATTGCAATAATCGAGTAACTATACAAATGATATATTCGCATCAATTTGTGTGTTGATCAGACAGCCTCCTTAGGTTGTTTCGATACTTCTCTCCTTTGGGTGCTTTAGAAGAGTTGATTGGTATTGGTAGAGAAACAGCCTCTAGCGTGGGGGTCATCTGGTTCTGCCTTGAAAGGAGATTCAGCTTCAGGTCTAAGTTTACTAGATAAAATGAATAGCGCTCTTGTTCCAGTGCTGACAGAAGAGGGATCCGGGATTCCCTTTCTTGAGAAAGGTGATCTATAACGTATCTTACAACTACAAATCGTCGCTGTTTGGACCATACATAGTAGCTAGAATCTTCTACTAGAAGAGACAACCCCGAGCAGCAGGAGAAACCGAGTAGCGACGTGATCGCATTGACCTTCGATTCGCTTCGGTTCGTGTGTCCGATGACGTCATTGATCTACAGCGAACGAGAACGAACCAATGATGGCTATCCGAGTGGCCCAAAGGCTCTTCTGAATGGCTTGGATGGCATCATCCTATGAATGTTCTGGACCGCCTAACTGACGATCCGCAATGGTGGGGTAAGCTGGCTGGGGTCTGCTTGTCCCGCTTCCGTCCGCTTCTGTTCTCCCACTTCTTCCTCTTTCATCCCCTCTTCAACTCTCAACTGCAACACTGAACCCCTCCCTTTTCTCCGCGACTTCCATCAAACCGCTTCCAAAATGTCTGGCAACACTAAGGCTTTCTTCGACGTCAGTTACAATGGTAAGTCTTCTGTCTGTTGCTGTCGGTTTTGTTTAGAGGAAATCCAGTAAAGAGGACGCTTTTACCCCTCAATCCTTAGCAAACCTCGAATACAGCTTAGATGTTTTCTCCATCTATATTCATCCAATACTGTCATCCTTTATCCAAGATCTCTTGATTGACCTTATTCTGTACTCAATATAGGACAAACGAAACGTATCAACTTCAACCTCTTCGAGCAAGAGGTCCCCAAGACTGCCCGCAACTTCCGTGAGCTCTGCACCAAGGCCCAAGGCTTCGGCTATGCGGGCTCTGGCTTCCACCGTGTGATTCCCCAGTTTATGCTCCAGGGTGGTGACTTCACCAACCATAACGTGAGTTCCGTGGCTCTCAGTTCCGATCGACAACCCCCGCGTGGAGGCTGACAATCCAATCTGGACAAACAGGGCACTGGTGGCAAGTCCATCTACGGCGAGAAGTTCCCCGACGAGAACTTCAAGTTCAAGCACACCAAACCTGGCCTCCTCTCCATGGCCAACGCTGGTCCCAATACGTAAGTCGGCACGATCCCTGATTGTCAATTTGTTCGACTGCTAACGAATTGAATTTAAAGCAACGGCTCGCAGTTCTTCATCACCACCGTTGTGACCTCGTGGCTCGATGGCAAGCACGTCGTTTTCGGCGAGGTTGCCGACGATGAATCCTTTAATGTTGTCAAGGAAATTGAGGCTCTTGGCTCTGCTAGCGGCAAGCCTAAGTCTGAGATCAAGATCGTCAATGCTGGTGAGCTATAGACGTATGCTGGGTCAGGGTGGCTTTCTACGAGTAGGTCAGGTGACGTGAAATGTCTATTTATATCAGAGAATAGAAACTAGAAGATCGGTTTCTTCCTATATTTATAGGGATACATAGTCTAGACCAATCTACTTGTCCCGTAGCATCGTAGCCACTTTATCTAGACAAGCAAAGCAGGCATGGACTGCACACAATAATCAGGGCAATCGAGGTATCTGATGCATACTACCATCCCAACAATCTGTACATACAGGTATGCCATCTATAAATGAATGTGGGTCTTGGTCACCCTGCGTCCATCTCTGTAGGCATCCAAAACCTCATTGACATTCTCAGCCAAGAGTCCCTGCTTGACCACATAGTCCAATGGCTTAATTTGACCACCCTCAAGGTACCCGGGAAGTCGCGACCAAAACCCGGCCGCAAGCTCAGGATGTCCATGAGAGCTGCCAAACACATCACGTACATCGAACCCTGCCTTCTTCCCCTGGACCCTTGACTCATCGACTGGATCACGGGGCAAGAGACGAGCTAGAGCACCTCTCTTGCTGTTCGAGAGGGCATTCAGAGCTAGGAACAAGCCATCGGGAGGGTTAATAGCATCGTACGCATACACCAGATCATCGCCGACTATATCGCGAATCTGGGCAACGATTGCCTCCTCTCCAGCGTGGCGGTCGAGGACATGGGTAGCGCCAAAGGACTTCAACTTCGTCTCGTCGCCGCCCACCACCACAATGCGTCCGATGTTCGCGAGTTTGGCCAGCTGCACGCCGAATTTACCACAGTTAGACCCCCCTCCGACGATCAGGATTGCCGTATTGGCGTAGTCGAACTCCCTTGCCTCAGCAGTCCACGGCGCAGGGATATTCAGCGTCTTGAACAGAGCCACTAACGGCGCGATAACATTCGTAGGTAACGTCGCAGCTTCGTCGTCTGTGACCGAATCCGGAATCTTAGCGAGAGATCCTATATCCGCAATGGCGTATTCTTGAAGGCCATTCTGCGTGGAACCCGGTAGGAATGTTGGTTGATACACGACGCGATCGCCGACCGCAAGCTCAGTGACTCCGAAGCCTAGTTTGTTGACCCGGCCAACGACGTCGTGGGTGATGATGGAGGGGAGATCTCCTTCGGTCATCAGACCCCAGTCACGGCCCTTCTGGTCGTGAGGGTTGATGCCGGCAACAGCCACTTTCACTTGAACCTGGCCTACGGCTGGCTCGGGGATTGGTCGGTCGTTTACCAGAGTGACAGGCTTATTGAGCTCCGTGACAACGATCGCTTTCTGAGTGGAAGACATGGCGGAGTTATGCGAGCGATGAGTTGGTCTAGACAACTAAGTAATTGTGATGGTGATTATGTGTGTTATGGCACGGTCAACATGAGTTAGCAGCGAGTATTTATGCAGCACAAGGCTGACGCTTACCTACCGTTTACTAATTCACGAAAAAGGATGAGAGCAATTTGTCAAGTGAATGGCACCAATTTGTCAGGATATTCGTCTTATGGCGCGACGATTATTAATAGTGAATACGGACTCTTGGGACGGATCCTTCGGTCGCCTGCTGACAGCCATGTTCTCAGATAGGGCGACATATGCCATGCGATAATCCTAGGACTGGACTATAGATTGCGGTAATCGAACCTGGTTTGAGGACAGATCGAGCTACTTTCCACATTAGCACGTACTTCGTACTCCTGCCAATTTATGGTTAAGTTCAGGAAGTTCAGTCCTACCATGTCCGGTATTTCCTAGGTTTAGTAGCTTGCTGTAGGGAGTTCCATGGGCATTAGAACATGCAAGATCCCCAAAAAGTCTGTCTCTGGGTTAGATCTGGCAGTTCTACCCGAGATCCAAAGCCTGATTCTGGTCTATATTATAGCAGTATTGTCTACACCCTGGCAGAAGTCAGTATTATGTTATACCTATCCTCTCCCTTACCTTTTAGAGGGCTACCTACATATGAATATCAGATCCGTGGTCTAGCTACGGATACTAACACTAGCCCTCAGCGTCGACAAGTGTGCTTAAATATTCGAAAGTAAAAACCAAAGCTTCTTATGCAGAATATTGAAACGCGGTAGAATTCCTTTACAACAGTTCCAGATTTCTAACTATTTATACAATCAATAGACTTGTAGGAAGTCCCATACTCTCCTAAGAGTACTACAGACTTTTTGGTCCCTTATATAAGACTTAAGGTTAGTTCTAATTCCCATCCACGGCGGGAAGTCCCAGGTCCCACCGTGGGAGTCCCGTGGGAGATGTCAATGTCTTGTACAGGCAGTGCAGCTGCTGCATCCAACGTCTCGAAGCAGAGGAAATTCGAAGAAAATAACATCAACTACAAGAATTACAGAAGACGCGAAAAGCTCTCGATAAGGTTTAGGTAATTCCATTCCAAAAGCGGGTAAAAAGCAGTCCCAGATATATTATAGAAGTCAGAAGAAGAGAGGCCTTCTACAAGATCTAGTATCAACCCATAGCCTTCTTTCATCAAGTTCTCCAGGTTTGGACGTTACGTTAATTTGCTGTAATTCGGAGGAAGGTAAATTCTACTATTCACAACTCAAAACATTAGGTCTTATAGACAAGATGAATATCAGATGGATTGGATCAAGCTGATTCGATACGGAGTTGATTCTGTATACGAAGCTCTATTATCTATTTGATCGAGTCTTAATTGATAACCAAAATCAACCTTACACGCATAATCAAAACCCCCTTTACCCTTGGAGGACAAGCTCCGCCATTATACCAAACCTAGCCCAGAATTACAAATTCATTACAATGGCCTCTGCTTTAGCATAAAAAGTCGTCAGTACTACTCCTCACAAACCTGCAACGAAGACCCCTGACAGGAGGCGGGGGATGTAGCCCCACGGTAGCCCACATAAATCGCCATACCTAGAACAGCACAGCTTGCGAGCACTAAAATAATTCAAATTACATATCGATACTACCTGGCACTTGCCATTGCGGAGAAGGGCCAATTGTTCGCCCGCCCCTCATTGTAATTGCACTCCATAGTTTACTGCTCCTCGTTAGACCGACCATGCCCTGTCGATCAGCACAGGCCGAATTGTACATGCCGAGGCTCGGATTGGCGGAGAACACCCATTTAGGATTGAGCGTGGTGCCTATATCCGTGGGTTTCTCTTTCTTTTTGCAATTGCTTGCATTCAAAATACGCTAATTCGACCGTGGCATACAACACGCTCACTGTCCTTTATCCCATCAAAATGTCAAACCCCGCTCTTCTCAAAGCCGCCGGATATGGTTCCATCGTGTTCGCCCTGAAGCACGCGGTAAGCATGACCTGAACCTTGACTACTATATACCGCCAATCATCTAATCATTTTTTAGTCTACCGCAAGACAATTCCAGAATCTCCGCCAGTTCCAGGACCTGCCTGATATCGCATACACGTGCAGTACCGTCGGATGGTACCAAGGCAGCGCCTATTTGGTTCTAACCGGTAGATCATCACTTTTCACACGGATGATTGTCGAGTCTAACAGCTCAATTTCTTAGGTCTTCTTAATCTCAACTGGGCACAAAACCCAGGCACTTTGAATGAGCCCCTGAACCGGGCTATGGCTGCTCTGCTTGTGCTTATTGCTTGGTCTAGCTCGACTTGGTACCTGCGTAGGGGACAGAAGGCGAGTGGGATTCTCACGGCCGCGGCTGGTATGTTTCAGGCTTGGGCAGCTTTTCACTGATTGTCTTGTTTGGGACGTCTGTGTATGAGATATTCTTTCTCACAGTATAAATGATGGGTCATTGGACTACTGCATGCTCTACTATGTATCTGTACATTCTCTGATTCAAATCGAACTTGGATTTTGCCACAATACATCTGGCCAACATATCTCGTTTCTCTTCATCGAAGGCAATGAGCTCGCAAGCTCCACTGTAAATAAGGTTTTTCGTCTGTCGGAGTGACTGTCAAGCCGACCCCGACTGGTGTCTGTCTCCACTGCTGTCGGAAAGTGCCAATCCTGAAGTTCAAAAACTGGCAATTAGATGGGTCGACCCACTAGAGCCATGCTGTGTAGTTTATGACGGTATTTGCTCGACCTTATTGCATAAACGTTAAAGGCGATTTCAAATAATGCGAAAAACGATAGTACGCAGTAGAGTGCTATAAGATTAAGATGCCCAGAAGTCTACAGATTTCTGTTTTCATCTCTGAATCATTCGGACTACATCAACATGACAGGGAACATTTCAATGGTAACAGGCGCCAGCGGCTTCATCGCCAGCCACGTTGTTCAACAACTACTTGAAAATGGCGACCAGGTCCACGCCACCGTTCGCAGTACCAAGAATAAAAAGAAAATCGGGCATCTCCTCGACATGCAAGAACGATGGCCAGACAGACTACATTTATTCGAAGCGGATTTGCTTGTCGCGGGCTCATTTGAAGCTCCAATGCAGGGTTGTTCGGTAGTATATCACATCGCCTCGCCGTTTTTCATCGAGAACAAGATTCGCGACGGCCAGAAGGAGGTTGTTGAGCCGGCTCTGAAAGGAACGCAGAACGTACTCGAGGCAGTCGAGAAATGCGAGACGGTCAATCTTGTGGTTTTGACATCGTCTGTCGCTGCTGTCTTTGGCGATAATGCCGATGTGCTGGAAATGAAGAACATGACACTCTCTGCAGATTATTTCAACACTACGAGCTCCGTCACCCACAACTCATATCCCTACTCTAAGGTGGTCGCTGAAAAAGAGGCATGGAAACTGTACGAAGCCCAGTCAGAACCTCGACGCTGGAAACTCGTCACCATAAACCCGGGGCTTGTCCTTGGACCATCCTTATCTCCAACCTCCGAATCCGGTAGCCTGGCTCTACTTGACCAGCTCTTACGCGGACAGCTATTTCTGGGCGTGCCTGATTTGTGGTTCGCGATCGCTGATGTACGAGACGTCGCAACTGCGCATACTCAAGCTGCCAGTGATCCAGATTCTCATGGTCGCTATATCTTGGCCGACAAGACATCGCATAGTTTTGTTGAACTCGCTCGCATAATACGGTCATTCACGCACTCCTTTATGATTCCGAAAAATAAACTCCCAAATGCCTTAGTACGTATGTCTGGGCCAGTGCTTGGTTTAAGCCAGAAGTGGCTGCGACTAAACCTTGGGATTCCATTCGACATTGACAATCGGCGGAGCGTGGATGAATTGGATATTGTTTACAGGCCTCTGGAGGAGACATTGTTAGATCATTACCGGTCTTGGAAAAGTGGCCAGGCATCCAGGCATTAGCCTTTTCGGTTATCTAGTATTGACAGTATAGCTGGTTGTCGTAACAAACTGTTAAGGCATGAGTCTACTGGCTATCAATTTTTCGGCCATCTGTATAGGCTATTTGTATCCATCTCGGAATCATCCCCTTGGTCAGAAGTTGGTCTGACTTCTTGAATATGTCTGTTCGATAATTATTTACTATATGCTCACTATATAATCCCTCTATACTCATATTCCAAGGGCTACAAAGTCAATAGTCACACAACCAGAAACAATATGTCCTACATGCTAGGATAAAATACTGGAAATGGTGCAGGACAAATTACCCCATTGTCAAGGACAAGACTCCCCCGATATGTTTCCATCACGTATCGCTTCTACATACCCCTTTCCGGAAGGCAATGAATGCTCAGGGTGCATTAGGAACAAGCCCCGTAGCTATGCGCTTGATCTGGTCACGGAAATATCGCTTTGTTATATCAGCACCCACGCATCAATCACCGGACTAATGTGAACTTACTGTCTCTGCACCTCCACCTAACATCCTCATTTTGAGAAGTCTTCGCAAGAAAGGGACCTGGACCTTAGAGAACATTACCCGGGCTTGTTGATCAGTGTATATATCGTCTATCATGAGTCGCGGAAAATCGGGGTTCAGAACTGCTGGACGACCGATGCCCACGAGATCGCAGGCGCCGCTGTCCAACGCGGCCTCGATTCCTTTCCGGGTTCGAAAGCCTCCCGTTAGGAGGAGAATCAGGCCTGGAAAGTGCTTTCTGGCCTGTGTTGCGAAGTCTAGAAAGAAGGCTTCGCGGGATTCGGCCATTGGGCTTGTACTGGTGCTGGTTTCGTCGTGGAGGCCGCGGCCCATCATCTAATTTCCATGTTAGCTGTTGTATTGGATATTATTGCAATAAATGAAATTGTTCGTATACGTGCCTTTGGGTCTTCATATGATCCGCCAGATATCTCAAGAAAGTCGACACCGGCTTCTGCAAATAGACGAATCTGGGCCATTGTGTCTTCGAATTCTGACGTGTTTAGATCAGCGGAGTTGAGCTTGATCCCGACGCAAAAGGTTGCAGGGACAGCATTCCGAATCTGCTGGATGATTTCGAGAACAACACGTGCTCGGCGTTCTGCGCTACCACCGTATTCATCTTGACGGATGTTCGTCTGCTCGAGTAAAACCGGGTATTAGGGAAATCGTTATTGCCTCTAGTGCAGTTATTAAGGTTGAAGTTACTTACTCGGGGCGAGAGAAATTGCGCTATATCCCCAATTCAGTCAGGTGAGTTTAAAGTCAAGAGATGAAGGCTTACACAAAAGGTATCCATGCGCCGCGTGGATCTCAATGCCAGAAAACCCGCACCGCGCCAAAATGCAAGCACATGTGACAAACTGGGCGATCACACGATCAATATCAGAACGCGACATTGGTCTCGGGACACCGAAAACAAGATCCCTGAAAATAATCGCAGCCCAACCACTTCCTACGTCAAGGGGGATTTCGCTCGGAGCGATCGTTCTTTCGAAAAGGGCTCGTTGACCGGCTTTTCTTGGCGATTGGCGGCCAGGATGGCATATTTGCGCGATTGCAGCCGTGCCGTGTTTTTTGACAGACATCTGCGTATCGTCTCCATGCATCCATTGAATCATGGTCGTTTTCTTGAAACTCGCTCGTGGCTAGATCGCTGTAGCCTCCTAGGTGACGAACATCGACCTGGATGTTTCCTTTTCATGGTGTTGAATTTTAGCCGAATTATTGGAGCATCATTGGATCGTACCTGTGAGAAGAGCGCCCCATCCGCCGTTTGACCACTTGTCGTAGACTCGAGATATCTTTGGGCCGGGTAAATGCCTTCCTTCTGCTAGTCCTTCGGCCATGGCAGCCTAGGCACAGTTATTAGATACTATAGAACTGCGGAGAGTGGTCATCTTGCCGCACCTTCACTAAGCGATTGGGCAGGACCAAGCCACATGGTAGCTTGAGGGGTTCTTTGATAGCTGTCCTCATCTTTCAACAATTGTATTTTGTCAGTCCCTGTTTTGTTGTTTTCCTGTCGTATACAGGTCAACATTTGGGGAATATAGTCGCTGTTCATGCTGATTTCTTAGACCTTGGCCTTACAAATCATACGGTGAACGCATGCAACCGGGAAAGTGGAAACCTAGGATCTACTGCCGAGGCATTCGTCGGTCTCGATTACCAATATTTCCGGTTGTACTAAGTCCATCTGCTAGATGGCTCCGGCATCACTGTTTTCGGTGATGGACAGCTGCAGGAGATGCTAAAATGTGCCAAGGACATGATACACACCGAAATATAGATTCGATAAACACCACGCTCTATATAGTCAAATGATGTGAGAAAGTGGTATATCACACAGTGCCAATTCTATTTCACTCTTTGTCCCTATCCAAAATATCATGAGCATGTAGGAAATATGAAACTTATGCATTCATAACTTCGAAGTCCCACTCTTGAGTGCGGATCGACCCAAGCTTGTTATGGGCATCGGACCAACAATCCATCCGCCAGATAATCGAAGACGCAATAGTGGGACCTAAATTACATGATTAGCTGAACAACCATTTTTCCCATGTTGCAATTTTTTCAGATGGCAGCTTATGTTCGGTCTGTTCACTTTTAGAGTTAACGATATCTGAAAATATGACCTTAGTTATGCAATGGCAATAGATCGTCAGGAGCACACATCGTCGACCTATATTACCTGAAGAAGAGCGTAAATTTGCAACTTCGTGGTCTCATACACGGGATCAAGAAGGTTTCATTTTAGTACGTGAATTCAGTTTGTGAAATGCAATTAACTGGCGGCCGAAAGAGTCCCTGCAAATTCTACAAAATCATGGAACGCAGTAATAAGCAGGCCCGGTAGAACTTCCTAATCATACAGCGAAGCAATTTCAATCAAACACAATCACAGACTTTCCAACGCCACCTTTCCCATCGTATACCACTTGACAAGCATTCCGAACAGCGTTGATATCATTAAAACTTGCCTTGGTTCCGACAATCGTTTTCAACTTTCCGGCCTCCACCCATCCCCGAATTGAGTCCAGATCGATCGCATTCGGTTCTAAAAAGATAGATGCGTATTTGACCCCGTAACGGGATGCACGAGCTACCCGGATCCGATCCATGACGTTCAATCCAATCCGAATAGGGAACGGCACTGTTGCTTTGTCTTTCTTATCGGGCGACCGGCGCATAACGCTCGAGTTCTGGAGCACGTCTCCAGAGGTTAATATAGACACTGTAATGATGGCTCCTTTCGGTCGGACCAGTGACAGATACTCCATTGCGCTTCCCTGGGTGTCGAAGATAAAATCGACAGATCCTTTGGGAATGACTTCATTGGGATCAGACTTTTTGTAGTCGATGACTAAAACCGGTTGTGAGTCTTCTGTCAATATCCATCCAATTGGAGTTGGTGTCTGCTTACTCTCGTCCACAACTCCCTCTCCTAGGAGCTCTTTCACCATGGGAACCTTCTGGGTGGAAACCGTGGTGATCACCTTGCCGGCTTTGAAGATGTTCTTCGCGAGCTGGCATGCGAAAATACCGGTGCCGCCAACTGTGTGAAGATAAGTCACTGGCCTGGGATGACCAAACAGGGAGACTTACGACCAGCAGGTATGAAAACGGTTTTACCTGCGAGGCCGCCTTCGTAGCCTCGCAGTGCCTGGAGGGATGTCATGGCCGCCAACGGAATTGAAGCGGCGTCTTCCATGGACAGACTCTGCGGCTTCAATGCGACAAAGTCTTCAGTCGATCGGGCAAGCTCACTCCATGACCCGCGGTGGCATTCCGGTAATCGCACAAAGACCTCATCTCCGGCCTTGAATCGTGCCACTTGGGATCCAGTATTGACAACAGTGCCAGCGCAATCGTAGCCGATCTTGTACGGAAAGCTTTGTGAGAGTTAGATTGGGGAAGCAATTTAGAAACAGGTATCCTTACCTATCTTTGAGAACTATTTTAGTTGCTCCGGAAGCTTTCTTAACGTCAATCGGGTTGATACTCGCGGCATGAACCTTGATCAAGATGTCGGTAGGGTTCTCCACGACCAGCGAGGGGACATCGCCCAGCTGATATTGGTCCGGCGTAGTATGTTCTGAAATGTAGACAGAACGCATCTTGGCTGGTGTCATGGGAGGGAATTACACGAATCCAACCGTGATGACAAGGAATGTCGATTAAATCAGACGAAGTTGGCAGTTAATCAGCCGAACGTGCCGAAAGCTTATTCGACTCGGAGCTTCAATCTGCCCGACGGAACTGGAGGACATGGAGGACATGTCAAATCCCGTCTGTTTCCGACTCCACTTGGACTTTTGCCCGGCTGGACCCTTTTCTTAGTCATGTCGATCGCAGGCAAATCGGAGGGATCCTTGCCCGGCTTTTGGCTATGTTTTGCTCACTAATATTGTTCATAGCATGGCGGTTTCGACGCCAACATACAGCTTGTTCCATGCCATGTGCGCCTACAGCTGGTTGTTCCTTGCTTCTCCTACAGTCCCCTGAAAAATGATCTTTGAAGGCATCACTTGGACAGCGTCCACTGGTGGGTTACGATCGTGAAATCGGGGTCAATTTCATTCTATCAAAATCATACATAAACAGGTAGCCAAAAATTAGTGTGGCCGCGGGAGATAACTAAAGCGATTATAATGGTGTAGTTATAGCCTTGTATTGCTGACAGGTTCACCTATTTCGCATCATCAATCACAATAAAAAGCCCAGTAAATGGAACTATCACTGTACTCTATAAATTTGGAGTCTATAACCAAAACGAACTTCTCAATACAAAAAGTGGTTTGCAGTTATTGATCATACAAGTTTTCCCTTCTTTCTTCCTTTTGTTTAATTTACATGGGAGTGAATGAGACGGCATGGTGAAAAACTGCTGCAAAGGCCAAGGGGGATTGAGAAAAAAGAATGTCACCTCATCCTAATTTTTGCTGTAATTCTTGATTAAATGTCATGCGATAATGCTTGCTAGGATAATGTTGAAAGAGACTACAACGTATGCTCCCCGGCAGAATGTGAGGTGGCATATTGACCAAGTTTGGGCAAGTTGTGCTGTGTGTAGGCATAGGATGACTAACGCCGTTGACTGTCGAAGTGTCTAAGGGAAATTGGGTTCAGTATCAGAGGGAGCCTGCTAGTTTTCGATAGTCGTTCACCATCCACGTCCTTGAACTCTTGTATATGTATGGGCAGCAAACCCCACATCCCAATTTGGAAGTCTTATTTAATGGGTATAGGTAGATGGGGTACTTGATGAGCCAGAGGTAAATTGGTAATTCGTAGTTGGATGGACATGGAACTGATTTGCCTGCATCGAAGACTCCATACATGAAGTCGCTTCGTGGAATCAAATATAATCGGGTACATTGCTGATAAAGATATAGATGACACCAGATCTCGGGCAAGGCGCCAATATCGCTATTGAAAGTGCCGTATCGTTGTCAAACTGAATAACCCCAATGCAGGAATCTGCCGAAAAAAAATGCAAGTCTCTCTTGTGGACATAGGCTGTCACCTATCACTCTAGGCATTCTTTTTTACTTACCCCGAACACATTACAAGCACGGAGGTCCATATAAGTGATATTACTATAAGAAAGATGAGAGGTTACCCTCATTAACTACCATCCAATTTACCGTGAGCAGTGCCAGCGATACACACGAATACGGTCATATTGAGTAGTCAAGGCTGAATTGTTCTTCGCCTGGATTTACCAAAAACTCTTATAATTCCTCAAAAGCGACATAGACCAGCTGACCAGATCACGTAGAAAACTGACAGTAGACTCTTGTCGTTTATTCGATATTCTTCAACTAAAACTGACGAGTTATTTGTCATTTTCTTCAACCGTGGGAGGCAGGAGTGTGGCGGATCCACAGCAAAACAAATCTCGGTTGCCTATTCGGGAAATTCCACGGCGCCATTCTCGCGACGGCTGGTGGATTCAAATTCCCCACTCCCACTTCTGGAACAGGAATGCGCTAGACCCCGTTCTTTACGCACGGGAAATTAGCGCTGCTCTTTGCTAGAGAAAGCACATTGGCTCAGTTTGGGGCCACGAAGGGCTCTGTCGACGGCTTGGCTATAGATTACATTCGCATATCTGATCGAATTTGAGATACCCCAAACACATGTTACTCTAACAAACACTCGGGCCGCCGCAAGTGGACTACATTCGATCATCATGGCTACTCGGTTCTCCTCAGATACGGCTGTTGCAATGCAAAAAGTATTGGATCAGGCTACTTCTGGCGCATCTCCCAGTATCCCCGGACTGATTTATTGTTCCATTAACCGTGATGGTGATATGCTATTTCAACATGCATCCGGTCGCAGAGGACTAGATATCGATCAACCAATGTCCCTAGACACCGTTTTCTGGATGGCATCTTGCACAAAGCTGATCACCAGCATCGCCTGTATGCAGATGGTCGAACAGGGCAAGCTAGACCTAGATAGTGTTCAACAGCTCGAGTCCCTAGCCCCGGAGCTGAAGGCCGTCCAGGTGCTGGAACGGGATTCGGATGGTGGATTTCATTTAGTACCGAAGGAACGGGGAATCACGCTGCGAATGCTCTTGAATCATACTTGTATGTGTCTCGTTCCTCCTAACCTCTATTACTTCTCTTCCAAGATGGTCAATAGAAGGACTAATTCTATATAGCTGGGTTTGGATACGCATTCGAAGACCTGAAGCTCAACGACTGGTCTCGCCCGGTCGGCTTAGATGACTTTTCTGGACATGAAGCGGACGTGCTCCATCGACCACTTGTCAACCAGCCAGGAACTAAATTCCAGTATGGAGTCGGCATGGACTGGGCTGGGGTGCTCGTGGAACGCGTTACAGGAATTTCTCTTGAAGATTATTTCCAGCTATTCATTCTACGACCGATAGGCATTGCATCTATCACATTCTTCCCTTCGCCGAGTCTGATCGACAATCTGGCATATTTGCATCAAAGGGCAAAGGATGGCTCATTGAGTGTTACTGATCACCTCTATCGATATCCACTGCTGACACGTAAACCGGGAAATGAGAGAAATGCATTTTGCATGGGCGGTGCAGGGTGCTTTGGAAAGCCGGTTGAATTTTGTCGTGGGTTTCTCGTCCAATTATTTGCAAAATCATAACCTAAGTCATGTAGAACTTATAGCAGTACTGTTGAATGATGGAGCGCACCCTAAGACTGGGATCCATCTCCTAAAGCCAGAGACAGTAGCAGGTAAGACGAAGCCCATCTGCTCAATCTACAAGCAAAGACCTCTATATTGACCAACTAAAGAAATGTTTACGGACCAGATTCCCGACAAACCGCGATACTCCAACGAGTATACGCCATCCGCAAAACCGCTCCTCGCAAACCCGTGTCCTCTGGTTCCCTGTGCAGATGATTTGACGGAGGGCTGGGGACTGTCGTTCTCGCTAAGCTACCAGAAAAGCATCACCGGCAGAGCTGCAGGGTCTGGCTCCTGGGAAGGTCTCGCCAATTTGTTCTGGTTCGCTGACAGGAAGAATGGAGTTGGCGGAATCATTGCCTCGCAGATTCTTCCATATGGAGGTGAGTTCATGTTCGTTCAATTCGAACAAGACGAGGTTCGCTAAGGTTGTACGAATAGACCTAAAGGTTCTTGATACGAATGACACCGTCGAGAAAATGATGTACGATGAACTCTTGCGCATTTCATAAGCCGCATTCAATCAGGGGCTGTGACGATGACAACCTGTTGAGTTCTCAGCTGCGATGGGCTTTCGAATCTTGTATCTACCTACCTTCAATTAACAGTACGCTGTATTGGTCAGTCTTCGATTTTCCTCGAGTACGAACATTGAGCGACTCCAATGCTCAGATTAGGATCGAGAAACACTCTTATAGCCATCTAAAACAATCGTAGTATATGGAAACGAGGTCGGCATCGTTGAGGGGTGTGAATCTGCGGGTGATTCTGAATTGAATCCCCCTCGACGACTGTTTGAGATTACTAGCAAGTTCATCGAGGCAGACTACCTAAAACGTAACGCATAAAAAGATGCAAGCAAAACTGTGAAACTATTCATATGCTCATTTTCGCTCTAATGAATATTATATAGCCGTGTTTGATGGCTGTTAGCTTTGGGGTGGGATTGCTTTTTGAAACGCGAAATTTCGATTCATATCATAAACTTCGGTAAATTCATCATTTATAAAACTTGGAAATAGTTACAGCTTTCCAGCTGAACCCACCCCATTCCTCTGCGCTCCATCATAGTCAATCTGGAAGCTAAAATTGTCGTCGTAGTGGATCTTCCAGTATCCATCCCAAATCGCCTTGGTTATCGGTCCCACTGACCCCCCGTTAACCGGCTTTCCATCCAGCGAGGTAATAGGCATGATTCCTCCAGCGGTAGTCGACATGAAGATCTCATCTGCCTGGTAGGCCAACTCCACAGGGACCGTCTCAACGCGAACCTCCAACCCAGAAGCGCGCGCCACATCAATTACGCTCTTCCGGGTGATTCCCTGCAGCACGCCGCGGTCAGGCGTATACAAGACACCATCCTTGACCAAGACAACGTTGAATCCCGAGCCTTCTGTCAAGTTGGCATCTCCGTCTGTCAGGAATGGGTACGTAGCACCCCGATCGGCTGCTTCGAAAAGCCCGCGCACAAGATCTCCCCATTGCAGGTTCTTCACAGTCGGGTCGATCGCGCCAGGAGGAACTCGGCGCACGGTGCGAGCAATAACAGCGCCCCCACCAACAGACTGGATCTCGGGTTCCATAACCCATACGTAAGGTTGCACGAACATGTACAGTCGGTTAACAATGTCTTTCGGATCGGTCCCTCTAACGCCCTTGAGTCCACGCGTGACGATCAACTCGACAAACGCATCGCGGATGCCACTCTTCGCGACCATCTCGACAAGAATCCGCTTCACTTCTTCGCGCGGAAGCGGCGCCTTCAAGCGTAGTTTGCCACAGCTGACCTCTAGTCGAGTAAGATGGTCATCTAGGCGGAAGAAGCGCCCATCCCAGACTGAGGGGACATCGTATGTTAAGTCGCTGTGCATGAAGCCTTGGTCGAGAAGGGGGATGCGGGCTTCGGCGAGAGGAACGTATTCGCCTTCGATCCATGCGATACCTTTGGCATATGGGTTGGTGCTGGCATGGAGGACGGACTGCCTGGCATTGTAGCCGGCGAAGACACTTTGCATGGTGGCCATTCTGTGGTATAGATTGAGGGTATGCGTTGAGGAGTTGGTTGATGAAGGAAACTAGGATTTTGGAGTCATTGGGCTTGGTTCCAGGATGATAGATACATGGACTTTAAGTATAGCAGGGAGATCGACATGCACGTAATGTCTTTCTGTCTTGCGCAGGCGAACTTCTTGGCGTTGAATACATCTTGGGGTCGCGGTCGATTTAGCCTCATCCGGAAATTCCAGAATAGGAAACCAGGATTTGGTGGCAAAACAAAAGTAGAAATAGTAAGTCGAACAACGAGAACCGTGAAATCTAAATGTGGGCTAGAATGAAGTACCTAATGTGGAATCTAGGATTTTGTTATGATTCTGCATGGACTTAAGTTGAATTCTTCTCCACATACGGTCATTGCCCAGATTCCCTTCCTTTTACGTCTAGAACAAAGGTACTCATTTTCCCGTCGTGTTCGCTAAGTGACACGCCCTGGAGTCCTAGTGCTTGGTGGTCTCATTGGAAACACCCGGTCCCGTATCATATGATTCGTTCCTTGGTCTCTATCGCTGTGAGGATTCAGTAGCCCTGCAGAATATAAAACCACGGGAGCAAAGTAGTGGAAAGTGGTGAGAATTGCTGAGAGTCACGCCCAATTGTCTGACTGTCACGTCCAGATCAGCAATATGGCCGACAATAATATTGTGGTTATAGGGTATGTTGATCATAGTCCTTGCCAGGATGCCTTGTTTCATTGCTAACTCCTACAGCGCGGGTGTTGCCGGCCTAACTACAGCGCTACTTCTATCTCGTATTCCAGGGTATAAGATTGTGGTGATTGCCAAGCATATGCCTGGTGACTACGACATTGAGTATGCGTCACCTTGGGCTGGAGCAAATTATATGCCGTGCGTATACCTATTTTCACTCCTTGTAATATCAAACATCGGTACACATGACTAACTATGAACAGGGTTTCGATCCGAGGAACTCGTGCATCTGAATGGGATGGACAAACGTGGATTGCCCTTGAGGACTTAGCTAGGAACTACCCAGATGCGGGTGTTCATTTTCAAGGTAGTGTACATCTGATTGTTATCTTTCAAGAATCCATGGCTGAATGATGTTGCGATCAGAATGTCAGATCCATAGCCGCGCGAAGGATCAGGGCTCTGCAACTGCAAATTGGTTTGCGGAGCTTCTATCACCGAGCCCTTGGTTTAAGGACGTCGTACCAGATGTATGATACCGTCGGGAAACACTGGTCCTAGGTGTCACTGACTAGCTGAACAGTTCCGTACACTGCCGAAGGAAGACCTCCGACCAGGTTTCGATTCCGCGACGAGTTTCACATCTGTGTGTATCAATACTGCCATTTATCTTCCATGGCTAGTGTCGCAGTGTCTCAGGAATGGCGTGCAGTTCAAGCGTGCTGTCTTAGATCATATCCTAGACGCGACCGCTCCGTCAGTGATGCCTGCGAAGGTTGATCTGTTGGTGAATTGTACCGGATTGATGGCATCAAAGCTGGGCGGAGTGGAAGACAAAACTGTTGTTCCTGCGCGAGGACAGATCGTAGTGGTGCGCAATGACGCGGGCAAAATGATCGATGTCTCAGGAACCGATGACGGCGATGAAGAGGCATGTTACGTGATGACTCGTGCTGCCGGTGGTGGAACAATCCTCGGAGGCTCGTACCAGCTGGGTGACTGGAATCCTCAGGTTGATCCCAATCTGGCCGTGAGAATTATGAAGAGGGCCGTGCAAATGTGCCCTCAACTTACGGATGGAGAAGGTATTGAGAAACTCGACATCATTCAGCACGCAGTGGGCTTGCGGCCTGTTCGAACTGGAGGAACAAGGATCGAGAAAGAGAAGATCGGGGATACCTGGGTGGTTCATAACTACGGTGCTGGTGGAGCGGGATATCAATCTTCATACGGATGTGCTCAAGATGCCGTGAAGTTGGTGAGTGATGCGCTGGGTAGACGGGCTAGATTGTAGATATCCCACATGACTTAAAGAGTTTATTTTTGGAAATTGAGCTTTTGGTCATGGTCTTCTTCGTGCAAACCTTCGAAATATTTACAGCCCGCATTTAAGTAGACCTCCTAACAGGGCGACTAAATTAACTACCCCCGGCTTGTAGGTAATTTCAGAAGATTGCAGTCATGCCACACATCACGGCATATCATGAATTCTATTACAAGGAATATATAGAGGACATTGCTCGCAAGACTCCTTTCAATTCTGGATACAATCTCAGTCGGCTGTGCGTACGGGAAGCAGTTTATCTCACCACCCTTGCCACCCTTTGTCGGTTGCAGCTCCTTTTCGGATTGTCGGGCTTGTCACATCATATTATTCACATAAGCACCGAAATTTGAGATCTCTAGAAACTCCCCTGTTTCCAAAGTAAGTTGCAATGTGGAATTCCCCTCTGATCGAGTGACATATTCACCACGGATGGAACCACCATTCCCCGTTACGGGTATGTAATCAAGGGAGGGGGAGATAGGAACAAGATACCACAGCGAAACCTGCCTGATAAGTGCATTCCAGGGCGACCAGGTGTTACTTTTACCCTTATATAGCAAGTGAGTATCGTCATGGCCCAAAATACGAGGAACAGTAATGGGTACCCGGACCAACCAAGTCTTCAACATAGTGAAACAAAGGAAGTTTGTCGCTTTCCCCGCACTTCTCTTTCCCCGGGTATTCCAACTCTTATCATATTTCTTTTCCGATTTCCGGTAGAAGTGGCGTTCGTGATTGGCGACTTTGCGAATTGTGCAGCCTGTGAGCCACTTTCCAAATGGCTGCAAGGAGTAACTTTGTTCTGGGTGCCCTTGAATTCTAGAGTTTGCAGTATGGCGCATCCATCTGCCCGAGGAAACTGACAGACGAGAATGACCGGGTCACGTTGATCCTTGATTTTGTACTCCATCCGGGATGTCCTTGTTTTGATACGACATTTGCGGATGTATATATCTGGGTTCTTGTGACACGCCTGTCTCCTATCATCCCTACAACCTCTATCCCGCCTTGTTACGCCTTCCTTCTCAATCTAGTCTACCTCTTTTCTTTGCCACCCTTTCCAGCCCCCTTGATCATTGGACTTAATCAAGATGGGCTCGTCAGATCTGGATACCAAAGATTCCAAGTCCCTCGAACTGGGAAAGCATATTGAGAATATCGATGACACAGTTCTTCAAGCTCAAGGCCATGTGTCTGAGCTCGACAGATCATTCTCATGGATTGGTGCTATTGGCCTGGCTTACAGGTACGTGATGACCCCGCATCAGCCCTCCAAGAAACGATATTAACAGGGATTTTTATGTAGTATCGTCAATAGTTGGCTTACTTATGCATGTTCCTTTGGAATGGTGCTTACCTATGGTGGCGGACAGACTGCTGTATTTGGGGTGATGGTGGCAGCAGTCGTCCAGTGGATTGTTCTGTTGGGACTTGCTGAATTGTGTTCCGCCTTCCCATCTTCTGGTGTGAGTTTCACATGAATTTCACCCTTGAAGACTGTCATGCTTATGGTTTACTACAGGGAGAATATCATTTTACCTACATTGTCGCCCCTCAAAGGTCTCGGAATTTCGCCGGCTACACTGTTGGTGTTCTGAACATTGTGGCCTGGTGGGTGAACACCGCTTCGGGGACTATTTTCACGGCCATATCAGCTTTTGGGATTGTCAAGTTCTGGCACCCTGACTTTGATGGGACACAATGGCAGGTTTATCTCTGCTATATCCTAGTCATTTTCTTGACCTGTTCGTTTTCCATCCACATAGACCCCATGGGTCCTACGGTGTCTAACATTTTTCGACTAGTAATTCCTATCTTTACTATCCCTCAAAGAAAAATTGACCGCCTTACGAAGACAGCAATGTATCTGTCATTTATCGGTTTTTTCCTTGTTACGATCATCTCACTGGTCATGGGACGCGGCCACTACCGTGCTTCTAACATCACCGAGTATCGTGGGTCCAGTGGGTGGGGCCCTGGACCTGCTTGGCTGATGAGTATCGGAGTGGGAGAGTATTGTTTCGCTGGGATCAGCGCATGTACTCACATCGCTGAAGAGATGCCTCGACCAGGAAAAAAATTGCCTCAGGTGATGTGAGTGTTTTATCTATTTTCTTTTCTTTTTACTCCCGTGTCGATCATCATTCTAACCAACTACCGTGTCCACTTTCAGCAACATGACTGTTGTCATTGGAATCCTGACTGTAGTACCATGGGTCGTCGTCATGATGATCGTGATTCGAGATATGGAAGCTGTTCAGAAGGCGTTTCTACCCAGTCTGGAGGTCTTCTATCAGGCAACCGGAAATAAAGCGGTTGCAACCTTCATGCAGTCTTATCTGACACTACTTTACTACTGTAAGTATCTTTAGGCCCAATCAACCAATTATGCACCTACTAAATCTTTCCAGCCTGTGTTCCAAGCCAATGGATTACGTGCAGTCGAATCGCGTGGGCGTTCTCCCGAGATGTATTTCAACCCCTTCACAACCATAAACGTGAATCGGACATTAATTAAAAATAGAACGGGCTGCCCTTCTCCAACTACTGGAAGCACATTGACCCCGTTCGCAAAATTCCAGTCCGCACGACCCTTCTAGCTGCCGGATTCTGTGCCATCTATGGATTGTTGTATATCGCTTCGACGGCTGCTTTCAACTCCATTGTCAACACTGCGATCCTGATGCTCAATATCACATACACCGTTCCCCAGGCAATCCTTTTGACTTGCGGTCGCCACCGGCTAGCGAAGAGACCGTTCAATCTCGGTCCTGTGATGGGGTACGCTGTGAATGCTTTCTCGGTCGTTTGGTTGATCATCAGTGGGGTTATGTTTTGCTTCCCTGTGTCGTTGCCCACGACGGTGGGGAATATGAATTAGTGAGTCTCTCTTGGCCCTTTCCTTTGGTTTGTTTCGGTTATTATCTGATCATCCTTGCCGGTAACTGCGCTAATGCCAATCCAAATAGTAATGCGGTGGTCATCACGGGAATATTTGGATTGATTATGCTAATGTGGATTGAGAGAAGGAAAAAGTTCTCAGGACCAAGGATTGATTGGGAGGCTTTGAATGCAAGTAACGCTATGGAGTAATCCTGAATTTCTTTGATGAGGTTGATTCTGTTATCCCATACCACGTGGTCAGTCACGGGCACATTCCCGCCCTATCTCGACGTCTGTTCTTTGATGATTTTATGAATATTGGACCTGTGCTTCTACTTTCTTCCTACAATCAAGAAACTTTAAAGCCGGATTCACCCCTATAAACAGCTTGCTAGATCGTATTCACATAACTTTAATCGTCGGGAACTACCCGAACAAGAATTGCACTTTCGCCCCATTTCCCGCAGCCCTGGTCTTCTCATCTACCACTGCGCCCCACCATTTATTCCCTCCCCAAACATCTTCCAGTAGCGTCGGAACTGAATGAAACATGTTATATCTGCTCCTCTCACCCCACCACTGACAATACTCTCTAACTACTTGCTGCATTTCATCATCACTTGTCTCGCTACCTGCCAAGAAAACGGGTAGTAGCAGTTGTTTCTGGGTTTGCGAAGTCCGTCGACAACATCGTACGTGGTCCAGAGTTATTCGAAGCAGACGTGGGATAGCGGAAGGTCGACTATCTGGTGTCCGGTCCCATTTGAATATCCGCTCAATATATAGCAGCAGGGCGTGTCGCCAAGCTTCGATGCAATGATGTCGATCTTCCTGCGCGTGCATGTGTTCTTCGCACACTTCAGCACTATTTGTATTATTTCTTTCAGTAGGCGGATCGCTTGGCCCCGCTCTTGTGTCCACACCGGCTTTGTCTGTAGAAGTAGTAGGCGCTGATGGAGAAACGGAAATGGGAGACGAGAAAGAGGTTCCATTTTTAAGGTGCGCTTCAATTCGCATGACTGGCGCCAGGTCGAAAGTCAGCCATGTCATGCTGGATGCGATCTCACTTTGCTGCGCGAGCTGTGCTAGGTGGAATATGTGATCGACGAGCTCGCTGGGACAGCCGGTCAGATCGTAGAATGACCATTTATCTTGCTTTTCGGCTTCTTTGAGGCGCTCCAGGTAGGTTTCTGGGAAGACGGTGCCTTGTCGGGATACTAGAGCTAGAGTTGCGTCCCACCTGTTTCGGCCATGATATTAGTATCGTATACGTTTGTCATGCACGAGCTACTCATGACTACACTGAACGTTGGGACATACCAGACAACCATTGCAATCTGAGCCCTTATGCGCTGATTATTCAGGGCTGATACTCCGCCACAACCTTCGAGGATTGATAATACGCGAGTCAAGTGTGTGGTCCATTGTCCGGAAGCAGAGATTGTACACTGTCGTTGTAAACAGTCCCAATTAGCATTGAAAAGATATGCAAGTATGTCTCATGGGCAACCTACATCGAGAGTGAAGAGAACCAGGATAGGATCCAGCAATGTCAGACCCTCTCTCGTCAATTGGCCATTCCGAAGAGTATACTCCAATAGCTTCATGGCTTGAGTTCGATGCTCTCTTTCTTCCGATGACCAAGCCCCTGTGATCTGGCTCAGATGGCGACAACATAGGGCGAGAATAGCATGGAATAAAAGTCGTGACCCCTGTGGTAGAGGTTTGCGATAGCGAAATGGGTTCAAAGCGGTATCCGATGTCAGAGGTAGGATGCAGAATTCTGTGTCATCTAGACAGCACCATCATGTCAGAAGTGACCAATGCATATATATTGTTCGCTCTTACATAGTTGCAATAATGCGTCGTGTTGATTGCCAACTTGTCCAGTCCCTAATAGCCCTGAAGTTGGGTCTGCAACTGGTGCCCGAAATGTTGACACCACACCATCTGTGGGTAGATTATCTGCATTCAGGAACTGTAGGCCATCTTCAAATATATCTTCCAATATGGAGCCGCCCGTAGCATCACCAGGATGATCCATTATTGTCATGCCGTTCAAATCCGTTGTCGAGGCCTCCGCCTGAAGCAACGATTGTAGATAGTCCTGTTGCGCCACAGACAGCTCAGGAGTCCCCGTCCCAGGAACTAGCCCCGTGAAATCAAGCAATCTCCCCGGTGGTTCCAGTGCAGCGAGGTCAGTAGTAGGCCCTAGCCCCGTCTCGTCAATTACTTCTTCCCCTGTCGATGCCTCGGTCCTCGTTGCGTTAAAGATCTGCAAATACGTATCGTTCGGCACCTGGTCCACCACCCTTCGTCGCTTTCGCTCTCTTTTTCCTCCAAGCACGAATCGGAAAGGCCTTGACTGTCTCGACCTCGTAGCTGCCGCTTGTCTTGGGCCTGTGCTACCTTCATCCGCAATGCCAGTGGGGGGTCTGACGCATGACCCCTGTTCGGTCGAATCACCTCGGTAAGTCCGTCTCTCATCCCACGACAACGGAGTGGCGAAACCCCCGCATTTCCGACCCCGGTTCAGGCAGGTTGTGCACTGAGGGCGCTGCCTATCGCATTGGGCCCCGCTAGCGGCGCAAGTGTGACAGTCGGTGCGGGCGAATGCAAGAGAATTCGGTTTCCTTCTGGTTTGGGCAGTAGGATTCATGACTGGGGTGAGGGGGTGTGCATTACTACCTCCGGAAATATTCGTAGGGACGGGGCCTAAATAAGGAAGGGGATGGACACGGTTTCTTAACATGGGTATATATGATCCTTTGTCTAACACAAGGCATGGGTGTTGGACAGGGTTGTTCATGGCCAAGAAAGTGGGCCGCTGGCTTATTTACCGCATTTGGTAAGTGAGATTTTATTGCCAAGAGATCTACATCTACAGTCTTCTTCTTAGAGAGGATGGGATTACGGGGGGGCTAGCTTTCCCCTCCTTGTGGAGAGTTAGAATCCGGGGTGATAAGAGATAGGCCCATGGCAGCATGTGCAATTTAGACCTCGTAATCTCAAGCCAAACTGTTTCCCCTCCCTACATTCCACAACCCAACCAAGAATGTCCTCCATCACGTACCAAAACCTCCCCGGTCCCGTAGGCAACTGCCTCAAACCTCTCTATGCAACAACCGCCAAAGTCCCCGTCTCGCCTTCGACTTCTCTTATCTATACAACCGGCCATATTGGCCTCGATCTAGCGACGGGTAAATTGGTCTCGGAGACACCTGAGGCCGAGTTCGAGGCCATTTTCAAGTGTCTTGACGCAGCGCTCAAACACGCCGGTGCTGCCCAGGGCCTGGCGCAGAGTTATCGATTCACGAGCTACCTCGTTCATGCAGAGGACGAGAAGATCATGCAAGACGTATTTCAAAAGCTGGTGCCTGGGCATACGCCGACTTGGTGTACCGTTCTTGTTAAGGAGATCAATGTGAAGGGCATGCGAGCGGAGATTGCGGCTGAGGGTGCGGTTTTTGAGTAATTCTCAAGGCAGGTTATATTGATATTTTTTGGTTAGAAAAGCAATATGTAACTATCCATCTTTATTCAACATAGAATGATCCCGTGTTAAAACCTTTCGCCATCGTGCACACTATGTTATCCTCTTCAACCCCATAGGCTCGGTAGACCCTGCATAACAGATGTCCTTATGTGGGTATATTCACGAACAAGTAGGCTTTCATCCTCTATCAATACCATTTCTACTAAGCCCGAAATCTGACCGCATAGACCATGGCCTGATTGGTCCCAGATTGAATATCTTCCTAAAGCTCGTCCACATAACCAAATTTAATCGAAGGCGTGATAAAACATAAACTTGCATTCAGAGTCGCTATATCGTTTCAAATTCTCCTCATGGCTAAGTCCGATGGATATGACATACATAGTCCGGAATCAGTTGTAAAGTCCACCATTGGCAGACAGACAAGATCCGGTAGTCCACCTCGCGTCATCGCTACACAGGAATGCCACCAAAGGCGCGATGTCGTCAACCTCTCCCACTCGAGCAGCAGCAGGAGTAGATTCAATCAAGGGCTGCATGTCCTTCAAGAATTGCTCATCGCTCTGGAACCATTGATCTATAGCCTCTAGTTAGCTTCTCTATCCCCATACTTACACCAATAAGCTTTGATAAATGTCAACTCACCAGTGGCAATCGGTCCCGGGTTCACGCAGTTCACCGTAATTCCATGAGACTGGCCCAGTTCCTTCGCCCACACGCGCACCAGCGCCTCGTTGGCCGCCTTGGTGGCCGCGTACACAGTCTGACCCGCGACTCCGAGACGGGCGCCGGCGGATGAAATGAAGACAATACGTCCGCCTTTCGCGATGTGTGGGATAACGGCTTTGGTCAGGAAGATCGGGCCCTTAACGTTGCAGTCGAAGTGGGTGTCGTAGAATTCGGGTGTCGTATCAAGAAGATTGGCTTCGAGACCTTGGGCGGCACTATCATCTACATCAGTCTCTATTCATGAGGACCATGTACACTCCAGAATGAGAAATACTCACTTGTGAATCAAGATCTCAATCTTTCCGGTCGTGCTGATTGCCAAAGCAGCGTCAACTAGCGGCTGGATACCCTCCGGTTTGCTGACATCCGCTCGGCAGAGGATAGCTCTCGTTCCGATCTCATTGTTGATTTTATCAACCACGTCTTGTGCGCGCTGCGCGCTGCTTTCTGAAACGTAGTTGACGACGACATTGGCACCTCGCTTTGCTAGAAGGATCGCAAGGCCGGCTCCGAGTCCTCTTTGTATACGGGTCAGCTATCGCGCCACGCCATTGGACGATGGGAAGTGTATAGACGTACTTGGAGGATCCAGTGACAATGGCAGTCTTGCCCTTGAGAGAAACACCAGAGAAGTCCTGAGACATGATGTTGAAATTGTGTAATTGAGATGTTGGAACAAGATAGTTACGGATGTGAGATGTGATTGCAAGGTGCACACAACTGTGCGAAGAGGGACCTATTTGACTTCTTGTTATCACCGAAAAACATCAGACCCCGCATTATGTCATTAATTGCGATAGGTACAGTTTCTGCTATTCTCACCAGGAACGATGAGGAACCAGAATTGCTCGCCAAGGGAGTTGGAATTATCTCCTAATGGGGAAACCGAGAAAGTGGCGCTAGAGAAGAAGCTAACAAAGAATAGCTCCACCAAGTGGGACTCTTCTCAGGCGCCCGAGGTGAGGGAATTCTTGGGGTCATCATTTTCTTGGCTTTTGTGTTGTTGTGCGCGTTTGAGTCTTTTCGTTACACAAATTGTTGTTGAGTATTCTAAACTTCCTGGGTCACCCTATCCAGGAAAGACACATACGAAGTGGAGGGTTCGTCAGCTGGACTTGTCATATTACACTTCTAATAAACCTGACACAGGGATCTTCCCGTCCGATTTGCCAATTTGTTTCAATTCGGAAATTAAAGATGTGAATTACATGTTCCTAGCCACTCCCTTGAAATCATCGCCAGTCCATTCCTCAGCCATGGCATGTCCAACGTTGCCAGTGCATCGAATCCATGGTCTCCATCCTCCGTATGGAGAATTATCTGGGTGCCTGGCAAATTGTGTCGTACGAATTGCAAAAAGTTCCTCGATCCTTCCACCGGCACTGCAGAATCCTGTTCCCCGTGAAGAATGAACGTTGGCGGTAGTCGAAAGCCGGGGTCTCTTTTCAGTTCATCCTCGATTCGTAACATTGGAAACAAGTATCTTCTAGTTCCGAATACCTCCAGGAATCGTCCATTTTGGATGATCGAAAATGCCAGTTCTAGTCGATTGGGTGGATTTGCCGCTGTAATGCACGAGACTCGGTTTTGCCTCGTCGCAGCGATCGTTGCTAGGTGGTTGTCAATGATTGACTCTGCAACATTTGGAACTCCCACAATGGGTTTCGAAAAGGCTTTGGTGTAGAATGTCGATTCCAGATCAAGCATCGGATACGCGGCGATCAATGCACGGATCTGAGATGGGTATGAAATCGCGATCTGTGTGGCGAGATATCCTCCTGAGGGGTGTCATATCAGCGCAGGTACTTATAATCAGGATAAATGAGGGTGCTTACCAGCACTCTCTCCCACTAGGAGAATGGACTCAAGGTTCAGAGCGAGTCCCTGATACCCAGCGCTCTGCATCACTTGGTCGACTGAGCCGTCGTGAATCCAGCTCCATAGGTCGTGAATATCCTCCAATATCTGACTCCCTGTCACTTCCGGGAGTAGTCTGTAGTTTGGAGAGATGATAATTGCATCGTTTTGAAGCGCATAGTCAAGGATCCAGGTGTTGAACCAGGGAGCATACAAACTTGACCCTGTTACCTGGTACAAAGTTATAACTTCTCAACAAGATAATTTCACTTCAGCGTGATGACTTACCAGAAACCCTCCATGAATTCGTATAATCACAGGCCGCTGATCACAAGCGTTGTTGTCGCGAAATGTTCGCGGAATCAGAATATCCGTCGCGATTTGGCACAGACCATCCGGTGTTTTCTTGTATGGAGTATTAATTATATGGAACTTGGCATATTTTTCTTTGTCGTTCAAGGAGTCCAGCGCATTTAGCAGGTCGAAGAATGGAGGGCTTGGCATGTCGAAGAATGGAGGGCTTGGCATGTCGAAGATCTGATTATCACAATTCACGATATGTCGGTCTCGGACATGGTCATGTCAAAATATCGCTTCCAGCCTTTATCCGGCGTGTTCCCACCTACCTTTCAGTGGTTCTGTTAATCTGCTCCTCTATTTGCTATATCTGGTCGGTCTTCTCTCTGCTGAGACTGCCAGGGACAGGAAAAATCAACGGAACTATCAGTGGGCCAGCTCAGTAACTCCTTTGTCAAGGGGACCATAATCCATAACTTCCCGGTTACCTCCGTGGAAAGACGAGAAATGGAAGCTTACCCACCTATCTCTTTTTCCCAAATGCGGAAGGCGGGTTTAGTGGATGTAGCTATTGGACGATGTTATCCGATTTTCATTGTCTGAGATCCACCGCGTCCCACGGAAACCTTTTACTCTGTAGGGAGTAATAGCCGATGGCTACCGTCCAGACTCTACGGAGTACTCTAGTCTACTCTCAGCGGCACCATATGATTTCCAAGCTTTCGGTCATTGTCTTGGCGCAGAGATCTCAACGTTGTCACCCCTATATAATCATGAACTGTTCTGTATAGGGCTCAATCGGACATGACAGCCTAGTGGGTTCGGAACCCATATCATTGTTCTCGATCTATTTCCACTACCCAGCGCGGTCTCTTGAAACGAATCGCTATTCACAATGAAATTAACTAGTGACGGTTACACCTGGCGGAAAGAGACCGGCGTCAAGAAAGGTGACCTCCACTGCCGAGGTGTCGTTGAGCCGCGAGAGAAGTACACCGCGCCAGCTGGCCACATCTTCGATGCCATTGTTATTGGAGCTGGATACAGTGGCTTGAGGGCTGCGAGAGACTTGACGGACTATGGTGAATGAGAAAACCCGCTACGAGAGTATGTATCCGCAGCTAACTACGTAGCAGGCCTTTCTGTTCTCATGTTGGAAGCTCGAGATCGCGTCGGTGGACGAACATATACCGTGGAATCAGATGGTAGGAACGTACCTCTCTTTGCCTTGTATAGTTCACCACCCAAGCGGCTGACTCTCGCAAGGCTGTCTGTATGAAATGGGTGGAACATGGGTGACCCACCATATGGGATACCTGTTCCAAGAAATGACGCGATACAAACTCGATCGCGACCTCATTTTGACCCATCACAGAGAATACGAGAATGATTACTACACGATCAATGTTCCTGGTTTGTTTACTTTCGATAACGTTCATTTCCGTCTCATTAAGGCTTACCATGTAATCAGGAGCTACTCCTCGGAAGCTCACACACGAGGAAGCCGGCGAGATCACTGCTCGAGCATGGGACGTGTTCGTCAACATCGACGGACAACACTGTCGAACTATTTGCCCTTTACCCCATGCCCAGCTTGACAACATCATGGTGGATCGGAAAGAAGTGGAGCGCTACGACAAGATCTCTTGCAGGGATAGGTTCGAGGAGATCAAGCATCTCCTAACGGCAGAGGAAGCTGGGATCTTGAACGGATTAATACTGCATATCACAGGCGGAACTATGGAGAATTCGAGCCTATGGGATATGATCCGCTCCCATGCGCTCATGGCACATTCCTCAGTCAATTTCGGGCCAATCTGGACCACATTCAAGCTTCGACGGGGCCAGTCGGCTCTTGCTAAAGCGATGTTCCAGGAGAGTGTGGACAACGGGCTACAGTACTTTTTCCAGACTCCGGTCAAATCGATCATCGATCATGCCGGCTCGCATGTCCGCGTTGTGTCGCATTCCGGTAGAGACTTCCGCGCCCGTCGGATAGTCAGCACGATCCCTTTGAATGTGCTTCACTCAATTGAGTTTGATCCACCACTCTCTCCTACCCGCCAGGAGGCGATCTATGTCGGGCACGTTAACTTCATGACAAAGATCCACGCCGACGTGAAGGAAAAGGGCCTCACATCTTGGAACGGAATGAAGCTCTCCAACTTGCTCATGTTTGGCTACGGAGATGGAGTAACCCCTAACGGTGACGCACATATCGTGGGCTTCGGCAAGGATGAACGAGCCACCTTCGTCCCTGAAAGAGACCCAGAGAAAGCTGTTGACGCTTTCCAACAGCTTCACCCAATGGAAGTTAGGAGAATGGTAATTCTTTCCTTGACAATAATATAGCTGCGCGGTTGACTGACTCCTCACAGATATTCCATAACTGGAACACAGACCCCTGGTCGCAAGGCGGACCTGCTTGGTGGCAACCCCAGTTCATGTCCAAGTACCAAGACGAATTACAGAAGCCGCATGGTCATGTTTTCTTCGCATCTGCAGACTGGGCTCATGGCTGGCGAGCTGCTATTGACGGTGCCTTGGAGCAAGGCTCTCATGCGGCGTTACAAATCAAGAATGAGCTAAAGAGCGCTCGGGGAGGCAGCGTCAAGGCAAGGTTCTAGATTTGGGTCTTACGGTTGCCATCGTGTCATTCCGTCGTTCTCTTCGTTTGTTCTGTTTTCTATTGTTTTCACTTTTTCACTCTGAGCGACAATCCTGCGAAATCTCCTATTCCTGTCCATGTCTCATATCTCAGATGTGATTCAACGTGTTAGACATAATTCCGTGCACAAAGCTTTACGCGTCGCAACTCGCTCACTCTAGGAGCGAATTGTTCCATGCTAGCTAGCCGAAGTAAAACAAACACATAATTGGAGTATCCATAACCGTGTTGAGTGAGATCCGCCCGGAAATGGGTCTGTTGAAATTTCCGTGATTGGCAAGTGGGACTGTCCGGGGAAATGTCGGACAGTCTTGCACAGTGGGCCATCACCTTATTTAGGCCTAGTAAACATTCATCGTATACCACAGCAGGAAGGCTGTTTCTAGATTAAGCATTTGCCACTGGGTATCATGCGGTGAATGTTTTGTTAGGGACAATGTTCCTAGGGCTAGACATTGCCCGGTATATCATGCCCCATCGACAGGGGTAGACAATCTGTCTTTGATCTTATATTCCTGTGTCTCTCGCTCGTACTTTTTTGCATTGACTTCCGAGCATTGGCTAATTTCTCAGTATTCAACAACATAGCAAAATGGCCGCCAGCGAGAAACGTCCCGAAATCATCCAACTGTCCCGCGGCCTGAACGGTGCGCCGTTCTGCGAACAATATGACTGCATGATTTCCGGCATGATGTATGTTTGTCCCCGTTGTGGTCTCTCAACATTTACACTTACACGGCATGATCAATCTGCAGGTACAACCCCAACACACCCAAATTGGTTGAGGCCCGCCATCATTGCCGCGGCCTAACAGCCGACTACAACGACCTCGACACGAAGACCATCTCATACGACCAGGTCTTCGACAAGCGCCTCGAGCTGCTCCGCAAACTCGTTGGCAAGGTCGGAGACGGCACCTTCATCGAACCTCCTTTTAGACCTGATTACGGATGTAACATGATTATCGGCAGTAGCTGCTTTATTAACTGGGGGTTAGTCTTACCCTTGGAAACCCGTCCCACTGCGTCCTCTCCGTGCTCTTAATTATCCTATACTGACAAACACCCTTCAGCCTCACGGTTCTCGACACCAGCCTCGTCGTCCTCGGCGACCGCGTGCAAATCGGTACGAACGTGGGAATCTTCACCGCGGGCCACGACACCAGTGTTCTCTCGCGTCTGAAGTTCGTGGAATTCGGCCACCCGGTCTTCATTGAAGACGATTGCTGGATTGGTGGAAATGTAGTGATTCTCCCTGGCGTGCGGATTGGAAAGGGATCGACAATCGGAGCTGGCTCGATTGTGACGAAGGATATCCCTCCGTATTCGGTGGCGATCGGTGCCCCTTGCCGGGTGAGGAAGACGATTCAGTCGGTGGAAGAGGAGGAGAGGGATCCGAATAACCCGTATCGCGCGCTGGTGCGGGAAGATAGGTAATTGGATTCTTGTCTTTCTGTTTACTTGGGGAATGGCTCGGTTGAAACTAGTTTAGTGTTCGTGGTGTACAGCGGTTTGAAGATGTCAATAGTGTTTTGTACGGCAAGGGCTTCAAGTGTCCGAGATATAAATCCAAGATTTGAGGATTCTTGTTCGACAGATATCAACTGTGTATCAGTTTGCATACCTATATATAATGACCAAGACGAAATAATAAGGAATTGGCATTTTCAGTCTGCAAGAAGAGGTTAGGTATAAGAAAATGTAGTCTAGCTGATCATAACTAAAGGTGCACGGACCCGCGGCATACCCATTTTCGGTAAGCCGGCGCAAAGTCGCGTGCAACGCGTTCCAACGACAACAACCTGAAAACAACAACATCCCAGAAAGGATTGTCGCGAAAGATCAGGGGCCAAAATGGCACAAGGAGCAAACAGAGGTTACCGAAAGCAATGAAAATTCTAAGAGCAATTCCCAGACTGGTTTTTATCGCATGAGATGTTTATTAGGACCCAAGGGTCCGGAGCCCGTCTATCGCGGTTTTGGTAGAATTGTTCTGTGGAGAATCAAACTTTTGTAGTCATCAAAGAATTATACTTCTATCGTACTTGAGACCTCCTGATTCTATAATCTAATTTTGTTCAGCCTGGCTTATGATCTCCGTCTCGTCAAGGTTGTCTGTGTTTAGTGATATGTGGGTCGGGAGAGGTTATATATAGATGAACCTACTATTCCGCATGAACAGCTGGATGATCATGAAATAGGATCCTAGAATGAAGCAAATTAATTGTGCTCCATATTAATTGTATGATTAGCCTGCAGCAAATAGAACGAGCATCTCTAAGGGAGGCAGAAGTTGAACCGGTCGCATATATTTACTCCATGTCAACGCAGGTCATTCAATAAGCGCGAGATTCGTGACCACACCATAGCTATGTGAATGACCAATCTCATTCCAGAAAGCCTAGAACCATTGCTCCCTAGATAATTATTCCACATTGTAAACAATAAAATGTAAAGGGTGAGTCGAATTTTCTGGTACGAGTACGCAGGTACAGTAGAGCAAAGGGCGCCGAAAATCTATTCGGAGTGTTCTCTGTCGACCTATCGTGATAAATAAAGCGTCTGGTAAACTCTCAAACTCAACAGGAAGACCAAAATCAAAGAGTAAAGGATTATGCGCGGTGTTGGTACAAATTGAAAACAATCCAAGCCTTGTTTTTCGTTCAACTTTTCCGGTGGATAAAAGAATAAAAAACAAAAAAACAATGACCAGACTGGGGCTCGATCCCAGGACCTTATCGGTGTTAACGATACGTGATAAACCAACTACACCATCCGGCCGATTGATATTCCGTCTGACAGAATTACGAATCAAGTCTTGCCTAAGGGTGTCCGAGCACAAATCGGGAACCGAACCGTGTAAACTTCTGAAATCAAGCTCTCCCAATTGAGTTCTGAGGACCTCCGGTGATTCGAACGATGCGGGGACCAAATCATAGCTCACCGGAAGGAAGGACCTCCGAACATCCGAGATGTTCTTAGCTCATCCTGAAATATCAATGCCAAGCCTTTCGACCGATGAGTCAGCGGACGAGAACATGATGTTTCCCTTAATAGAAAGGATTGGCGGCTTATATCCGGACTACGGTAATCGAAGATCCTCAAAATCTCAATTTCGGCCCCGGAATCTTCATGAGTCCCGAAGAATGTGAAGGCCTAGAGCGTGACAGCCGTGGTTCCTGCCATATAGCGGAGGTGGCATAGCTAACTAAGCGGAGCATAGGTCAAGAAAATGGAGGTAACATCGCCGATGGCAGAGCCAGCATCCCACAAAAGGAGAAGACTCTGCGGACTGAAGTGTATTAGAGACTGTGGATAAAATGCCCAGAATCGCCCAGTTGCAGAAAATACCCATCAACCCCTGATTACTCTGAGGCAAGCATCATCAGTCGTTGGCAATACCCTGAACCTATCTCACCATAGGCAGAATGTCGGGACATCGGGATGAAGACAACCTCCTCAACCTCAAAGACACAACCGATAGATCTGTTACCTCCTACGATCCTACAATTCGCCGTGCGTCCACCATTAAGATCGAAGCAGATGAAATTGTCAATCTGAAGAGAATCGCATCCCAGCGCTCCCAGAAGTCTAAGCGTCGTTCCAGTGCATACTCACGCATTGTCTCTACCGCAGGAGATGGGGACTCGTTCGGGATCATCAGCGACAATGACCCTGCGATCAATCCACAAGCACCGGAGTTTGACTTAGAGAAATGGCTGAAATGGGTCATTAAAGGCGCTCAAGACCATGGAATTAGCAGTTCGCGTGCTGGTATTGTGTTCAAGAATCTGAACGTGTCTGGGTCCGGGGCTGCGCTGCAGCTACAAGAAACGGTGACCTCCATGTTCAGTATACCGACACAGGTTGGGGAGATGCTTCGACAGAGGAGATCTCCGCCGAAACTGATTCTAAAAGATTTTAACGGACTGCTGGAAAGTGGACAGCTGTTGCTTGTCCTGGGCCGTCCGGGGGCTGGGTGCAGTACGTTCCTCAAATCTCTGTGCGGAGAGGTGTATGGCCTAGAGGTGGACAAAAGGAGCGTTCTGCATTACAACGGTAAGTGTCCCAACACAGATCAGAGGTCAAATGAACGTCGAAATATACTGATTGTGATACCTAGGAGTTCCTCAGTCCCGAATGATGAGGGAATTCAAAGGAGAAGTAGTGTACAATCAAGAAGTACGTGCAAGGCCAGGATACCGATGGAAGGTCAAACTAACTCCTGGATTCCTCCTGGCAGATCGATAAACATTTCCCTCATCTGATGGTCGGACAAACGCTCGAATTTGCAGCTGCTGCACGAATGCCCTCCCAGAGGCTGCAAGGAGCGAGTCGCGAAGAGTCTGCCAAGTACATGACGCAAGTTATCATGGCAGTCCTCGGATTAAGCCATACGTACAACACAAAGGTCGGGAGCGACTTCGTTCGAGGAGTGTCCGGGGGAGAGCGAAAGCGTGTTAGTATTGCTGAAATGGTTCTTGCCAATGCACCGTTGGCTGCCTGGGATAATTCAACTCGAGGCTTGGATTCTGCCACGGCTCTTAAGTTCGTCGAGTCCCTTCGACTATTCGCAGACCTAACGGGATCTGCTCATGCTGTTGCTGTATACCAAGCCAGTCAAGCAATCTATGATACATTCGACAAGGTGACCGTTTTGTACGAGGGACGGCAGATCTTCTTCGGGTCCGCAGCCAAAGCAAAGTCTTTCTTTGAAGAGCAGGGTTGGGAATGTCCCGCACGACAAACCACCGGAGACTTTTTGACTTCCGTCACCAACCCACAGGAGCGGCAGGCACGAGAAGGAATGGAGACCAAGGTACCGCGAACGCCGCAAGAATTCGAGAGCTACTGGCATCAGTCCCGCGAGTATCATCAGCTCCAAGCTGAGATCGCGCAATACGAAAGCTCTCATCCTAATCCCGACGATGAGACCGCTGGAGCTCAGTTTCACGAGCGGAAACGTCAAGCCCAAGCTCAGCATACACGACCAGGTTCTCCATATCTAATCAGCGTGCCCATGCAGATCAAGCTGACTACTAAACGGGCATATCAACGGTTATGGAATGATAAAACGTCCACGATTTCCACAATTGTCAGCAACATCGTCTTGGCTCTGATCGTGGGTTCGGTATTCTACGGATCTCCGGACACAACCGCTGGCTTCACCTCCAAAGGGGCTATGCTCTTCTATGCCGTCCTTCTGAATGCCCTAACGGCTATGTCAGAGATCAACACTCTGTATTCACAGCGTCCCATCATTGAGAAACATGCCTCCTACGCCTTCTATCATCCTGCTGCCGAGGCCGTCGCTGGAGTTGTCAGTGATATCCCTGTGAAATTTGCCCTCGCTGTTGCCTTCAACACAACGATGTATTTCATGTCGAACCTACGACGCGAGGCATCTCAGTTCTTCATTTACTTCCTTCACACTTTCGTTGTGATGTTTGTCATGAGCGCCGTCTTTCGCACTATAGGAGCAGCCACCAAAACCATAGCCCAAGCCATGGGTATCGCGGGAGTGATGATTTTAGCCTTGATCGTCTACACAGGCTATGTGTTACCGGTTCCATCTATGCACCCGTGGTTTGAGTGGATTCACTGGATCAATCCCGTGTATTACGCCTTTGAGGTCTTGATTGCGAATGAATTCCATGGCCGCGACTTTCCTTGCGCCCAGATCGTGCCGCCAAACGCCAACCAATCCAGCCAATCTTTCACTTGCTCATCGTCGGGATCCGAAGCCGGCTCGCTCACTGTTAGTGGCGATAGTTATATCCTGGCTAATTATAGTTATAGTTATAACCACGTATGGCGCAACTTTGGAATCCTGATTGCGTTTCTCGTTGCGTTCATGGCCATTTTCTTCGTGGCATCCGAGCTGAATTCCTCCACTGCAAGCACGGCAGAAGCGCTAGTTTTTCGCCGCGGCCACGAGCCTGCTGCCCTGCGAAAAAGGCCTGGAAAAAGTGCAAAAGACGAGGAGACCTCAATAGTGCTGGAGCCTGTCAAGTCTACCACAGAGGAACCCGATACACGGGTCACCATACCACCGCAGACGGACATATTCACCTGGCGTGATGTATGCTATGACATTGAAATCAAAGGCGAGCCACGGCGACTACTCGATCACGTCTCGGGGTGGGTGAAGCCCGGCACCTTGACCGCTCTAATGGGAGTTAGTGGTGCTGGAAAAACAACACTGCTGGACGTGCTGGCTCAAAGGACCTCTATGGGTGTCATTACCGGTGATATGTTTGTGAACGGGCGGACTCCAGACGCCAGCTTTCAAAGAAAGACCGGATATGTCCAACAGCAAGATTTACATCTGGATACCGCAACGGTCCGTGAGTCTCTCCGGTTCAGCGCCCTACTAAGACAGCCAGCATCTGTATCGACCAAGGAAAAGTACGATTACGTTGAGGAAGTGATCGCTATGTTGAATATGGAGGAGTTTGCGGAGGCAGTCGTCGGCGTTCCCGGTCAGGGGTTGAATGTTGAGCAACGGAAGCTGTTGACAATTGGCGTTGAGCTGGCTGCGAAACCAAAATTGCTTCTTTTCTTGGATGAGCCCACAAGGTGAGTGCCTATTGCATTCCGGAACATAGCCGAAAGAATACCTAAACAGAACTAACAGCCGTCAGTGGCCTTGATTCACAGAGTTCCTGGGCTATATGCTCCTTTCTCCGCAAGCTTGCACATAGTGGGCAGGCAGTCCTTTGCACTATTCACCAACCGAGTGCAATGCTGTTTCAACAGTTCGATCAGTTGCTGTTTCTTGTCAAAGGGGGAAAGACCGTGTATTTTGGACCGATCGGACCACAGTCTCGGACACTACTCGATTACTTCCAGTCAAACGGCGCCCGCAACTGTGCAGATGACGAGAACCCAGCAGAGTACATGATCGAAGTGGTCAATCAAGGTGCTAATTCCCAAGGTCAAAACTGGTTCGATGTTTGGAATCAGAGCAGCGAGAGCCGGGACATCCAAGCGGAGATCGATCGGATCCACACAGAGCAGGCGGCGAAACCACAGGAGAGCACGGATGACCCTATCGCGCAGTCTGAATTCGCAGCGCCGTTGTGGATGCAGCTCTATGTTGTAACCGGCCGGACGTTTCAACAGTACTGGCGAATGCCTGGGTACATCATTTCCAAATGGGGCTTGGCTATCATGGCCGGACTGTTTATTGGATTCTCATTCTACGATGCCAAGCAGTCATTGCAGGGCATGCAGGTTTTGATCTTCTCATTGTTTATGATTTGCTCTATTTTTGCGTCGGTCGTTCAGCAGGTTGGTCCTACTCAATCCCTTTCTATATCCTTCGAGTTGCACTCTAACACAACGATTCTAGGTGATGCCCATATTTGTAACCCAGCGTGCTCTCTACGAGGTGCGCGAACGACCAAGCAAAGCGTATTCATGGAAAGCATTCCTAATCGCCAACATCATTGTCGAGATTCCATACCAAATCCTGAGTGGTATCCTCACTTTCGCTTGCTACTATTATGCCGTCGTAGGAGACGGCCAGACATCTGACCGACAAGTCTTGGTGTTCCTGTTCTGTATCCAATATTACATCTACGCAAGTACATTCGCGCACATGATCATCGCGGCCATCGAGGATGCCGTCACGGGCAGTGCAATTGTCGTTTTGCTCTTTTCCATGTCCTTGACCTTCTGTGGTGTCATGCAAGCGCCCTCGGCACTTCCCGGGTTCTGGATATTCATGTACCGCGTCTCGCCGTTTACTTACTGGATAGGCGGCATGGCTGGGACACAATTGCATGGAAGAAAGGTGGTATGCTCCACTGAGGAGCTCGCCATATTCGACCCACCTTCTGGTCAAACTTGCCAGCAGTATTTGGGTGGTATGCTTGAAGCTGCTGGGGGTCAGTTGATGAATCCGGATGCGACTAAGGAGTGCAATTATTGCTCGTTGAGTGTTGCGGACGAGTACATGGCTACTGTAGGGATTTACTGGACTGACAGATGGCGCAACTTTGGGTTGCTTTGGGTGTTTGTTGTGTTTAATATTTTCATGGCTACGGTGCTGTATTATTTGTTTCGGATCCGTCGATGGAGTCCGGGCATGCTTGTGGAGAGGTTTACAAAGAAGTGAGCTAGAAGGTAATCCCCCCGTCGTTCAACCACCATGCTTGTCAGCCTTCGCTTTTTGTTTGATCTATTCTGTTTCGCTCGTTCACTGTGACCTCGTCTATTGTTCTAGTGAGGCGTTTCGTTCTCATGCCTAATTCTACATAGCACATTTGAAGATAGATATTCTCCTATTGGCTCATTGAGGAATCACACAGTAAGCTTCCTATTTGCGACTGGAACCCCCCTAGAGCTGTTACTGAACACTGAAACTAAAACAGTAACCTTCTCCGATTTGGTTGACAATCTCCGTCAAACTTACAGAGAATAATGGAGAGTACCCTGGCTTTCTAGTTCGAGCTTTGTCTTCTCGAGATATAAATATGAAGCTATATCGGCGACGGCCTGCTGCGTTTCATATGGCCTTTTTGCTTCAGCAGTACCCTTCCTGCGATATTCGACAAACCCGGTCTCCTCGGCAAGCTTTGATTGTCTAAAATCACTACTGCTCTGCTCTACGAATCACTGTGGTATGCAATAGTAGCCAAACCTCCAAATGCCACCCCCTCTCTCGCCCCAACAAGTCTTCAGAGATCACCGATACGTTAGCTTTGTCAGACTAGCTATCCTCTCCGGCAACGACAATGGAAACCACTATTCCATATTTCTCGTCCACCCAGGAAACCGATCTTCAACGCGATGCCACGTAGCGTCCATGATAGGACGCCATCCCGCAGTCCTCGAGTGGACCGACAACCCCTACATATTAGCCCGCTCGGCAATCCTCTACTGGGATATACCGGTCCGGCGGTCGTTCACTGTCTCCGATGTAGCTCATATGGTCTATGATAATGGCAGACATCGATATCGGATGGATAGGGCGAGAGGGTGTCGTTGGTGGGCGTATGTTATCCTTTGTGATATGGCTCATAGAGGGTGGATTCGGAGTCGGGATCCGGGTGATATGTATCGGTATTTTATCAAGTTTTATGATAGAAATGGGAGAAGAATGCACTCTCTTCCTATGGTGAGGGGGCAGTTTTATTGAGTGAAGGGGTGCTTGAACTTTTTGCATTGCTTCGGGGACGTTTGCTGTTCTCCTTGGAATTACCTTCGGTTGCTTCATGACTGCCTTTTCTACATCACGTTAACTCGGGTATTTGTGTACTATGGTGTCACAATTCCTATTGGCGTTGAAAAATGATTCCTGCAACTATGAGCAACCGTGAGATGTCATTGACGGCATACCGGAGATTCTTCGGATTTGTTTCGGATCAACACACATACCCGGACATCTAGATGAGAGTCCTGGCCTGCATCACTAGGATTCCTATCAATGGGTGCAAATTTATCTGACTTTTTTCATTTTTCATTTCCACAAAGCCGACATTTGAGACTGTGTGCTTCAGCTACTTATGGCAGAGAATGAGTGTTGGACACAAGCCTCCACCTTTGCCTATGCTTGCCAGGTGATGAACTTGCTCAGAGTGAATATCTTACATGCCAAACTTTCTCCTATAACCAGCGCTTCTCTACCCTGAATGAGATGAATTATTCATAGAGGAAATTGTTTCCAGTAATAATCTTCGCTATACTAGCTCTCGCTGTAAGCACTCTGCGGAGTTGCACCATCTAAGATATACGTAGCGACCAGCCTTTCTGTTTCCGTATTCTATGAATATTTAAACTGCCCACTCTTCCCTCACCAGGTGACTTGAAAGCGGCTGGTAACACCTTAATTTGCTTTCTATTCACTGAGCTTTTATAGATGGCTATGGATATTGACTCTACATACAATCGCCAGCCATCTGAGGTGGCGATGATATGCGGCGTCAGCCACCCATTCAACCCATCAGATCATAACAGTACCACAATTTACATAAGCATTATTATTGGAAACACTGTATTTATCTCCGACCATTGGAATGCAGTGAGTATTACGAGTGTTAGATGTTCAGAGAAGTTTACATTTTCAACTCGAGGGAGTTAAGTTCTATACAACGGGGGGAAACAATTAGATCTGCTTTGATTGATAATTCATTCTGTATAGGGAATTACGTCAAACATGCATAAGTCCAACAACTGGAAGAGGGATTTAGAGCGTTATACGTCAGTACTCCGGATTCACCTGACCATTAGACACGTGGTGTTAGGAAGCCCCAACTATACTTTGTCCTGCGATGGAGGAGGAATACCTCCACACTCATCCACGTTGTCTTTTGGTTGACAGGTACCTTTCGTTGGGGAAGCAACCGTACATACGTTTGTTGTGACATCAGCCTCATTGATGTTGGTATTCTGCTGTCCAGTCCCAGCCTGGACGCACTCCTGTCCAACCATCTTCTTCTTTATGCGAAACGGGCCTGGAACTGGCCGATCCAAGATATCCAGAACTCTGTCAATTGCTGTGGGCATGTTAGCGCCAGTATCTGCGACTATAGATACAATGTGGTAAGACCCAAGTTTGGTTGCGGTCACCGGTCGAGCAGATAGCATAGACATCCTTGCGAACCCCAATCCCCATTCTCGAATAACATACTTTGCGATAGTAGCCAAACAAGAACCAAACTTGTTTTGACGGAGGGAAACCTGAATGTCCGCTGGGGCAACGCGAATATCACAAGCGAAAGCGAGACCAATACCCCCTGCGCAAACGTGTCCGTTTAAACATGCCAAGGTCAATTGAGGAGCCTCGTCAATTGCTTTGAGCAGATCAGTCAGTAACCGGTATTGCGCCTCTCTAGCTGACTTGTCCATCCATTTATGCAAGCTCACCCCCATGCAAAAAAGGTTCCCTCTACCGGTGAGAATGAGGCGCGAGATCTTCGGATCGTGCCGTGCGTCTCGAATTGCCGACGTTAGCTCTAGCATCATTTGACTGGTTAGCGCATTTCCATTCGTGGGCCGGTTGAGAACAAACTTTAGATTTTCCCCGGATCGAAATGTCAACAGGCCTGGAGCCTCTTTGACCTTTGTCCACTGTACACGGGGCTTTTGATTGCTCATGAGGGCTGTACCTGTGCGACTGGAGTTGGGTCGGGAGAGCTCTTTGGATATCCAGTCTCCCGTCCCTACCAATTTCGGCAAGTCAATGCCCGTCATGATGCCCGAGTTATGAAACATATAAACCAAGTCCTCGGTGGCGACATTCCCTTTAGCGCCCGGAGCGAAAGGACATCCGCCCAGGCCGGCAACACTGCTATCAAAAACACGGACGCCAGAGCGGTAAGCCTCCCAGACGTTCGCGACAGCCATACCATAGGTATCGTGGAAGTGTCCGGCCAGGACGTTCAGCGCGATTCCGTTCTCTTTCAAGTATTTGATCAACCCGTGAACCTTCCAGGGCGTTCCGACTCCAAGAGTATCTCCTAGGCTAACTTCGTAGCATCCTGCCTCGATTAGAGATTTCACACAGCGAAGAACAGACGACTGAGGCGTGGGTCCATCGTAAGGGTCTGAGAAGATACAAGACACATACCCGCGCACCGCAACCCCAGTCTTGGCAGCTTTCTTAGCGACCGCCCTGGCTTTTTCAAGCCCTTCCTCAACAGAACATTTGATATTTGCTTTGCTGAATCCTTCTGTTGCGCTGACAAACACTGCCACCTCTTTCACTTTGTTTTTGAAGGCATTATCGAGACCTTTCTCGTTTGGAACCAGTACTGGCAGTCGAATGTTAGGATCCTTTAACCAGTCCTGGATCTTGCCGTCGCTAACCACCTCCTGTGCATCTGCCAGTTGGGGGACGGCTCGAGGAGACACAAAAGATGTTAACTCGATTGTCTGGAGGCCGCATTTCTGCAGTCTATGGATTAGCTCGAGCTTCGTCTTTGTCTTGATGGTCTCTTTGATGTTTTGAAGACCGTCACGTGGCCCAACTTCGACGATTCGGACAGAAGAAGATTGGCTAGACATCTTGGTCATGATAGTATATTCAAATCAGTAATATCGGTGATTTCTAAGGCTTAAGCAGTATTGATAGAAGTAGCTAAGAATCTTTCGTAGGGGCCGCTGCACTCTCTATATACTTGCCAGAATTTCCGACTTCTTCCGACTACTCGTGTTATTCCGACTATCTGGTGCGAATGCTGATTTTTGATCCGTCCCAAGAACAAACAATTCCGGTGAATGTCGCATATGGAAAGGCTATAAAATCCAGAAGTGGTAGGTTCATGTAAGGTTCTTGGCGCTTTGTTCAAGCTTGACAAGAAACATTCCTCAAGAAAGGATGTATCCGGCAGCCTTAGGCATACCTGCGGCTACTCACACCAAGGCAGCGCTAATAAACTCATTCTTGTTGTTAGATCGCCTTTACTCCTTACCGGAACTAATACAGAAGAGCATGGTGTTTATACGCAGCGGACGAGAAGACAATACCATATAACCTCAATAAGTCAGATAATAACACTTGAGCGAGACAGACAAAGAAAACCTACAATAAACCGGTATTCATAGTGGTAATCCAATTCAATACTAGAGGACGCTCTGTGGCCTTTGGCCAGTAGTACAGTGGATGGTAACAGGATCATAAGATGCCGATAAACGATTGAGAAAACACAATGATACTGCTTGAGTCTGAGGCCTTGCGAAAGGCGCGTCTATTGAATCATACCTTCATGACTCAGCTCGGATGTGGATATTGTTCCATTCCCCTTGTAGCCATGTTCCATTTTCTTGGCCATTTACACTGTGTATTTGTGGGCTGAATGCGCTATCCTACTTCGCAAAAGACCGGCCGTCCTTTCTCAACTTGTAGGTAGCGCTTAGGGGGCCAGGTCAAATCTAGCAACGCATATTGAAACTAGCTAAGATCTACACACCTAAAGCAGGGTTTACCTAGCCAATCTCCTAACAAGAATGATTTGAGCACATTGGCTCAGTGTCGTATCGACTGTTACACAGAGGGATGATGTCGTGATTAGTCACTCAGAGAACTTGGTTCAATGCAGTGCCCCGCACGTACGTCGGTCTGACTATATACATAGAACTGACATTTCGATCATTGCTTCATTCAGTTCATCAAGTCTATCCAAGCCCGTCAATCTACACAGTCAATAACAGTCGAGACCAATATTCCAAACCCTCCCCAAAATGGCTTCTCGGGGTCTCTTAAAAAGACTGGAGACTATCCAACGTGTTCAAAGAACAATGGCTGTTGGATATCCAATCATGGGTGCATGGTGCGTTAAGAGTCTAAGAAGCAAAATAACATCAAGTCGTTAACATAAAGCTCGGATTGATGCTCAAATACTCTCCTACCATCTAGGTAATGCGTGGTTTGGGCTGGGTCCCGGGAGGCGGTTATTCGCTCATTGGCTATGGCTGGGTTTCGTCGGTAATGCGGCTTTTGCATTGAGTTCCTTCTATTGTGTGCGCTTACTGGGATGTTATGATCTCGGTTGGAGATGGGAGAAGCGAATGAATAACTAGTATTTGGTGTCAACAGATGCTGTCTCGAATCGTGAGAAACAAAACCGTCAGGGACTTGACCAACTACTTCACTCAGGATTAGTACTTGGAATATCATAAAATAGTGCTTCACGGAACGCCACTTAAAATAGATCTTGACTGGGAAAATTATTTCCTGATCGAATATTGGCTGATCATTCTGTTCGGCGAATGACGCTTTACTACTACTAATTCCTTTCTAATTTCAAGGACCTATTTTGGAGAGGACAACGCTGTGGTATTCCTTTCTCATCAGAAAGAGAGGAGTAGTGAAGCTAGTAGTACCGGAAGGTTCTTAGCTTTCGATATACAAAAAGGTCAGCAGTAGAAATCCTAAAGGTTACTTATGTTAATGATACAATAGGGCCTACTCGTTTCTCAATATGACCCTCTGCTCGTAGATATTATCTAATTTTGATATATACTCCATTGTCTGCCCAGGAACCTCCACGAACAGTGTAATTAGTCTATTCCATTGCATAATCATCTATTCTTCAACATATGCCACCCCAGTGATAGCACCTCCAACATCAGACAAGACGGTACTTTTGCACGACCCGTCCAAGTTAGCACTGTATAAAGAACCGCCCAGATCCGCGAAGAACATGCGGCCCATCTTCAAGTCCAAAGCAATCCCGATCCCTTCATGGAGCTTACGCACCAAAATCTTCGGCTCCGGCTTCTTGCCAGGGAGGTCTGCAAGGACCAGCGAGTTGACCGTATTGCCCCGAGGCGGATCCCCTCTATCCGTCCAGTACAGCGTGCCCGAAGCGTGGTCCAACTCCAGGTCAATTGGCTCCGGGAGACCATCCAGAAGACACTCAACATCTGTCCTCTTATCTGCTGACTGTCCCTGTCCAATCTCGAGACCCATCTGATATATCCGGCCTTGATTCCCCTTCGACGGTCCTTTCTGTGTCCAATAGATCTGCCGGGACTCCTCGTCAACCGCGATTCCCACGCACCAGTCATAAACAGCCGGCCTAGACGAGTCGTCACTCGAAGTGGCTCGATAAAGCACCTCAATATCACTTCCATCCATGTTCGCCCGCATGACCCGTTTGCCTTCGCGATCAGACCAGTACAGCTTCTGAGACTGTGGGGCAATGGTCAACTGCTTCGGGGTGTGCGTGTATCCCTTGGGGATGATAGTCACAATATTGTTTCCGGACAGATCACAGCGTTGAATAGATCCGTCGTCGGCAGACGGAATTCCCATGTTTGTCCAGTAAATGTGCTGGCGGTCCGTGTCGATGGCGATTCCGTCCGGCATGGTGTTGATTTGGGTGATCACCTCCCGGAGATCGGACCCGTCCGGCTTGCAGGTTAGGAGACGTCCATTGGTCTCTGGGGTTGAGATACCGACGTCGAGAAAGTAGAGTCGCCCTGGGGGCTTTGTGGAGATGTCAGGTCGAGGAGCCATCGTATGGTGAATGAGTTTATGGAATTATCTCGGAAGAATATATATAGTACCGATGTAGGACAGCGGATGGAAGTAAGTTTTGAACAAGCATTTGGGATCTGGTAGTACAGAATCAGCTTTTAAGAGACATTTCTAACAGCGAGAGTAGATCATTCGGCACTTTTGAGCCGAGTGTTCCAAGTTTCTTGAAAGTGGAACTGTTCCTTGATTGACTGCTACTTCGTAGAGATATGAAGGTCCTCGGAAGGCCCGATTTGGAGCGGAAGCGGAATGACATAATCACACGGATGCTCCATCCGCTCCGGGCGAAAATTCGGAATTTCACCCTTCAGTTTCCCGTCCTTCCGTGATTCCGCGCAAAATGATGTTTTCATTCCACACCGGCCGGTCTTCCACACAAGACCAGGCGTCCAGAGAACCGAGGCCGAAAAGAGCCAAGGTCAGGATCGCTTGTAACGTATGCAAGGCCAGGAAAACGAAATGCGACGGGGCTATACCCAGTAAGAGGAACAACACCCCTGTCGCGTGGTGGGGAATAGTTTATGCTCACCTTGCATTAGTCTGCGGACCCTGCTCCAGAAGAAAACGGACCTCTCATACTACCGATTGTATATACCGGGAGACTGATAGTGGTGACCACTCAAGAGACGCGAGTGAGGGTCTAACAGGTTATCCCACACAAACAGGCGATGACGATGGGGCGAGCTCTTACAGTGCATTCGCTCCGACCGGTGGTCTATTTGGCGCATCCAGTGGTGCGCATATTATTCAGAATGTCGGGAATGAGACTGGCCTACCAAGGACCCCTGCAGACGAAAGAATAAACCGAAATCAAGTCCTGCCGAAAGCGCTCAAACGCCTGCCGAAGTTGCAGAAACAGACCCGAAAAGACCCACCTGACCTGCAGTTTGCAATACCTCCAAGGAAACAGGCGGACCACCTTCTGTCGCTCTATTGGGACTATGTCGACAGCGTGTACCCTTGGTTGGAAAGGCCTTTGATAGAAAGCTCATACGAGACTCTGTGGGTCAAGGATGGTGAACTGACAATGAATGAGACAGTCCTGCATTGCCTTCTGAATCTCATGTTTGCTACATCCTGTGTCGCGTCTCAGGGCGATCCTCCTCTCGCGCGCTATCAATCCTCGGTTGTATTCTTTGAGAGGGCACAGGCGTTGATGACATACGCACTGATAGACCTTTACAATTTTGAAATCATTCAGGTTCTCTTGTTAACAGCAGTATACCTCCAACATGAGAAAGAGCCCCAGAAATGCTTCCGGATTATTGGAACAGCGATCCATGTTGCTCAGGAGCTTGGGCTACATATCCCGGAGACAACCGAGGCAATGGATAACCCAAAGGAGCGGGATCTTGCGCGTCAGGTCTGGAACGGATGTGTTGTTATGGATAGGTAAGACGTAAGATCTGGTAAGTAGAGTGTTCAACTGAGACCCTTCCTAGAATCTGCGCCATGACGTTCGGCTGCCCCCTCAAAGTCCCTCAATCTGTCGCAGAACAAGGACTGAATTCTTTGGTACTCACGTCCATGGAGCTCTCGGGCGAAAGTGTGACCACAAGTCTGCCCTCAAAATACAACTTTTATATCTCATTTTGCCGATTACATCACATTATTTCTGAAGTCCTGGAGACCTTTTATGTCTCTGGTGATAGCAGAAGCGAACACCAAACCCGAAGAGATCTCCAGGGTTCGGGGGGAAGCTTCTCGCTTCTTTTTGACAAATTCGCAAGCCTGTTTCGCATCGACTCGGCACTGAATGACTGGGCCCGTAGTCTGCATCCGTTCTTTCAACTGCCGTCGGAGCTCCAAGACCCCACGCCAACGAAACACATCACACGTGAAGCAAACATCTTACGCGCTCGGTCCGTAGTCACACTTCGTCTACCATCACAGAAAGCAGCAGATACTGACAAACTCTTTCCATGGCAAAGGTATCTTTCAGTCCGACTCCTCCTTTTCAGACTCTTGCTTTTACAAATTCATCAGCAAAGGACCGATAATGCCCCAGGAAACAGCATATATGCGGACGACAACCAGATCATGCCTCACGTAGTTTTTCAGTGCCAAGTAAACTGCACAAAAGCGGCAATTGACATGATCGAATTTATCGTCCGGAACTCTCCAGAGCAGAAGCAAGCGTACATTCTACCATCCAATTGGTATACTGTCTCATGTGAGTCTCCCATCATCTAAAGCAGGTCAGCTTCGTGGTGCTAAATGTACGGAAGATGTATACATGGCAGTAACGAATCTGCTCGCAGCCCAATCGTCCCCACAGCTCGTCGAGTGCTTCTCCGCTGAGCGCTTGCAGGAAATTCTGCAACAGGCTCGAGGGATCCTCGAAGATTACGAGAAACATGAGACGCTCGCTTCTAGATGTAGTTCTGTTCTTAAACTGGTCGAGCAGAATATCGGCAGGCGCGAGTCGGTAGCAGGTCTCGCTTCTTCTGAAGGATCACAAGTTGCCAGAGGGAATGATAATACATATTTGCGCCATGTTGTATCTGGAGCTCAGGAGCATCAGGCTACCATAGTGGATCCTTTGGCCATGGTTGAGAACTATACCTTCGATTGGAATGAGTGGCCTATGTTCTTTGCACAGCTAGATGGTGATAGCGCCCCTGCTGAGGGTTGGGTGATCTAGACATTCTCTTAGTGAATCAAGTCACGAAAGTAGGTTAATATTAGGCCTGTTTAAAATCGAACAGGATCCTCGATAATTAAGCAAGATATTTTGTACATACATGAAACTCTAAATCTATAAACTAGCCCGGATTATCATACAAGAGATTTGAAACAAACACGATGCAAATCCCGTCCATTGTCTCGGAAATAATTTCCCTGCGTTGACGTCATCCGTCAAATCACTCATCAACCAGTTCAGAGCCACTCAATGCTTTGGTCATGGAAGCAATTAGGAACGGAAGGTGTCAACCAGCGAGGAGTGACATTGGCATCACTCAGCTGAACCACAGGCTTCAAAATATCCATGCGACCCCACGGCCCCTCCTGGAAGGTGGTAAGGAGCGATTCAGGACCAGATTCAAAGTACTGAGGGAAGACACTCTTCCAACCATCCATGACAACGAGCAAGATCTCCGTCACAAACTGCGAGGGCCCAATGTGACCCCATTTGAACAACTGCTTGCTCCGCTCCACCACTTCAGGCGAGTACAGCCCGATCTCCGGCTCAAGGTTGATCGTATCTGCCTTCACCAGCGAGCTCGTCACTCGGTACGAGCCGCCGTGTCGGGCCCGATCCCGCAGTGCCATCAGCGCTCCTAGCGCGCCTACCAGACCGGTGGTCATATCGGAGATGGGCAGCGGCGGGAGCACGCTGGTCCCGTCTGTAAATCCGAGCGAGCGGCCCATCACGTACGATGAACCGGATGCTGCGTCGCCGATCTGCTGCCACCCGGGTCGCTCATGGTACGGGCCGTCGGGGCCGTAGCAGTTCTCCTCGACGTAGACGATGCCCTTGCCGCGGTTTCCGGCCATTTCGAGGAGATCGTTGACACCGAAGCCCTTTCGCGCGATGGCGTTGGGGCGGAATCCTTGGACAAAGACATCAGCTTCCTTGATGAGTTCACGTAAGCGCGTCTTGTCTTCCTCCTTGGTAAGATCGATATCGATTGTGCGCTTTCCGGCATTCAAAGTAAGTTGCAGGACCTGGGATTTAGGTTAGCATACCCCGTATCTCTAGACGGGACCTGGGCAGTATAATGGACTTACGTTCAGATCAACCAACCGACTGCAGTTGACACGAATGACATCCGCACCAAGCGCAGCAAGGGTGCTACCGATAACAGGACCAGCAATGATCCGGACCAGCTCCACCACCTTGATACCTGCCAGTGGACGCTTATCATCGGCAATCTTGGCATGAGGAACAGGAGGAGTTGGGATAGCATGTGACTGACGCGAGTAACCGACCAGCGGGTGCTCTGCAAGTCTCTTTCCCATCATAGTATCCGACCACCCCTGTGGCGTAAAGCAGATACTACCACAGAAGCCGTTCTTGACGTTCAGGATCTCCAGCTCATCTGCCGTCCATTGCTCGACATGCTTGCTGATATACTCGTACGCTTCATCCGAGGTCTTGGCTGGATATTCGGGGTCCATTCCCAGAGCGCGCAGGACGGGTGCCGCGTCCAAGGAACCGTGGATCTGATACCAAACGCCGGGTGTTTTGGTTTTGTAGATGGCAGTTGATCGTTGTCGGAGGGGTGTTGCCTGCCAGCCTTTCTCGAAGTCACGGTCGAAGAGGCTAGGGAGCTTCCGCGACCGGACCAGTTCGGACATATCCTTTCCCTCGACGGACGCCGCAAAGATCGTTCCTAGCCAGATGGCCGCATGGTCGGTGTTCACGTTGACTTTCTGAGCATTGGCTGCAGTACCATCGCGGTCTTCGACAATCTCGTGCGCGACGACACCACACATGGCATGCAGGGCAGAGGCAACGAGAGGCGCCTTGAATGGACCGGGGATAACAGGCAGTTCGCTGCCAGTGAAGTTCACAGTTTTCCATAGTTCTGCATCTTGGGCGAACCCAGGCGTCTGTTTGGCGATGTACTCGAAAATGCGACTAGCATCCTGAGGTGCGGGGAGGAAGTCCTTATCCACAAAGGTTCCGGGGCCGTATATCTCCGTACTTGACGTTGTCGCGTGAGAATAAGTCATTGCTAAGGGTGGCAATCGTAGTGAAAACAATGAGTTTCTTCAAAGAGCAAACAAGATACTATGGAATATCGCTTCGGCAGAGAGCAATCTATATAGCCAAGGACACGGCTACCTTTAACTACTATACCCCCACACGGCAGTGGCCTCATCAAACCGTTGAACATCCGGTGGCACATATACAAATTCTTATTCCGATGTTTCAGATGTGGCAACCCGAAGTTCGGAGCCCCCGGATGTCGGCAAACCGATACTTCGGAATGCACTCCGTTGGCCTGGAATGGGCAACTTGCCCCTGACTTATACGGTTAAAACCGAGCGAATGCCGGGGAAATTCCGGATGCCGGGACTTGGTCGTCGATCGTCGTCATAGGGTCCGATATGGATATTGCCTAATCGGGTAGCGGAAAGCGTCTTCCGATGTATGAGGCCTTTCTCCCAGAACATCACCGAGGCTGGCAAATAGATACTACGCCCCGCTGGTTTATTTATATTCGTTAAGTCCAGCGGAAACTTGAAGGCGCAAATTCACAGAAGTCTATCATGTCCTCCCCTATCAAAACTGTCGGTGTGATTGGCGCAGGCGTCATCGGCGCCAGTTGGACGGCACTGTTCCTCGCCAAAGGACTCAAAGTGATCGTAACAGATCCAGCACCAGGAGCTGAGGCCAGGATCCGTGACTATCTGCAACAGTACTGCTCCGCGGTACCAAATGCCACAGTTGCGCTCGCTGCTTGCTTAGAAAACTTCGCATTTGTCAACAACATCGACCCTTACCTCGAGAGCCTAGACTTGATACAAGAGGTTAGTTTTCGATCATTCCCTGATTGAATTTCATCTTAAATATCCGTCATTTACCCAGTACTGACCAATCATCACAGAACGGACCAGAGAGGGTAGACTTCAAACGCCGTCTCTTCGCACATCTAGACGCAAAAACCCCCTCTCACGTTCTCATCGCATCCTCCTCCTCAGGCCTCCCAGCATCACAATTCGTCACAGAATGCACCAACAACCCATCTCGCATTCTCATCGGACACCCCTTCAACCCTCCACACCTAGTACCCCTGGTTGAAGTCGTCCCTCACCCGGGAACGAGCCAGGAATACGTAACAGCCGCATACCAGTTCTATCAACACCTAGACAAGGATCCAGTGATTGTCAAACAAGAAACGCCCGGATTTATTGCCAACCGCTTGCAAGCCGCTGTCTGTGCTGAAGCATACAGTCTCGTTTCAAGGGGGATTGTCTCCGCAGAAGATCTCGGTTAGTACATATCTTTGTACACTCATGGATTCAGTTCGTGTTAACACATCCAAGATAAAACTGTAACATCTGGTCTAGGCCTGCGGTGGGCTCTGACAGGACCGATTATGACCAACACCCTCGGTGGCGGGAGTGACTTTAGCCATTTTATGGATCATCTGGGTCCGGCGTTGAAGTCTTGGATTGATGATATGGATCAGCATCGATTTTCTATGACTTCTCAGGATAGGGTTGATGCGCTGAAGAAGAAAGTGAGTGAGTGGGTATCACAGGTTGATTTGAAGAAAACGGAAGAGGACCGTGATTTCCTTTTAGCGGGTTTGGTTAGGAGTAAGCTGGATCAAGCTGGTAAGTCATAATAAACCAGGACAGGGTGACAATGAAAGGAAGATACAACATGTTTGAGCTAGATAGATAGATTCAGAGCTATGTGTACTCGAACTGTCGGCGATAGTAATTAGTATCACACATACAACAACACGGTGTGAATGCAAGCAGCACTAGGTAGTGACAACCATACAGGTTGGTTAGCAGGCTCACGACCGTCAAGTGACTCGAGCACTGGCGAACGTCTATAAAAGCTTCATTTAATTGAATCTATCTTCAAGACGTCCGATATCCTTCACGGATGTTCCCCCCTTCAGTGGTTGATATTTCTCATCTTCTTGTTATCAAACTGGCCCTTGGCATCGTAGCTTTCTACAGAATATCTAAAAACAAAGCCCTTTCACCGTTCAAGTAATACACAACACGCACATAGACTATCAAAGACATTCCTTCCCGTGCATGGTAACTGATGATTGGGCAATAACATCCAAGTGCATCATCATAAGCTCTATCCAAAATCCTTTTCGCTTTCGGAAGCAAATGCGAAAAACAAAGGAGCTTGACGGCCATAGAAATGTGGTCGTAGTTGATTGGGCCTCATGAGTTCCGCTCTTTCTATGAGCGTAATGAGTAATGGGAAACCTGAACGCGGGTTGCAACTTTGACACAACAAGAACAAGAATAAGTAGAGCAGAGTACTCTGTTTCTATAACAGAGAGAATAACACTACTGACCTAGCTAGATAGAAAGACACGTGTAACAGAAAAGGCCTTTAGGGCCTGCTCAGGGACCTCCGAGGACCTATCCGAACCTCAGGGCGTAAGAGGTCATGGAACTGTAATCGTCAGCATCGTCATCACTATCAGTGCCAACGATGTCCTCTAGTTCTGGATGAACAGGAATGATGTATCTGAGCTGGTCCAAGCAGCTTGCCCGCTTGATTCCTTCCCAATCCATACCGCCCGACCACTGCCGGATGTCCTGTTCATGGGGAGGGACGGTAACGTTCTCGACATTATGGGCATGTTTCCCACGTCTTATAATAACGAGTATTTCCTTACTTACTTGATCTGGGTGCGAGAGAGGGTCTATCTCAAACCCAAAGCTGTCGAGTGCTTCACCAGATGGCGGCTTCTGCTCGAAAACCTCGCGAGCGTTGGGGTTGATGACGGAGCATAGGGTGCGACATTTAGTAGAACGGTATATTTTGACAGACGCTCCAGAGTCTACACCATCTCGCTGAGCCAGTTCGCGGGTCCAGGTGCTAGGCTGAGGCTTGCGCCAGTATTGGTTCCCACTAATGAAATACGGTCCGTTTTGGAAGGTAAGCATTGTGGAATCCCCCGTAATGTAGTGCAGCTCCCTCCACCCATCACAGTGTCTGACTAGACCATTCAGAGTTCCATACGCACGCAAACCACCCATGTCATCAATCACGGTAAGTGTCTCAAGGCACAGACCAGGAAGTAGTTTGAGGGCCCAGACGAGTGGGAATGCTGTATAATTAAGTTGACCAGGCAACGACAACTTGATTGCTCGGCTGCCGACACGGATCCGGCGGATCTGTTTAAGTACAGATCTAGGCAGAGGGGAGAGCTTGTCGAGCATATTATCGACCCTTTCAAAAGCAAACAAGACTTGGCCCAGCCAAGAGTCTCTGATATCTTGATTGATTAAACGGCAAGAGCGCAACAACGCCAGAGAATTGGGTGCGGGCTTCATCCGCTTGATGTATCCTAACACGTAACTGACAAATCGCTGGCCGTGGGTGAGGCGAGTGGAAGAGAAAACGTGGCCGTAAATTTGCAGGCGTAACTCTGGTGGAAGAAGCAAGAGCCGGCATGTGATCTCTTTCTGTCCGTGCGGCTTTGCCATTGCGCAATGCATGCTGCAAGTAATTTGAAAGTGAAGTATTTTTGAAGAAGTCGGTAGATCAAAAACCACTGCCTCGATATACCTGGGTGATGGGGGGAACTACAGTCAAATATATACAACAGGAGCGAAAAGGACAATTCCGATTGAGAAATCAATTGAGGGTTACTATAGCTAGAAAACCAGAAATGTAAGAACAGAAAAAGAAGGATCAAATGAGCACACACACAACAACGAAAAAAAGAGCGAAAACATACAACAGCCGGGATTCGCTGGTGGTCACCCACCCAACTACTAACCGGCCGGCGTGTGGCTTAAGTACGGCTGAGCGGACGGGAAGCCCTGTTCTCCACACCCTGTGGTCGTATGTACTGGTACACATGTAGATATCGAAGATGTAGAGCATAGAGGATATGCCAAGCTAGAGCGATTCCAATCATGAAACCATCTTGTTGAGTCTTGTTGTATCTATTCTTTTCATTGTTCTTTGTTAGATCTAGAACATATGGCCCGTTGTCTTGTCTGCAAGACATGCACAAAGTCATTGAAGATAACAAGCAACCAAGAAATTGGCCTGATCTCCAAGAAATGTGCACCTAACAAAGCCCGACCTGGTTTCATGTCGCATCTTTGTACGATATCTGCCTGTTTTGTGAAATCCCCTTAATTCCACTTAGAAGGACTTTATCTAGGGAGTTATCCTGTTATGCACCCCACAAAGTAGCTGGCACGCGGTGTTATGAACAATATACTGGAGCGTGCTTTTGAACTAGAGTTAGACTACGGTTTATCTGCCTGCGGACGAGGCGGATGTTCGGAGTACGAACAATGCGCTTCATATAAGCAACCAATAAGCCAGAAGTTGTGATTTAGTTGCTTATATCGTGACGTTAGTCTTCCTTACTAACACCAGACAATGAACGTTTCTAGCTCCATGACTGGGCGATGAGTGATTCGATTTCTCCACAGTTGGTCAGCTACAGAATCCTGGGACGTACTCCGTGGTAGGCGTGGGTAGTCACGGCCCCAGCAGTCCCACTTTTCTGTCCGAGGCCGGAGCATACTTCTCTTGTAGTTTGATAAATAATACTTATGGGTTCCTAAGCAGACATTTGACATATGCATATTATCTTGTCTAGTCAAAATGAATATGCGCAATCAGGAGGAGGTTGTTCACACCGATCTAAGCACGCGCGATAACAAACCCAACGATGAAGAGGACTGCGACCCTAAGTCAGAGGCCCTGGCTAATGAGGACCCGTTTGGAAATGAAAATGGAGCGAAAGTCAAGTATCATATTATGAAGTGGTGGTAAGTGTCAGGATTCTCTATGACGCATTTGGTGATATCCTGCTAATCGTTACAGGCAATGTGGAATGCGTGAGTTATCTCAGGCAGCACAATGCCTTCGAAGCTAAACATGATTGAAAACAGTAATGATTGCTGAAAACATCTCCCTGGGAATTCTATCACTCCCATCTGCTGTCGCAACTCTTGGAATCGTCCCGTAAGCTTGAAATAACCGGCCTAATCGGTTTAGCCGGTAGTCCACTCACACTCCATGTAGGGCGCTACTTCTCATCCTAGGTTTATCAGGGATAACTTGGTATACCGGGTTCATTCTGAACCAGTTCAAACTCCGATACCCGCACATCCACAGTATGGGCGATGCGGGTGAGCTGCTCATGGGCCGATTCGGGCGCGAGTTTCTAGGACTCGGGCAGCTATTATTCTTGACCTTCATCATGGCCAGCCATCTATTAACATTCACGGTTGTCATGAATGAACTGACTGATCATGGGGCTTGTACAATTGCTTTCGGAATTGTTGGGCTAGTCATTAGCTTCATCGGGGCTCTCCCTCGAACTATGGATAAGGTTTACCTGATCTCCATCGCCTGTAAGTAAGCCCACTACTCCTATGACTAGAGTAATTGTTGATCGTTTCCATAGCATTTGTTAGCATTTTGACGGCGATCATTGTGGCCATGATTGCAATCGGCATTCAAGCCCCGACACATGTGCCTATCGATATCACCACCGACACTACCTTTGTTAAGGGATTCTTGTCGACTACTAACATCGTCTTTGCATACGGTATGGCCTCTTGTACTCTTTCCCAGTTAGTATCCTGGTACTAATTATGTAGCTGCTCATGTGGCTTTTTTCGGCTTCATGTCTGAAATGGAAGACGCTCGGGAGTTCCCCAAGTCTCTCGCTATGATGCAGATTTCCCAAACCTGCCTATATGTGGTCACTTCAATGGTGATTTATTGCTACGCAGGGCCTGATGTTCTGTCCCCAGCTTTGAGCTCCGCCGGCCACATTATGAAAAAGGTTGGATACGGACTTGCCATTCCAACTGTACGTCATCAATCTCTATGCTGCATCCTGCGAAAGCTAATCTTACACAAAAGGTCGTATTTTCCGGAGTCGTCCTGGGTCATGTTGCTTGCAAATATACCTACGTTCGCATTTTCAGGGGCACATCTCATATGCATGAGAAAAGCCTTGTATCAATTGGTGCCTGGGTTTTGATTGCGTTCATTACATGGACGGTCGCGTGGGTGATCATGGAATCGATTCCCGTTTTTAACGATCTACTGAGTCTCATTGTGAGTATCTGCATGAACTCCCCGAGTATCCAGCGCTAATCCAAATCACAGAGTGCCCTTTTCGGTAGCTGGTTTAGCTGTTAGTATCCATGATGAGGCTTGATCGATTATAAAACATACTGACAAGCTGCACAGACGGGCTGCCCGCAATCTTTTGGCTGGCTATGAACCGGGGACTATGGTTCTCTTCATATAAGAAAGCATGTCTGACAGTTCTTAATGTGGCTATTTTGGCTATCGCATGCGCCATTGTGAGTGATAGTCTTCTCCTTTATACTTCTCATCTTACCATTCTCGACGTCATTTTCTAATCTCTTGCTTTAAAGTGTGGATTGGGACTATATGTATCCGGAAAATCGATCCACGACGATTCGAAAGGTGGCAGTTGGTCTTGTGCAAATAACGCCTAATGTTGAGGGATAAACTAGGCATAAATTAATAAGGAGCATATGCGGAGTATAATGGGACCCTCAGTGGCGATCAAGAATTTGAGACATGTAAAAATCTGAATAGAAGCCTCCCCTTCCTTCGACTCCGGCACCGGTATCGGAGGGTGACATTACGAATAAGGCGTTCCTTATATGGATCACTAGGAAACCTCCCGTTTTATAGTGGAGTTAGAAGCTGGTTTCAACCAGTCAACGTGATTCCATTATACAATGACAGACCTATCGGAAATGTGAAGGGATCTTCTCGAATATTAAAGTGGGTCTCGGTTATCCGCGGCGGGAGATTCTTGGCAGGAGCTGTGTCTGATTCATAGCTCCTGAAGCAGGAAAACATTGTGGACTGGATTCAGAAAGCAACTGAAAACCTTTACTGATAGCATGAGTGTAGACAGGGGTTAGGCCACATTCTAGAAGGGTCATATCTTTTCATGGATTCCGGCACTCTTGGGGTTTACGCTCTTCGAGTGAGATATCCTGAAGATAACAAAAGCCTCTAATCCGACTAGTCGATCTCTCAATTACAAGCATAACAGTGAGCTCTATTGGAAACTTTTGGTAGGAAGGATGTAATGAATCTACTAGTCAATCTTCTCATGCGGCGATGCTATTGAAGCCTTTTGATAGCTGAAGTGCCGACAACCTATAGGTAAACTATCTCATTCCTGTGTCTGGATTTGTTGCACTCCCAGTGGTAATGCTCATGCTTTAAGCAAAGCATTATTATCTTGTTACTGCATACGAAAGCTGGTGAGGACTCCTCCGCAGATGGTACAGCAACAATGAGCGTAGGTGTCACTTTTAGATAGGGCTGAAGCTTTGGGAACTTTGAATTCATTATTACCTCAAGCATGTAGAAAGCTGTCTCATTGGCGACTGAGCAGTCTTAGTAAGTCACTTTATTTTCAGATTTTATAGGTTTTAATGATCTCCGACAGCAATATAATCTATCTTCATCTGGAAATGCTAGGTAGCTAGATTCGGCTGCACTAACAAAACATTAATTATGCAGACATAACCAGCTGCTTACAAAGCCTACATAAAATCCACAGCAAGCAGTTGGTGGAATTTTCAGTTCCCCAAATGGTATCTCGCTCAACTCATTAACATAACCAATGTATACTAGAGGGGTTGCTGATTCTGTGAATATGACGGGAGAATGTTCTTTCACCTGAGGAGTTGGCTGTATCGGCGTGTCAGCACACCACGACCGCCAAGTCCAGGAAATATATCTTTCGATCAGGTCACCACACGCATGGCACACAGCCATTTGCGGATGTACCAGGACCGGGTGCGCAGCAGTGGTCAAAAACAATGAATATGAATATGCTTTGAGAGACTAATGATTGAATTGGTGATTATTCAAGGTCTTCCGGTGCCTCGGAGGGTAAAGCAAACAGCGAAATACATGACAGCTTGCCTCAGGCATCTACACGCCTACAACATTTATCTCCCCTACTGCCACCAACCATGTACTAATCACTTTAGACCCCATTCTTGGCCTCAGACAGCTTAAGAGAAGACTCTCCGCCAGGTATTGTGTAGAAGAATCAGGTGCTTCGAGCAATCCGCCAAACCCTCGCTAAAGGCAAGTTCCGAAAACCTTTATATGAAGCGGAAGGTTCCATGAAAATAAGCGGTATTTGCCATGAAATCGGCCATGAAGACCACGTGATATTGAAGATATAAAGGGCCTTTCTATCCCCTAGTTAGCATTAAAGCAAGCTTCAATAATTCATTCAATTTTTCTTCCACTTCGGTAGCCTACCCCTGGCACCCCAAATTCCTACATATTGCGACCCTACAAGGACATAGGTCATGCGGGAAGAAAGCGATATGGTGATTGATGGTGATGCTCTTGATCCTAGGCTTATCTCGCTTCATCTGCTAACTCTGTGACTCGCCCAACCTTGGCTAAGAGGGGCAATTGAAGAATGTTGATCAGTATCTCACAGCAGCTAACCTTAAAGTGGATCAATGTCCGAAAAAATAATCACTTTCTCTCAGGGATCATGGTTTTCTTGATCTAGCAATGTCCCTTGTGATCGGAATATCTCTGCGACTCACTGTTCAGTCCAAGTGGTAAGGTAAATAAAATGCTGGCCCTATGGCCTATACCTTGGAACCAGGCTGAATTGTCGACTTGAATTTCTACTGTGTAACTTCTGGCACAAGCAACTTGCCTGTCAACCTGAATAGAACTGATAGCTCGCTCGATCCACTACCAGAGTTAGTGCGATAGTAAAAATCTCGATCTCAATATCTACTGTGCCTGGTGATTGTGACAAAGAATTAATCAACATTCCTCAGTAAGCATCTCCAGTTACAGCAAAATTCTTTGTGGCAATCCTTGGCTAATGCAGCCTTTTCCGTTCTGCCAAAAGCGTGTGAAACATTTCATCAGTTCAAATGTTATCCTTGCTACTGCGTATCTGTAGGATATTCCGTATTGTGGCTTGAACTATTATAGAAAAGCTCCGAATATGATCTTTCTCCTAGCAATATTTCCCATGTAACGGCTTGCCCCATTGAGTAAATGGTCTCCTACAGATGAACCTCCGCTCGCCACCGGGGTGAATTGAAGCTAACTAAAGTCTCAACATGTAAGCGCTTAACCTATTGAGCCATTAGAGCATGCAGCTAGTTTGTAGTTAGCGCATGTAGGGTTCAATGAATCATGACAAACACCGTAGCATGGTGCTGTAGCTAGCGCGTACGAGTTACCCGATTGAAAATAACGCGGTTGGTACATATGGTATGTATCGTGTAAGATACGTGGACTTTGCCGTTTCGATTATCTGATCATCAGATAATCTTCCTATCCCAAAAGGTTCGGCACGGTCGTTTTACGTAATTAATGGTGATGGCAAGTACTGTCCGATTGGGAGTGTATGCTAGACCCTTGTTAGAGGCGAAATCGGTGAAATACTGCTTCAATCAAGGGTGAGTGGTGTTCAACAGTCCCCTCAGTTTTCGCTGTAGTTATCTGTGCTGTTGACGTCAGTCGTGTTTGTTATTGAAGAAGATGGCGGCGTCTGAGTCCCTAAAGGATCCTCAGTCAGGGGACGTCACAGAGGGCAAAATCAAAAGTCGATCGGCAGTAAGAATCCCGTCTTTCGTAAGATGAAGGGCTTTGACAGTGATCACTAACCATGGGATAGGTCGAGGTGGTGGTAGGGTTTTTTCCGACGGGCAAAGACATCAAGACCGCATTCACTTTCATCCGCTTGCTTTTCTCGCTCAATTACACTTCCGTCGACATCGCACTTATAGCCGTCGGCACCTTTTTTGCCATCGCAGCAGGCATCCCGGAACCATTACTCGGTATTGTGCTGGGTCAATTGATCAACGAACTCAACGATGTCTCCTGTTCCCCCGCGGCGTACGATCCTTCCTCTGTCCGTACAAAGGTTCTTTACCTCATCTATATTACAATATTCAATTTCGCCGCTATCTACATATACGCAGCGTGCTGGGCCCTGGTGAGCGAGCGCGTGGCTCGTCGCTATCGCAAAGCCTACTTTCGCAGTTTGATCCGCCAAGAAGCTGCATTTCATGACACATTGCCCTCAGGTCAGGTTATCTCCCGGCTCGTGAGTGATATCGAAACGGTGCAGTCAGGAACCTCCGAAAAAGTAGGCATATACATCGCCACTCTCTCCTACTTTGTCACGGCGTATGTCGTGGCGTTCATCAAAGTGCCGATCATCGCAGCTATCCTGATTTCCATCGTGCCTTGCTTTTTTGCAATGGCGTTGGTGGGTGGGCACTTTACCTCGAAATATGGGAACCGCGTGGGTAAACATGTTGAACGCGCTACTTCTATCGCGTCCTCGAGCCTGTCGCATCTACGGATAGTACATGCTTTCAATGCTCATAAGCGTTTAGAGGACCTGTTCTCTTCGAACTTATTCCATGCCCGCAAGGATGCGTTGAAGAAGGCGGGTGTACACGCGGCACAAATGGGGTCGCTGTTCTTCATTGTGTACTCATCAAATGCCTTGGCATATTGGAAGGGAGCAAATCTCATTTCTGATTACCTGGACGGCTTGGGATCTGGCGTCTCCCTTGGAGCAGTTTACACTGTCATCTTCATCCTCATTGACGGTTAGTTGTGCACTCAGTTTTGAACCATTGGAGACAACTACTAACAGAAAGAGCATAGCCTCTTTTATCCTCAGTCAGGTTTCACCGTATATGCACGTCTTCAGCTCCGCTGCGAGCGCGTCCGAGCGGCTAATGGAGGTTATAAAGCGCGACTCCAACATTGATGGTACCGTGGAGACAGGAGGAGGTGTAGACCTCTCTGACAAAGAGATAGTGTTTGAGGATGTTCATTTTACGTATCCAGCACGGCCTTCGAATCCCGTCCTACAAGGTGTCAGCTGTGTAATCCCTACAAAGAAGCACACGGCCATTGTTGGGCCATCGGGCGGTGGCAAATCGACCATTGTGGCTCTTCTTGAACGGTTCTACGATCCATCTACAGGCAATGTATTCATCGGGAGACAAGAGATCCGAAGCGTGAATGTCGCCAATCTTCGCGGGCAGATGGGTTTTGTACAACAAGAGTCCCAGCTGTTGGATCGATCTATCTTGGAGAACATCGCATACGGCCTCGTTGGATCCACATCACATGAAGACCTGGCTGATGTGATCTTGGATATGAGCCTGGCAGGTGTGGTGGAGCAAATTCAATCAGGATCTTCTGAAAGTGAGGTTCTTGCAAATTGCGATCGCAGGATTGTTGAAATTTTCAACCGGGCCAAGGAAGCAGCTGAGAAGGCCAACGCACTGTCATTCATTGAAACTCAACCGTTTGGGATCGCCACTAGTGTTGGAACTGCTGGAGGTCAGCTTAGCGGCGGCCAAAGGCAAAGGATTGCACTTGCTACCGCACTGGTTCGTGAACCTAAGCTTCTAGTTCTGGATGAAGCAACTGCTGCACTCGACTCTATGAGCGAGAGGCTAATCCACGAAGCCTTGCTCAAAGTCTCTGGAACTACAACGATTGTCTCTATTGCGCACCGCATGGCAGCTGTGAAGGATGCTGATCAAATCATAGTCATCGAGAAGGGGAAGGTTGTTGAGCACGGTTCCCCTCAGGAGCTATTAGAGCGTGGTGGCAGATATACGGCTATGATTGGGCAGCAAAAGATAGACCAAGGGGATGTTCAAGACCTCCTACCAACAACCGGCAGTATTATTGAGACATCTGAATCTCAATACCAACTTGCTATTGTGAGTGAGAAAGATCACATTGATGAGAAACAAAAGGACGATGCCACCGAGGCGCAAACAGCACTACCAGAAGAAGATACCCCTGGATCAACACTTCAAACACTGAAAATCTCTTTCTCGTTTATCCGCCCAAATCTCCTTTCTATTGTTCCTGGCTTGGGCATGTCAGTTATTATCGGCGCCAGTTACAGCTCAAATGCGGTGTTGTTCGGACATACACTTGGAGCACTGAGTCCCTGCAGAGGAACTGACAGCATCCGACACAGTGGAAGTTTCTTTGGCCTGATGTTCTTCGTCGTCGGACTTGTGGAGCTCTTTGCCAACATCATCGGCGGCTGCGCGTATGGATGGGCGGCAGATCAAGCTCTATATCGAATCCGCGTTTCATCCTTTCGATCCCTACTTGGCCAGACTATCACCTGGCATGGAGCCGGTGGTCGAAGCCCAGGGACACTTATTTCATACCTGACCGGCGATGCATCGGCTATCAGTGGCCTGACCGGCATCACGATTGGTCTTCTTCTCGCGACTACAGTCAACCTCTTCGCGGGTGTTATCATTTCGTTTATTGTGGCTTGGAAAATCTCTATTGTCCTCGTCCCTACGATCCCCGTCCTCCTTGCTGCCGGATTTATGAAATTACGAGTACAAAGCCAATTTGCCGAACGTCACAAGAAGGCATTCTCTCGCGTTACAGAGATCACCGTCGAAGCCCTGGGCAACTTGCGTTTTGTTGCCGGGTTCTCGCTTGAGAAACAGCTTTATCGGGAGTTTATCCATGCCATCCAGGGCCCATACAAAAAGACTATGAGAGCAATTACTTGGGGCAACTTCTGGTTGGCAACAGCCTTCAGCGTGAGTAATTTGATCAGCGCCCTCGCATACTGGTGGGGCTCCAAACAAATCGCTTCCGGCTTGTATTCCCAAACCCAGTTCTTTATTGTTCTGCCGGCTCTGCTTTTCAGCACCCAGTCTTGCGGCCAGATGCTTGCCCTAGCACCCGACCTAACCAAGGCAGGCAAAGCTGCATCCCGGATTGTTGATCTGGTCAACACAGATTCCGCGGCGAAGGAATTCGGTAGAGACAGCCACAAGCAAATAATGCCGTCGCTCGGAAAGTCAACCGTTGACATCGAAGCAAACTCAGAGTCTGTATCGCCCCCATTCAGCGAGACTGCAGTCGGCGCAGAGCTACGTCTGATCCAGTTCTCCTACCCTACATCACCTGATAAACCAGTGCTCAAGGGGTTGAATATCACCTTCGAGCCGGGCGGCTTCTACGCCTTAGTCGGACCTAGCGGGTCAGGCAAATCGACAATCTTCGCCATGCTAGAACGCTTCTACTATCCAGTATCCGGGTCAATCCTGATCGACGGCCTTGATATTACACAGGTCCTTTCCACCAGTTTCAGAGATGACATCGCGCTTGTGCCACAAGAAAGCGTCCTTTTCGAAAGCAGCGTCAAATTCAACATCGCACTAGGTGCAAGACCAGGCTACACGCCTACCCAAGCCGAGATTGAAGAAGCGTGCAAGCTTGCTCAGATCCACGACGTGATCATAGAGTTACCCGATGGCTACGAGACTATTTGTACCCACGGTGGGAAACAATTTTCTGGTGGTCAGCGCCAACGTCTCGCTATTGCCAGGGCCTTTATCCGCAAGCCCCGCTTATTACTTCTCGATGAATCTACGAGTGCTCTGGATGGGGACTCGGAAACCAAAGTTCAGAATGCCTTGTCCGGATTTCTTGGGAAAACAACCGTTATTGCGATCGCGCATCGCTTGAGGACTATCTATCGTGCAGATCAGATTTTTGTTATCGATGGTGGGAGATGTGTGGCACATGGTACGCATGCGCAGCTTATTGAGAAAAGTGATATGTATCGAGAGAGTGTGTTGCATCAGTCGCTTGATGTCTGATCTTTCGGGCTCATACATTCGTTTAGTGTAAGTATTCTACTTAGTCTAATTAGGTTTGTTTGTTTGATACTAGCAACCACAAGATGTTACGGGGGACTAGAAGAAGACCTGAAATATGTACTTTTGAGGTGTTGTGTTAGAGCTGAGAAGTATCCACTAGCAATTATATATTATAGTAAACGAACAAAAGCCGTCCTTTGCCATGAAAGCATCCCTTGTATGGTAGTAATTATTAAAACGAGGAGCTGATTAGAAGAAAGAAAAAAGGGAAGAAATATGGAAACAACACACATACTTGCACCATTCTCGTCTCGGAATCCACCCAGACCATCAATCCACCGAGCGCTTAAAAGCTTTAGAGCATAGTCCCCTTATTCTGCTTCCGGTCCACACTGAAGTTCCTCCAGACCATAATGCACGGGAACCCAAGGACAAGCACCGCTGTCGTAGCAATACAGCTGTACTTCTGACTATCACCCCAAGCATCATTGATAGCAGTTCGTATCTGGCCACCCATCGGGTATTCCATCTGTGTAAGATAGCCCCCAAGATAAATATCCGCCCAGTCAGCTTGAGCCGAAGCCGGAAGTCCGTCGATCAGCTTGTTCGGGAAGACATTGGTATAGATTGCCGAAGAAATCGCGTTACCGGCCGCACCACCCAAGCTGGCAAAGAGGCCAAGGATGGATAACATCATGGGAACGCCGTCATGGTCAGCAGCGGCCATGACGGCCATATCCTGGCCAATGACCAGCGTGCCTCCGGAGAAAGCGATGAAAATTTGGCACATGACGATGTAGCCGATGTTATCGTGCTCGCCGCGGAAGTGAATCATCAGTCCGGAACCAAGTAACATGAGGGGAAGTCCGAAGTAGAGACATGCATTTTTGAAGTGCTTGGTTTGTCGGATGTAGATTCCGAGAAGGGGAGCCCAAAAGCAGGACCCGATGTTATAGATTTGGTTCATGTATCCTCCGTGTGAGACGCTAAGATCGTACACGACCATGCAGAAGTTGAGGAAGTACAAATCCCAAATGGCATAGCCCATGTTGCAAATTGCCGAGAGAATACACGCTCCGAGTACTGTACGCTGTTTAAGGAGGTCATAACGGATGAATTGTTTGCGGGCGAAGAACTTTTCCCATGCAAAGAAACCGAAGAAAAGACAGAAGCCAACAACGAGCATTGCGATGAAGGTGGCTGATTTATATTCTGCTCGGCCGTAGGTTGTCAAACTGAAGGGTAGAAGGAGGAGGATGAATGCCGCCATTAAGATGAGCCCACCAATAACTAGTTACGCATTGAGAGTTAGCACCTCTTTATTTTGTTCGGAGAGCCCATCTTCACTTACCATCGAACTCATGAACATAATGCATAGCTGACTGGATCCATGTGCGGCCACTCCTATGGGGAACATAAATGCCCATTTTCTTTGCTTTGTTTTCATAAAATTTGAAAGCGACACCGAGTGGCAAGAGAACGCAGGGGAAAATTATTGCAAATGCACCATACGCCCAACGCCATGTTGACATGGATAAGAAGGACTGCGCGGCTAATGGACCCGTAAACGCAGTGCATATAAAGGGTGTATTGGAGAACCCAAAGGCAAAAGCACGGTTGCGAAGACCAGACGTATCAGCAAGGAAGACATCGAGGACCAAGTATATTGCATTGTAGCCCACCCAATACAACACATACCCGGCTGCGAAACCACTGGGTCCAGTGCATGATGCCAGCACAATAATACCCAAGATGAACAGACCCGTAAAGATGAACATACCCTCCGCTCTTCCCCAGACGTTTAAGATCTTGGCAATAGGAAGCTTCATCACACCCCCGACCACGGTGGCCAGGATTGCCGCAGTTGAAATTTCAGGGGCGGTTTGGAAATTCGCATACGCGTTGACGAGCACGTGTAGTCCTATCTGGGAGTGAAATGCTAACATAAAGAAGCACACCCAGATCCTATGTTATCCAGAACATGATTAGCGATGAGCACTGGAGCTGAAGGCAAGTGACGATGAATGTGACATACCAGGCATACATCGCCCACAAAGCATTTTTGCTCCAGACAAGTGCTGCGGCCTCAGCCTTGTTGACTCCAATAGCTCCATCCTCAGTAGTTTCGAGGGGTCTCTCCTGGGCCCCTTTGCCGTTAGTGCCAGAAAAACCATGTTTCTCAGCGTCAGTAGAAGGAGCTGTGTTCACATGGTCCGGCATGGGGTCCAAGGAAAGCCGACGATGATCGAGCGAAGCACGATTCGCCATGGAAATTGCCGTTCCAAACTCGACAAGCTATCGCGAGAAATGGAAAAGGCGAGCTTTGCTGAATCTTGCGATCAAGTCCTCTGGGGTCCCAAGACACGCGTTAAGTAAGCCAAAGCCCTAAACATTGCGGACACATGGCTGGAGCGCCTTCCAAGATAATTTTTCGCCGGACCAACACGGCTTTGTGGCGCTATTGCTTTTGAAAGACACTAAATCCTTCATCCTTCCCACACTGGCGCAGTAGCCTTGTTGGAGTAGAGAGTCGTACCACCTCGCAGCCGGGTATTGAGGTTTGCAAAGATACATGTTGTTTGTATCGGGATGTTACAGAGAGAGTACCCTTAAGTCTGCCAATCAGAACCCGCGGCCCCCGCGCCTTAATCTAATCTGATCATATCTAGTGAGACCCTGTTCCATCACCCGAAAGGGGCAAAACAAAATCAGGTCGGGAACCCTGACTCCTTCACCCAAGCAAGCCAGAAATTTTCCATGGCCTCCTTGGCATTCTTGATGGCAATTTATCATACCTTCCGATATGTAGGGGTTCGACAAAATCACGCAAATCCCTCCAGTAACCTCTGACATACCAGAGCGAGGACCGGGAGTTGCAAGCCTATCTAACCTTAACTATGGAGTTAGGTAGCATCCCAGATGGGTAAATGCCCAAGCTCAGGTTACATTACCATGAGAACTTTCCGGTCCCAGCTCGTCCTTCTGTCGGATTGCCAAACTCTACCATCATCCCGTCTCTTGGGTCGCGTCTTGGGCCACCTCGTGGCTACATCAGAAATGACATAAGCCTTGTTTATCAATCTGATAATCTCTGATGATCTTTCATAACCGCCGGTACCGGCCTTTTCCAACCGTGACGCGGAGCCTTCCGTGTCTTACCTCGCTAGCTAAATACACTAGCCTACCGTCAGGCTCGATTCTGTTTACTTAGATTCTTTGTTATCGAATAGAGATTTCTGTTTAATTCAGTATGATACTGATTTATTGAGGAGGACTAAGAACATCATATAACTCGCTAAATCATCTCCGAGTGACCGTGACTCAGCTCATATATTGGACAATTATCCAGCGATATCTATCACAGGTAACCCTACTGGATACATCAGGCTACGAAGGTTATAGTTGTATTGCCAGTGCTCACTGTGTTGAGTTTATTACACACACGTTCTCGATGTTACTGTTGCAATGCAAGGTCCGTCCATCCGTCCATAAATCCACCTAGAGGACTATTTACGTTTGAATAATTCTCCTCTGAGAACTGAAGTGGCGTGATTTACTTATCAATCTACTGAAATAGCCGGCTCCGGCTTATTTTCGAAATAATCACGGCCGGTCAAGTTTTCTCTCCAACCGAATCTAGATATTAAAGACACCTCGTGTTGCATTGCCAAGAGGATCTGGGTGCACGCATGTCTTAAATTTGCTTGGCTAAATCACCATTCTTGGCAAGCTCCGTGGGTAAAGAACTTTGAAAAATACAGCATCCACAATCCCGTTACCATTAGTGTCGGGCTATTCCCCGAATTTCCCTTTTCAGATGGACCATTTGCCTGCGGATAGTTGCCCTCTTATGAAGAGTCCAAGGAAAGAGGGGTGACATGTTCTGCAATGAAACAATACCATTATGATAATCCGTCAGACTGGGTCAAGCTATGTTGTAGTGACTAGAATATATAGAAACGCATTAAGCCTATGCCTACATGAGAAGTACTGCACAAACAACTACGCAACCATTGCTCGTCAACAGAAGGTGTACTACGACAATCCGCTATGATTGACCCCCAGATGCTATCTGTTCAAAAAGTTCTGGGGCGCCTATTGCCGCCGCAGGAGGAGCTAGGAGACAATCAACTCCCGACTACTTTACTCCCACAACCAGAATCTGAGCCCTCACAGGGCCTGAGTACTGATGGCCATGTTTACGAAATAGGCCAGGTCAAAGACCTAGCTACGAATGAGGGTATCAATTATTTGCTTGGTAGCTATGCGCGGGGAATCATAGCTGTGACCGGTCAACGGAAAATTGCGTTCTGGGTCACCACATCTGAGCGTGAATCGGTCGTCGAGCGTGTAGTAATTGCATCACAGGGTGTGGCAGATGATTCCAATATGGAATTAAAAATACTTGCCCCTCCGGTCGGATATTCCAAGGGAAGACCTGAGGAAGTGGGGTTTGGGCTATGTCTGGAGCGAGAAGGTGTTATGCTGTCAAATTTAATGGGACCTGTGAGTGGTTGTGCAAAGTGTCAATTGACAGAATAAATGTGATTGCTAACAAGTCCGTGACATAATACAGGGCAGATTACTATTGTGCATCGATACGCAGTCCTCGAATGCCAGAATTGTATATAACGTGGGAATACAACATCGGGCCAAGATGGCGGAGTTGAGCGAGAAGTTGAAGACATATCTACGCTGCGATGAAATAAAAGAGGATAGCCCCCAATTTTGGCACAGCAAGCTCGAAGAATTTGTTGGTGTTTGCGACAGACAGTTTGCCACGTTGTCGTGTGTGCGCATGGCACTCGAACCAGATTATCCCCCAATATTGTCGCACACGCTTGCTGTGGGGACATCTTGGGCAGAGCTCGAGGGCTTTGCAGTGCGAATTGGTCTCGGGTCAACTGGAACTGTCTTCCGCGCAGCATTCGCGTCAGTTCTATCAGAGTACCTCGAATCGGACAGGGTGATCATTGGAGAATACACCTTGGAACGAAGCAAGTCTCCTCTCTGGAATTCGACAATACCATTGCCAATTATTATTAACGGCCAAGAGAAAGCGGAAAGCCTTCTATGCCAAATTGATCAACTTGTTTCTAAATCGCATGCTCTACGGGCTGTACCGTCTAAGACAGTTAGGGCTCTCTTGCAATGCCCTCCTTCACAAGTGCCCTTCACTGCGCTCTTCACATATTCTGAGGACGCGTGCTTCGATGAATCAACAGCGACCAATTCATCCTTACAACCAGAAACAGCCACACCGCCTCTATCCTTGACCATTGTGAACTCCAGGCAAAATGTCCCCTCTTGCAGAGTCTCAGTTCGTGGCGATTTGATGGACAATATGCATCTCGAACTGGTGGCACAGCAGATAGATGCTTTGGTAGTTGCGATCATTGCAAATCCCAGTGAATTGGTTCGAGACCTAACTCGACACTTCCCCGAAGGTCTCCTATCCTTATACACTCCATCAGTGAGCGAACGGTTAGAACAGGCCCCAAAACTATCCCCATACCACTGGGTGGACCATTGGGCCAAGACCAATTCGAGCTGGCCGGCCTTGGAAGTCATTGAGTCTATCAATGACGACGTGATTAAGTCTCGAACATGGTCATACGAAGAGCTTGCGCGAAAGTCAAACCACATTTCTTCTTGGCTGGCCGCTCGGGGCTGGCGCAATAGCACGATCGGCGTTTGTCTTGGTCGCTCTTTCATGGCATATGCGATAGTGTTAGCGATCTGGAAGAGTGGAAACTGCTACATTCCCATCGCAGAAGATTTGCCAGAAGCCCGTCGTGTGCTTCTACTCAGTGACAGTGGTGCCACGGCTTTATTCTCTGACAAGGAGGCCCTGGGTGACGTTGTTCCTCCGGAGGGGTGCGAGGTAATTGACATCAACAGCGTCACATTTCACGATGGGATTAATAGCATTGATGAAACAGTTGAAGTTGATGTAAATCCATCCGATAACTGTTATCTTCTTTACACCTCCGGTTCCACGGGTCTACCGAAGGGAGTTATTGTCACGCGTGGCAACCTCTCCGCCTTCACCGAGGCCCAGTCCGAATATATCTGTCGCCATGTGCCAGACACGCTCACACTGGGAGGTAAGGGTAGCTATCTGGCTCACGCTAGCCGGGCCTTTGATGTTCACATATGCGAGATGGTGCTGGGCTGGCGACATGGGCTCCGCCTCGTGACAGCGCCGCGGACTATGTTGCTCGATAACTTGCGTCTGGTGCTTACCCAATGCCGCATATCGCATGCTGGGTTTGTGCCCTCTTTACTTGAGCACACTGGCATCAGTGCTGAGCAGTTACCCGATCTTCGATACCTTGGAGTGGGTGGGGAGAAAATATCCGAGACTATTATTGAGCGCTTCGTTGGAAAGCCATTAATAGCTGTGGTCAACGCATATGGGCCGACAGAAGTGACTATTGGCTTGACGAGCCATACAGTAACGGCCTCTTCAACAGTGCGAAATATCGGATCCGCAGTGGGTAATATAACCCTTCATGTGCTTGTGCCAGGGACCAATGATTATGTCAAGCGAGGCCAGGCAGGCGAACTTTGTGTTACGGGAGACCTAGTGGCAAAGGGATATCATGGAAGACCCGATGCAAAAGGGTTTGTCAATTTTCAAGGACAGCATATGTACCGGACGGGGGATATCGTGCGTCTCATGGCAAATAACTGTGTTGAATATCTGGGCCGACGGGATAGCCAAGCCAAAGTCCGTGGCCAACGTCTGGAGCTTGAAGAAGTATCTATCGCTGTCCGCCGATGCGCTGATCGTGAAGTCAACGTCACATCAATAGTGACACCGTCCCCAATCACAAAGCGACCCCAGCTTATAACTTTCATTAGCCCTTCCAGCGGCCGACCGGAGGATGTCTCTAGACAACCCGAGTTCATTAGGGAGGAATACCAGAGATGGATTCCACAGGTTCTGGAACGCTGTCGCCAGCAATTACCAGTCTATATGGTCCCCAGTGTTCTCCTCCCAGTCAATTTCATACCCGTTCAGATATCGGGCAAAGCAGACAACCGCCGCCTAGCAGCCCTGTATGAAAGCATTCCCCCATCAGACCTCCTGCACGAACCGAATGGGTCCACAGTTGCAATTCCCGGACTTGGTGCGGAACAGGAAGATGATCGCTTGACAGCGGACGAACAGCAGGTTTGCGATATCGTTTGCTCGATCGCATCGGCAGATCCCAAGCCTGTCACAAAGTCAACCAGTATCTTCCAATTGGGAATTGATAGCCTCAGTTCGCTGAACCTAGCAGTGCAGATGCGCAAGTCTGGCTATGTTTGTTCTGCAGCCGATATTCTACGTAATAACACAATCGTGCAATTGGCAGCCTTACCCAGATGTCATGATATCTCAGGCAAAGATTTCCAGGGGCATGTATCGGAAGAACAGTTCGCCGAGGCCACGCAACAGCTACTGTGCGTTGACTATGAGTTCCGGCAGTTGCAGAAGCCCATTCTAAACTCCTCAATAGCTGTTGTGCGGCCATCTCTGCCTCTTCAAGAAAGCTTGGTTTCCATTTCCATGGATAGTTCAGCTCCGCTGTACGTCAATCATATAATGTTTCGGTTACAACCAGCGATTTCGCTTGAGGCGCTAATACTGGCATTTGAGGATTTGTTCCAAGAGAATGAAATCTTCCGCACTTGCTTCTCCATTCTCAATGATCGCGTGGTTCAAGTAGTTTTGAAACCTCGAGTGGCTCAGATAGCCTTGGATCAGGTCACAGTCTCGGATGAAGAAGCTGCTCGGGGTTTTTTCACGAAACGTCAGGCTTATGTTGCGTCCAGTATCATAAGTGGTCTCGAGATACAGCCCCCAATTCGTCTCATCACTGCTTCATCAGCAGACAGCAGTCACCCTGGATGGCTGATGCTATCCATTCATCATTCTATCTTTGACGGTGCTAGTATAGACATGCTCCTTAACCGGCTTTATGATCACTACTCGGGAGAAACGCCCATTAATTGTATCGATCTCACCCCTCTTTACTGTCACTTTATGACCGCCACCGCAGAAGAGGCTGAGAAATACTGGGTCCGCTACCTCGCTGATTGTCGCCCTGCCATTGCCCTGACAGAGAACACGAGCGCTACACCGTATCGCATAATCACGAAGAAATTACCATTCAAGCTAGCCGAGCTCTCCAGCCTCGCCTCCAAGATATCTACAACTACGCCGCTTGTTCTGGAAACAATCTGGGGCATTGCGCTGGCTAAGCTCCTGGGTCAAGCGGATGTTATATTCGGTCGGGTGATGAATGGGCGATCCATACCGGTGGATTTAGTAGAGAAAATGCTGGTACCACTTGTAGCCACCGTTCCAACTCGGCTTCGCCTTTCATCTGGTGCAGAAAGCCTCGTTGGGCTTATCCGAACACAAACTCAAGCCAGTCTAGAGTCCTTGCCCCATCAGCATACTCCTCTCCGCGCTATCCAGCGATATGCCCAGGCCCCGGGGCCATTGTTCAACTCAATGTTCTCCTATATTGCCACGGGCCCCAGTGCTGCCGACCGTTTATTGCAAGAAATAGACAGCGTTATGGAGGTAGATTACCCTCTTGCGCTAGAGGTCAGAGCGGATAAGGAGACTGACGCTGTCACGCTGCGTTTGAGGGTTGTTAGTGATCCATCATTGACTGAAAATGCTGAGAGTATGATCAGTACAATTCTGATCCTGCTTCAAAGCCTCTTATCGAATGAAGATGCAATTATTCATGAGCCGGAGTTGGTTCGATCTCAAGAAAGAGAACAACAAACATGGGACGAAAATCATTGGACCGAAGATGAAATAGCAATCCGACAGCTTGTTTGTCAGATTACCGGTTTACCTGAATCTCAAATCTCCAAGAACATATCCTTCTTCGCCCTGGGAATTGATTCGGTTATCTCCATTCGACTTGCTCGCTCTCTGAGGGAATGGGGTCTGCAGGTGTCTTCAAGCGACATCTTGAAGTATGCAAGCGTCGGGTCACTGTATAATCACGTCCAAATTCCTTCTAACCCGCCATCTGTACCCAAACTGGCAGAGACTACGTTGAACTTGAATGCCGACATCAGTCTTTTTAATGCAGACGACTCCATTGAAGAAGTCTATCGCTGCACGCCATTGCAAACAGCCATGATCGGGCAATGCTTAAGCAGCCAAGGCAAGGATTATGTCCATCATCACGTCGTGACTTTAGAGGATTCCATTGATCTTGACCGTCTCCAATGTGCGTGGGAAGAGCTTGCTGAGCAGGCTGATATACTCCGCACCTCGTTCCACAGACCCGAATCCAGCCATGGATTTATAGCTGCGGTCCACAAATACCCCTTGGTGGAATGGTCTCACTGCCCAGAGGAAGCTTCATTCGCTAGAGCCATTAAACAACTTTCCGAACAAACAACCTATCCCGAGATGAAGCATTTCCATAAGCCACCCTGGAGTGTTACAATCCTACAAAAAGGATTCCAGAGGCTGATGGCTGTGTCCATGCATCACTGTCTCTACGATGGCTTTTCTCTACCGCTTCTGTTTGGGTCTTTGGAGAAGATCTATCAAGGACTAAAGATTACCATCGGGACATTCGCGTCTGCTGCTCGGACAATTGCATATATTCAGGAGAATTCCTCCCAATTGTGGATTAATATGGTTACGGGCTACCAATCTGCCGGACTACCAGCTTCACCAGATTCGCATCTCGGATCCCGAGCACAATGGGCCGAGGTAAAGGTCCAAACACCAGTCATTGACCTTCTTCGCCAATGTGGCTCCCTTGAAGTTACTCTACAGACCGTTGCATTGCTAGCCTATGGAAGATCATTGGCGCTCTTACTAGGCCAGCGAGACGTTGTATTTGGCCACGTCGTGTCTGGACGCGCGCTAGATGTCGATGTCACGGCGCCATTAATCGGCCCTCTTCTGAATACCGTGCCATTCCGTCTAACCCTTGATCCGATTCTTCGGAGCACCCGTTCAGTCCTGAAGCATATCCAACAATTTTGCGCAGAATCCCTGCATCACCAGCATGTGTCGTTGAGTGAGGTCCAAAACGCATGGCGTGTAAGAAGCCGAAGTGCCAGCCTTGCTCTGCTCGATGCCCTTTTCACGTTCAACAAAACCGAAACCACAGATACCACATCCATTTTTCAGCCGTATCATTCAGATCAAGAGCCTTCGTCTCCTCACTACAAATTGAATGTTGAATTTGAGCAGACCCCCGAATCGCTTTTCATCCGGGTATCTTGTCGTGATCTTTTCAATGGACAAGGCGAACTGCAGGGTTGGCTTGAGAGCCTGGCTCAGAATATTGCTGATATTGTCGCGTCACCAGATGCTCCAGTATTGAGCTTCCCAGCCAATCTTGGTGCTCTGCCTCTTCATACCTCACCCTTGGAGACACTGACTGAAGAGGGTACTGACGCCTCAGACTCCGCACACCACATCGAGATGATCAAGGAGATTCTTGGAAGGGTTACAGGGACCCCTGTCGAGCAAATCCAGACGAACAGCAGCATCTTTGCGCTCGGGGTTGACTCTATCCTAGCGATAGATATCAGTGCAAGGTGTCGAGACTCTGGTCTTCAACTGTCTGTAGCCGATGTTATCCAGGGAAAGACAGTTCAAGGTATCTCAAGTCTTGCTGCTAAGCGCCTCCTTACATCTTCGGAACCAGCAGTAACTGTCACTGCTCCTAAGTTTATCGTTGACTCCCAATCAAAAGCTAAGGCACTGGAGGCGCTATGTCTGACAGACGCTGAAGTCGAGATCATATTACCTTGTCTCAGTGGTCAGCTCTTCTATATCTCGCGGTGGCTTGAAAGTGGCTGTCGACTGTGGGAATTCACATTTGCCTTCAAGAGCAGAGTTCGGCTTGATGAAGAACAATTCAAGCATGCTTGGAATCTGTTACAACAGAGACATGGTATCCTTCGCACGTCATTTGCCGCTGTATCCAGGAGTGAGGTGGTGCAGGTGGTATTTAAGCCTGCCAAGTCAGGCAGAGACGTCCTCGTCGACAGTCAGTTACATGCTGAAAATATCCAGAATATACTAAGGGACTTGTTCCAGGACACTGCCGCGGCTCCGTCCAATCTACTGACACCACCAGCCAGAATTCGCCTGGTGCAATGCCACGACAACGATGTCATTCTTCTCACCCTTCACCATGCGTTATATGATGCCTGGTCAATTCCAATCTTGGTGAAAGATCTGGAGGCTCTATACATCAACGCCCCTCTCCCAGAACCAACCGAGTTCTCTTCCTTCATTCACCACGCACAGCGTAAACCCGATCTATACTGGAGCACAGCCCTCAGCAATGCTAGTCCCACAGTCTTGGGCTCCAATGTCTTTAGTGCGTCAAGTTCGCTAGATATCAAGTCGTCACATGGCCTTTTCCCTCAAATTCTCCGCAAGGTCGAGGCTCTATGCCGGCAGAAAGGGACCTCCATGCCCACGCTCATTCTTCTCGCCCTCAGTCGCAGTCTAGCACGCATCGCAGACGCCACGAACCCAACTTTCGGTCTATTCCAAGCGGGCCGCTCGAACGATTTCCCGGAAATACACAGCATAGCCGGCCCAACAGTGAACATGTTGCCATTTGTTGTACAAGATGTACTTTCATGTCCTGTTTCGGAATGCGCCCAGGCTATTCAACGCGATCTCGACGATCGTACTCGCCATGACCAGACGGACCTTCGTCAGCTTCTAAAGACATATGGATCTGAGCTTCAGTTCAACGTCCTTGTTAATATTGTTTGGGGTAAACTTGAAAGCGGTACTAGTCATGAGTCCGGAGACTCGATTTTCACCCCTTTTGCGATCGATATTGATGATGGAATTATCAATGGGCAGGCGTATTCTGGAGAAACCTCCGTTGATGCCTTGGACTGCGACGAGCTGCCTTGTAAGAGTAATGCGATGCTGGAGGTGAGACACAGTGAGGCAGACGATGCGCTCGTGTGGCAGATTGATTATACACTGGATTTGATGTCAGTTCACGAAGCAGAGAACTTCTTGGGGGTTCTTGAAAAGGAGGTTGAGGAAGTTGTTGCATCCCTTTGATGGGGTATCTGTCATTTTTCCTTGGATTTGGGTATTTCTTATTGGAAATCTTCATAGATTTGAGTTTACTAATATAGTGCCTGATCATCATGAACGAGCCTTCCAAGTCGGTTTCTTTCTTAGCTACTCCGTAGTGAATGTGAGACCGATCTTGTGTTGCCTGAGGCATAAAGGCACCAAGCCTGTAAGGCGTCGAACCGTCTCCACCCAGCAGACTCGAATGGAAATCAGGATCAAATTCACAAAACATGATAGCATTAGGATTATTGTATGCTAATAGTTCTGCACTACGCATACAGGCTATATTCAAACTGTATGAGAATCGCAATATAATGTATTCTCTTGGTGGATGTCGCTTTGTCACACGCCACTTGTGACGCCCACTGATTCTTCTTCCAATAGCAGTGTTAATATCATCAATCAATTACTGCAGATGCTGCATCTGCAGCCGAATTTGACAAGTTTTGCTTCTCTACCAACGCCTATCCACGTTCAAGACTGATTGGACAGCCGGATATTAATATCTCGGCCATTGCCATATAATGAAATTCCTTACCAGGGTAAGATTGATTACATTTCCCATATACTGGTCTTTTTCTACCCTTATGCTTCTAGTTATGCTCTTATAATGAACTGTGCCGATCACTTCCTGTTTACTCCAGGGGTCAAAGCCCATCAAATACGTTTCCTCGGTCTACTTAACACCGAGATTATGTTTGTACTGTGCTTGGACGTTCGATTCCAACCCGGACACGTCCTCATTGCAATGCAATCCCCGCAGAAGAAACAATTGCCAATGTTTGACCAGGTGGAAAGTAAGGCGTTTGATACAGTCGGCAGTTCGTCCTGTTGATCTCAGAATATAGCATCCTGGACCTGGCCGACTATTGCCGTCAGGAATGTACGAAAAACCAACTCGAAGCTTCAAGTGTATTACCTGACCTTCTTATAGTACAGTAGCCGGGAGCTAACATGGATACCACCAGACTTGAGTATTAAAACTTGTTCACGAGATTTATTATACAATTATGCATGGTTGGTGGTCGCGGATACGAAACTCACGTTTGAAGCCCCCAAGCGAGCCTGCAGAAACAGACTGGGCATGCAGCTTATGGCTTGTCATGCCCCTGGAATAAAATCGCCCGACCCCACATAGCTCCTCTCAGCCACCCGGAGTTAGTGGAACAATACGTTTTCTTATGCTGGGCCAAGGTGAACTTTGAAAGCGGAGTCCCGAATGGGCGGGAAAAACTGCTTCAAGCGCTCCACCGGAGATTGAAATGCATGGCGAAGGAGGATGGCTCGATATGTTCTTCGTATTGGTGTATTAATTTGACGAGTTCATGAAGATCAGCGGGACTGTTTTCCCCGATTTCACAAAATTCCCTGTAATTGAAACATGCCGAGAGACTAGTCGTCTTGTCCTCTTCAGGTCCGATACCTACATTAATAGCTCAGCTACCCGACCTGACGAAGGGTTATAGGCCAGGTTACAGCTCATTTTCCAGTTATCAAGAAAAGTGAAAAGTACACAGCCATGACACGGTTCCTTCAACTCACCGCGTTGGTCGCACTCGCTTCCACTGCCTGGGCCCAATGTGGTTCGGGTACGCCTGAAGCGACGGTGGACGGGGAGGACGGGTCCTTCACTGCCACTAAAGGCTCAGAGGAAGTGTACTCGGGCTCTAGCTACATTGAGGCGATCCAAGCTGCGGTTGACTCTCTTGCTGAAGGCGAGCGTGTCTCCGTCATTGCATCAGGCTCTCTCGGCACCGGCACTGTCAGTCTTGGCAGTGGTATCATCTTCGAAGGCTGCGGTACTATTGATACCGCATTTAATGAGAAAGGGCGTGGTGCGATCGAGTCTACCGGTACGACGGGCGTTCAGATTCCATACCTCACCATGACTGGCGACCCCTACTTCGGTCTACTGTTCTACGGCGTTACGGACCTTTCTTTGGGTGAAATTACGATGAATCTCAGCGGTGGCTTGGGTATTCGCTTCCACCGTGACGAGGACGCCAACTCCAACGTGAGCATGGATACGATCAACGTGACTGGAGCTGGCAGCCACGCTGTGGAGATTTGGAATATCGACGGCCTTACAATCGGCTCGGTCATCGCCAAGGACGTCGGCGAGTGTGGTCTCCTGATCCAGAATTCTGTCAACGTCGAAGTTGGCACCGTTGACGGTGATAATGTTGCGGAAGGAACTGGGTATGCGACCCTCCGTTTTGCCAACACCAATGGCCGACAGGCAGATGGTAGCTATGAGACCAACGTTCACATTGAGAATGTCAAGTCTCGTGGCGGCGGTCGCGGAATCTTCTGTGTCTCGGAATCTGGTGGCGCTGTCATTGATAACATCGACCTTGAGGACAACGGCAACAATGCCATTCTCATCGAAAACTGTTACAACGTCGAGATCAGCGGTGGTACCGTGCAGGGAGGTGGGGAGGTTCGCCTCAGCGCTCGTGATGAGTTCGAAATCACTCGTGACATTTCGGTCACTCTGGAGGTTAACGACAACACTGTTACGGAGAACCCTTGCGGCGAAAACATCACTTGGGACATTTCAGGAAATGCTGAGCTCAATGTATGTTAAGCGTCAGGTCAATATGGGCTTGGGTATTCTTGCGCTTTATTCGACAACGATCACCCAGAACTAGCTAATTAACTGTGAATAATTGACATGTCATGCTGCATTTGTTTTCGGCTATACCGGCATCTATATACTGCATGTTATCTCTAGGATGATCGCACATTGATACCATATTTATCGTAGTCAAAAGATTCCAAGCTAGATATACCCTCAGCCCAGCCATCGTCAATTTCTCCCAGCTGCCACTCATCTCCAATCTCGATCAATCCTGTCCTCCCGGCCAACACTTCCTTTTGCCTGGTTTCATATTCGAGGGAGACATCAGGATGCGGTACCCAGACGACCCTCATTCCGGCTCTTCTTCCCGCCTCAACTCCGATTACACTATCTTCAAAGACCAAGCACTCACTGGGCGAGATAGGCTTTGCGCCCGACTGTGTTATAGCTTCATTCAACACCTTCAGCGCCAAGAGATACATGTCCGGCGCGGGCTTGCTTCGACCCTCACCGATTCGAGGATCATCACCCAGAATCCTTCTGCTAGACTCAAAGAAATCCAGCAGATATCTAGTCTCTGGCCTTGAAATCTTCAATTCATAAGTAGAGCTCTTCGTCGTAGACGCCAATGCCAGCTCGATCTTCCCTCCGGAGGCAGCACTCTGGGCACGGCTAAGGGTTGACAGGAGTTTCTCACTACCCGGTAGGGGCGTGCAGTTCGGAAAATGTAATCGCATTTGCTCTTTAGATTCACGGGCAAAATCCTCGCGTGATATAGGCAGGTTGGCCCAGTTGTGGAAAACATCGCCGTTTGTTGAATCGGGGATACCCATGAGCTTGGCTCGAATGGATGGGTTGAACGCCGGTCGTCCATACTTTTGAAGTATTTTGTTGGTTGACTCGGTTATTATGTCTTCGGAATTGATGAGAAGGCCGTCCATGTCGAAGATGCATGCCCGGATTGGCGGGAACCTGGTGGTGATTTATTAGTTGGGCCTCTCGAAGGTCAAAACTAGATATCTCGGCCGGAGTCAACTTGCTCTTTATCATGGTGAGACATCGGTGCCAGGTCGAATAGTAGCAAGGTTTTATATCAATAAAACGCAACCGATATCTGAGGTGATGTGTTTGTTGACAATCATTCGTGTTATCTCCGACCGGCACATTGATCGGATCTGCGGGGTTCGTCCCGTCCCTGGATCCGGTCTAGCGCGGCCGTCTCCCGCTTGCGACTCAAAATGCATCAAAGGCACAGCACCAAACAATCGCCCGGGGCTTTACTATTTCATATCCAAAAGCAGTCTTGACCGTCAGTGAAATAAATGGGCCCCGACTCTACGTGAAGGAAATCTTAGTTCTGTGGACTGACATTGGATATCTCATATATATCCTTTCCTGCTATCTGGTTCGGATTCGCTTGCGGGAAAAAAAGAAAAGAAAAGAAAAGAAAAAAGAAATTGATCAACGAGCCCAAAAAGCAACAATATCGTCAAAGTCGTCCATAGTCAGGGTTTTTGCATCTTTATCTTCCTTGGTAATTTCCTTCCTCAGACGAGTGGCAACTCGAAGACTAATGGAAGCCTTTTGCGCCTTGCCGGTCGCCTCGAACACTTTGGCTTTCAGAAAGGTAGAGCGAGCAATCTCATTTTTATGTGCATTGGGGTCCACAGACCAGACATCCAGTGCGCCATTGACCATGGAGCTGATTGTAGGTTAGTATAAATCCTAGGCGCCTCGAAAACTTAAAAGAGAAGAGACAAGAAAGATAAAACCAAACAATAAAGGATATAACAGAATTGAGGGAAGAACGAAGAGAAGTGCAGAGAAAAGAAAAGAAGGAACAACACTTACATTGCCTCTTCGCTCCGGCCCATCCGGACCAGATGTTGTGCAATTTTATGAGCAACAGTTGCAGTGTAAAAGTCACGGTCGCCCACTGTCGCACGCATGTGGTGCCACGCTCTTTGATGGTACAAGAAACTCTCATCGAATTGGTCTTGCACCGCACGAAGATTCCCAAGCACGTAAAGGATGAGCCCAGTCCGGACAGAATCTCGGTCATTCTTGCCCAATGCCTTTTCTCTCCCTGCCAAGCTTTCCAGTAGCAGCGTGTTACACTCGTCGAGCTTCCCCTGCGCAAGAAGCGCCCAGCTCAGATTGGCTTCACCCGAGCGTGGCACATAGTTTCCGAGAGCCTTGCGGATCCTCAGAGCTTCCTTGAGGTCTATCTCACCTTCCTCGTATCTTTTGTCCTGGATGCGTGAGATACCGCGCTCGGCGTATGCGAGATAAAGTCTTTCGTCCGAGGTTCCTAGTGACTTGCATATGTTAGACACTAAGTCCAGAGATCGCTCTTTATAAATTCGGCTGTTGTCAAAGTCACTCGCGTCCATAGAAATAGCTCCCAAGCAGAAGTAGATATCTGCAAGCACAGAGTCCCGATCTGGGTGTGACGAGGATTCGCAAATAATCTGGGCAGTTTCGAAGAAACCATCAAAGTGTTTTGTTCGTCCGCGCTCTTTTTGATACCTAGTACAGAATATGAGACAAGATTGACAAAGCTTGTGAGACAATATACATACCATGCGGCCTCATTTAGAAGCTTTGCAAAAAGTAAAGTAGTCACCTCTGATGGGTGTGGCATTGTTGACCACAACTGATGTATCCGCAGAACGTGAGGGTAAATGGCGGCGCAGACAGGCCACCTACCAACGGACAGTCTGCCACCGGTCGACTTCGGTTGGGGTAGCTCAGGGTCCTTGGATGGCTTGGGCATCGCCGACGGCCATCCCGCCCAGAGGATTCGTACGACTTTGCCAAACAGCTCTTGTTTCTTTGCAACGTCCATTGTCGCCAAGACCACATCTTGGACAATGCGGTGGACAGATACCTGCTGCTTTTGCTTATCTCTCTGAACTAGAGAAGACTGCAACAGATCCGTTCGCGCTTCAATGTAACTGCTCTTCCTGAAATGGCCGCCATCCGAAAGCAATTCCATTGCTGCTTCAACCAGCAAATCCTCTCCGATGACATCCGGATCTAGAAAGGAAATCAACTCCAACAGTTGGCGAGCTTGTGGTTTCAGCTTTTCGAATGCCCAGACAGTGGAGAGGGAGTGGCGGTATGTGGTTATGTTGGTATCGAACTTTGTTTCGTAAAGACTCGCATGCTCCTCGTGGTCTGTATATAACTCTAAGAACTCTGATAGGGTCAGATCCTGTCGACGGATGATCCCTGCCATCTGGGAAATAGCCAGAGGGACGCCACCAAGTGCACTGGAGATTTGCTTGGCTGTATCGTCTTCAGCCTCGTCGAAAAGCGATGTGAGATGGTTGAAGAGGTCTAGACTGTCTTGCTGGGAAAGTGGACCGAGGTCCAAGCCAGAAGGCCTCCTTGTAAACATGCTCTTGGCCAATGGGTCCCGGCTAGTCACCAAAATTGACCCACTTCCCTGGGGCCAATAGTCCGCTAGTATCATTGGATCATCTGCATTGTCGAAGATAAGCAGCCAAGATGCTTCTGATCTGGCTTGGTCCGGTTGAGCAGACTCGTCGGGCTCAGCCAAGTTCTTTCGCGGGTTGGAGAGCCACCCTTTTACAACCTCTCTGCTGACAACCTGGCTCTTGCACTCGGAGGCATCCTCTAGTCCAAGTGCTAAGGATATTTGCTGATAATGGTAGTCTAGCTTGGCGATCTCATCTGCCACAACCCAGAACACTGCATCGAAGGAATCCTTATAGCGCTGGGAGAATTCTCGAGCGATCTCTGTTTTCCCGATTCCACCGAATCCACAAAGTGCAAATTGTCGTAGCGGGGTGCTCGATGCTGTTATTACTGTCTTTGAAGGCAGAAGCTCAGCAGCGAGACGTTCCAAAATATCCTCGCGGCCGCAGAAGTCCGCGTTTGTGGAATGCATGTTCAGAAAGCATGGCAAATTTAGTTTCATTCGGGTCTCGGCGCTGGATGATGTGGGATACACGAGCTCGAAACCTGAAAGTGAGGTGCCCTCAGTCGCCCTGTTTGATGGCCATTCTGACACTTCGTTCGATGGGCATTCGGTGAATTCCAACGGCTCCACTAAATATGATTAGTGTGGTTCACTTAGGCAACAAATATTAGAATTTACATTTCAACGGCATTTCGCTCATAGTAGGTGAGTAGGCACTCATGGTGGCATATTGATATTCCTCTGAGAAAATGAGTTTCGGTCCATAGCCTTGCAGAACGTTTTTAACTTACGGTCTTCAAGTCGAAGGGTGACAACACGCTGGGCGTCATTCAAGGTCTCGTAAATAAACCTTTGAAGTTGTGGTAAGCCTTCACCGCCAATGCTCTTTGTAAATTGACATGTATCGTGGTGGTTGAGATTGAGACCAATAACCGTTTCCATTGGTGCATGAGTCGAACAAGCTTCACGGCCGACCAACTAGAACCATTTTTAGTGACTATAATCAGCAGAAAACAATTGAACAAACCTGCTGTGGTCGTGATAGTAAAGAGCCTGAGCTATTCTTCGATTCCCTAAGCTCATAGACGGATAGAATGGGAGTACGAAGCGAGATTGATTCAAACCTATCGGCGAGATTGAGCAGCATCGCACCTTCTTGTTCGACACTGGCGTGCGCAATCTTCAATGTCTTTCCCGCTGTTGCTTCCAAGACATCTCGGAAACGAGCCAATGTCGTACTTTTGTCACCATATCGATGTGGTGTGCTCAAGAAGATCACACCAGCTATGGCGTTAACAATTGAGCCGTAGCGGGGAAATTGCTTGTTAGCAACACATAGAGCTTGTTTGACTATACTACCACCCAGGCTGTGGCAAATTATCAGGATCGGCTTGACGGCACTCTGGACTAAGGCCTTAGCAGGCTATTCAAATCATGTCGATTGTCACACCATTTACCTTATCCGGGTCTCTTGATCGAGTATCACTGATGTGTTCTAGAAGGTCATAACCTAACATCAAAAGTGACTCCCACGACGGCTTCGTGCCGACAAATGGCGAGGCATATTCATATGCTAGTATCCGAAATCCAGCAACAGGGCCCGGCAAAGTCGCCAGCCATTCCTCGTTAGCGAATGGCCAACTCTCCGGCGATATAGTTCCGATGCCAGGAACGAGAACAATGCTAATCCATTTTGTGAGTGAAAGGAGCAGAGACCACCTGGCTTTGAACTCTCTTACTCTATGCCAATCTGAGACGCATCTCCTGGATTTCGCACTACCCGAAGGCAGCTGGGAGTGGTGAATCCTGTCGCTGTGCTCATGACTGCAGCATGCGATAAATTCGTGAGACAATGAAGCGAGAACAGGACTGAGTCTGAGGAGGCTGAAGTTGATGGGAGCAGCAGGGATTCAATGATGCGGGGTAGCCTCCAATCACGACCCCCCTGTAAGCGCCAACGATACACCCGGTCGCTGTCCGTAGACACCCTTCCACCTAACCCTTTGGACGGCCGTGGATCAATATCCCTTCGAAATATCAACGACATTAAATCCTCCCTTCATGGCAGAGAGGCACTCTAGCGATAATTATCTTTCTAGCTTGGTTTCCTTTTCTCTCTGCCTTTTCCATTCCTTGCTTCAATTGCAATATCTCGTCCTCGATTGAGTCGCTGCATGATCAGGCGGATTGGAGGCCTTCGTTTTTGGAAGTGAATGCTCTTATCAGTATCAAGTACGGATGCTCAGTACATAGGTCACACAAGATGACTGGGATCTTTCTCGCCCTTCTCATGCGTCAAGTTCATCTTAAGAGCGCGACATCGCTTCCAAAATTTCGCCCAATACCGCTTCAGTACCAGAGTATCCCAGAGATAAAACATACAGGCAGCCAGAGTCGTTGGGACACACAACACGAAGAACCACCAATACTTCACCGCATTTTGCCCAAGCAGATCAATATTCATCCCCAAAAGACTCGAACTGAAGGTAAGCGGAATGAAGAGTGTTGCCAGCAAAGTCAACTTCTTGAGTCGCTCGGACTGCTCGATCGCTTTGCGTGACTCCTCTATTGTCGCTTTGTTCATGGCCAGTGTGATGCCCCAAGTGCACATTTTTGAGAGCTCGACACAACGAACATGGAGCTGTTCGTAGTCTCCCAGGAGGCCTTTTGGTGTGAAGGGCCCGTCAGAGTTATCGGATCCGACGGTCCGGGCCGTTTCGGTTTCTGAAGTCTGCCGGCGTCGGCCCCTGCCGGCACCCATCGGTACGGCACCTTTCGGGATGTGGTTATCTATCTTGACATCCTCCAGTCCGTGGCTTCCTCGTTCGGCTAGTCTGTAGATTGCTTGTGTGCTGTCTTTAAGCTGTTGGGCATGTCGGTTCAGAATGTTGTAAAAATATTGAAGTGTTTCTAGCGCATCTGCAGGTACGCCTTGGGTGATGGTGTTGATCTGAATATTGATTCTGGACTCCATGAGATTGAGAAACTGAACCTCTGAAAACGCGGCATGCGTAAATAGTGGGATGCACATGGATAACGGATCCCGTTGTGCGCGACGGGCCAAGTCGACTAGCGCGATCAGTGAATCGTATTGCATTGGGAGGATAGCAGTGCTCTGTTGCATATCTGCTTCGGCATTGCTCGCCGTGTCTAGACGATTCGTGGTGGTTCGAAATGCCATCTTAGGATGATGCTGGAGCACGGGCAGCGGTGTGGCCTTGCTTTGGATATGACTTGTCCAAGGACCTGAGGGGGATTGTTCCAAGGGCCTGTCGTGGTCCATCCAGGCGAGCACTACTCTAGATTAGCATGTGTTATTTCTCATACCATCTATGCATGGTATCTTACCGGACCAGCCTTTGTTTGACTTTGTGACACAGAACGAGATCCATTGTTCGATCACAGAAAAGGACGAACAGACAGTGGAGTACTCGCGCACCAGAGAGTCTCCGCAGCAGACTTTCGTAGATCCAAGCTGTTGAACTTTGTACGTTGCGAGCTCATTAGACTGATGTAGCCGCTGTGACTGGAGATCCTGCCCGCCGAAATCATCACGATGAAGGATAGTGTTCACACAAACCCGAAATATGTTGTTCGAAGAGCTGGCAAGCGATGGGAAACTATACGCATGCCTGTCAATGCTAGGCGAAAGAAAGTCCATGTGTCGACGAAAAAACTCGGGGTCAGCGTTATATTTACTCCCGATGGCCGCCACCCATGACGGTGATAGGAATCCTCGAAGGAAGACTATTTCACCTGAGTCTCCTGTTGGGGCCGAGGGGTTGGTGTAGAAGTCTTCATGTTGCTCTTGAGTATACTCCTGAACATGCCATTTTCTCTCACCGCTGTTGTACACCACAGTTAAGGCATGAGGCTGTTCGGATTTGGACGCAAAGGGCGTGACATCCCCTTCTAATTTACCCGACTGCAGAGTACGCTGCTGGCGCATCCATTCTCCTAGGTCGACATAATTGTTTCCAGGGAAGACAGAGGTACTCGAATATCTTCTCGAGAGCGAGACTATTGCTCGAGTGTAATTCTTCGGTGTAACTAACTCAGGTCATTAAATAGGTTTCTCGAATTTGAGATGAAGTGTTGACATGATCCCTTACGTGCGGACTTTCTGCGCTCCATGTCCTATTGTACAATAATGTCGTAGATAATATACCTTATTGGATGTAACAAGTTTCAACACGTCAACATGCTGAGCATTACCATGCGCGGTAGGCGACCGTTAATTTCGTCCCTCTATATCGTGGATTTTCAATGACATATGAGTCGAGCTGAAATAAAGCTTCGGTGCCACAGCCGCTCTGACCAAAGATCAACGCGGCAAGGCTTTCTCAGTCAGTGGTCTATATCGTATGTTTTTGCCGCCTGATGGAGTGGACCCCTCACGGGGTGTGTGTGAGAGCAATACGATAGCGGGCGCCAAAAGCCCTTATTTTGGCGCCTTCTGGGGCCAGTCACAATCACAGTCATGGATTATGCATTAGCGGCATCGATGAGACCTATCAGCGTCAACCAGAAAGTTCAGCTCTCGCGGTCGCATGAGAAAAAGACAAGAACTGTCCATTGTTTTCAAATTTCGGTTCCCAAAATGTTAAAATATCCGGCAAAAATGAAACACCATCTATCCAAACGGCATAAGATACAATCTTCAGGAGACATAGTCATGTAAACCGATCAGTCAGAGTCCTCCGACTGAAGAGTCCGACCATTGATCGCTAACAGCTCGACATTACTGTATGATAATCAGTCGACGACACACCTATCTAGCCAGAGGGGATAACTTACAAAACAAGAGTCGAGTTCCCGGGGATAAAAGGAGGCGCTCCCCTTCGTTTCGAAACATGTTAGTGTAATCTAAGAATAAATGGGCACGGATATTCTGCATACTTTTCACCATATCCGTAATGCCTACATTTCAATAAATCGTCAGCGAAGCCATTCTCCGGAGTCACGAAGGGACGGGGCAAAACATACGGGCCAAAAGTAAGTAGAGACTTTTCACCAAGACTCATCCCGAGAATACCAACCTCCCATCCTATTTATTTGTACATTTGTGAGAGGAAGGTCATAAAGTACCCGTCTTTCTCGTCCAGCATGCTTACCTTTAATCACCGTGCCCATTCCAATCTGGAACGTAAACGGATATCCCCTTTTGATACTGCTGTCGAATCTGTGCCAATAGGAACAACAGTCAGCACAAAAAACACATCTGAAATTCATACTCTACCCATTCCTTTTGCTTCCACCAGGGTAAAGCTTACCGACGCCCCCTATTCCACGACCGCGTCGGATCGTACAAATACCCGTGATAGTGAACGGTCACCATGTCGCCACTTTTGGGATAGTCCACCCCGTTACCGGGGCGGATGATATCCTTGATAAAGTCGATAATTCCCATTTTCTGACTAGATGAGACGGAACTATGCATGTTATTGTTGTAGGGAGATACGCGGAAGACTCGATCTGATCACATGACGCACGCGGGTGGACGGAATGTCGGAGCGGAAAAACTTGAATGATGTCATTGGCGGCGTAGAAAACAAAACATAACAAACAAACACATGTTTAATGTCGGGGGTGTACATGGACAAAACGAAACTATACCATAACCAAATTTCTCGCTTCATGAGCCGAATACATAGACAGAACTGCTTGAAGCAAAACATTGTGCATTGCTTATCTGACGCCTATTAACATGCTTCGGAGTGTTCGGAATTCTTACCCTCCCGTCAAAGGGGGTTCAACCGGTTCAACCCGACCCGCACGGTGAAATATCCGCAATAATGACGGTTCAGGTTTGAACCCTCAGCATTCGGGACTGCAAAATTGCAACTGCACCCGCTCCGAATTTCTGCGGCGCGGGTTGAACCCCTACTTCTAGGGACCGTAAGCGGTTGCGGTTTAACTCGCGGGACTGCAAGAATCCCTGGCAACCACAGACCGACTAATGTTCTATATAATTTAATAATTCAGATATCTACGTGTTCAGCTCTGTGAACGACCTTTTCGGCTAATTCAAATAGTCTACTTCGTACTTCTCGGACTTTCTGCTTTAAACCCGTATTCAACCCGCACCAAACCTCTGCGGTGCGGGTTGAACCCCTACCTATAGAGACCGTATGCGGTTGTTGGTTAGAACTTCCGGGACTGCAAGACTTCGCGAGAACTATTGTTAAACGATTTTTATTATACGATTTTTATCAATGATTATCTCCATATTCTATTAACTTAAGGGGCGTATCGCGAAAACAAATTCCACTACGCGGATTTTTCTGGTTCAACCCGCACCAAACCGCTGCGGTTGCAGGTTCAACCTTCGGACCGAAATTTGAACATGGACCGCCCGAAACCGCACCGATCACAGCTCTACCCTTACTCACCAGTAAACACACACTTCGTGGTGCTCGGCGAATGCTGTAGATTGACTCAATGTTTGAAGAGTAGAATTGGGAGACTGAAAATTCTTATCTCAATAAATTATTCGTGGAACAAGTCCCATGTAGTCACTTATCCGGCAAAATATATATCTAGGGATATGCCGAACGTACAGACAAATCACCGTCAGAATTTCATCACAGACAGAAGTTATATGGGTAATGGATGCTTAATTCGTTTTTTTTAATTGGTGTTAGATCTGTCAATATTTCTTTTTTACCCAGCAATGTTCGAGATGTACTTTTTACCTACTAAATGTAAGATTGTTGATATAAATTCGTAAGGAAGAGAAGATTGAAGATATGTACTTATCATTCTCATAAAAGAAAACCGAAAGCTCTATATACAGATCATATCATACAGAAAGAAAAAGCCTATATCCATATCCGTAACTCATAACATCCTAATCCAAATTTGTTTAGACACGCTGAGTACCGTCCAGATCAGAGTCAACGGTCGGATCTATCTTGTTACCAACGTTGCTGTCATGAGGACCAGCAGTGGCAGAAGCGCGACCACTGCCGGGGGTGTTGTAGCTGCTGCTAGCCATGCCTTCGTGACGGGCACGGTTGTCGCGATCGCTGTCGACTGTAGGGTCCATCTTGTTGGCCGTGGCGGAGGAGTGAGGACCCGAGCGAGCGGGATCACCGCCGTTGGCGTGCGCGTGAGGCTCGAACACCTTGGTGGTGGTGGGGCCGGCGCTTCCGCTGATGGGGAGCACGCCGGCGACACCCTCGCTGGCTTGGCCGGTGACCGAGCCGCGGATGTTACCTTCGTGGCCAAGGGCGTTGGGGAGGGAAGTGTCGATGTGCACATCGTTGGGGTTGATCTTGCTGCCGGCGGTGGAGCCGGTGCCGGTGGTGCTGTTGCGGGCGCTGCTCATGTCGCTATCAACGCGGGGATCGGCTTCGTTGGCAACGTTGCTGGAGTGAGGGCCTGCGGTGGAGGAGGCAGGGCCGGTCGTTCGGTCGTGAGTCGAGGCGTGACGAGAGTTGCTCAGGTCGCTGTCGACGCGAGGGTCGGCCTCGTTGGCAACGTTGCTGGAGTGAGGTCCGGCCGTAGAAGAGGCGGGACCGGTGGTGCGGCTGCTTCGAGACACGTTGTTGCGGGCTCCGGTGCTGTCGAGGTCGCTGTTGACGCGAGGGTCGACTTCGTTGGCAACGTTGCTGGTGTGAGGACCGGCAGTCGAGGAAGCAGGACCAGTGGTACGGTCGTAGCCGGAGGCTCCGGAGGCGCCAGTGAGTCCGGCGCTTCCAGCATGGCCGAAGCCACCCGCACTGGCATCGGGAACGGAGCCCTGGAGAGTACGGCTGTTCAGACCGGTGGTGGAAGATCGGTCGCTGTCGACACGAGGGTCCATCTCGTTCGCAACGTTGCTGGTATGAGGGCCAGCGGTGGTGTTGGTGCCATAGGATGATCCGTAAGTGTTGTTAGAGCCGAAGGCACCAGAAGTGCTGTTTTTCAAGGGGTTTGTCGAAGAAGAGTGACCATAGGCAGAAGACCGGTCACTGTCGACACGAGGATCCACCTCATTCGCGATGTTGCTGGTGTGAGGACCGGCAGTCGTGTTGGTTCCGTACGAGCCGCCGTAAGAGTTGTTGGCACCGTAGGCACTAGAAGTGTTGTTCTTCAAGGGGTTGGTGGTAGAGGAGTGACCAAAGGCAGATGAGCGGTCACTATCCACACGGGGATCGAGCTCATTGGCGGTGTTGCTGGTGTGAGGGCCAGCGGTGGTGTTGTTGCCGTAGGACGAGCTAAAGGGGTTGTTGGTGCTATAGGAGCCGGAAGTGTTGTTTTTCAGGGGGTTTGTCGATGAGGAGTTACCAGAAGCTGACGATCGGTCGCTGTCCGCACGGGGATCTAACTCATTGGCAGTGTTGCTTGTATGAGGGCCAGCAGTGTGAGAACCTCCCAAGCCGCTGGAGGTGTTGTAAGAGCCAGGCGCAGCAGGGCTCTGACCGAAAGTGTTGCTGGAGCCGGAAGTGTTGTAGGAGGGGTCGTCAATGGGGTTGAGCATAGACATGTTGGTAAGACTGTAACGGGGTAAAAATATTTGAAAGCGGGTATAAAGTTTAGAATTCGTAAAGTTGTAGAATAGGTCGTAAATGCAATAAGTTTGTTGATTGATTTGAAGTTGAGACAGAATTGCCAAGTGCATTTGCCTCTCTTAAGTAGACAACCAACACAGCATGGAAACAAGTGACGTTATTACGAGGTCTCTACTGGGATGAAGTCCTGTGTAGCCCTACGAGAGGCCAATGATGTATTCCCTAGACGATCCTCATATCTAAGAGGGCAAACTTGGCCTGAAGTGGGTCCCTCAGTCCGGGGAGAAGCAATGAGCATGGCCGATGCGTCATGGAGGATCCACTTAAACCGGCTGATCGCGTATGATGTCAGTTTGCTGAAATCGTCACTATTTTTGGCTGTACTGTACTTGAATGCCTCAGCACTGGGTCTCGAATCAATGATGGGAGATTCTGGATCAATGTGGTCATTTCTACCCCGCCAATTTAGATGCAGTCAGCGACTGCCCCTTATGCGCGGCACTTGCCGGCTGTGCTATGCGATGCCGATATTCCGAAGAACAGCCAATATGCTGCTAACGAACCACAGAGTCACGCCACAGTGTTGTCTTCTTCGACGACAATTATGGAGTTATCAATAGCAGGTATATTCGACATACATTGAACTCTACTCCGTACATTTTTGAAGAAATTGGGGATGGTTCAGCCAACAAAGGCAGCGTCCAGTTTCGGGCATTACGTAGAGACCCACAGCTAACTGATTTCATTGAACGTAGTACTGTGTCTATGTCATCCAGCCTCTAATTGTATCACGACTGTCCCACTCCAAAAGGTGCTAACAGAAGAAGGTATGACGATACTCCCCCACATAGACGCGTCTTAATCTTACAGCGAGTCCCAGCCTTTAGCTGCCCGCATGTGCGAAAACCAGTTGCTCACATACGGTGGCTTCACATGAGGTCCATAAGGATCTAACTCCCATTGCGGACGAGGAGGGTCGAGTCCAGTTTCATTGAAGCATGTGTCCATCAATTGGGCCATGGATCCGCTTCGATCGTACTGTGGTCGCTGGCCCGTTGCATCCCGCAGTTTTTTCATCCCTTCTCTTAGGGCTTCGGTCTCCCCGTGAGCAACCACTTTCTCCTCCGGTGTGACCACAACACCATAGTTATCGCGAGCAACTTCGACCGTGACCAGCCCTTTTTGGAACTCCAGTGCGATTTTTTCCGCTGGTCGAGTCAAGGGATCTTCGAGCCCCCCTCCCCAGGTAACCCATTCAAGAAGATCACCCGGATTGACACGAACGTGGTCGCACTTGGACGGGAGAATTTGTACCGGAGGGTCATTCTGCCACAGCGAATATCGATATAGAATCTTGCTTGACCGAGATCCTGGTTTCCCTCGCCGAATCCCCCACGGCTTCGTGAACCACTGATCATCGTGAAGACTAAACTCTCCCCGACAGAGGAACCGGTACAGCGTCCGTTGCGCATTCCCTCCACGATAGAATCCCGCCCCTCCGCTATCCGCAACACTCTGGTTCGCTTCGATGCGAAGCGGATAATCCAACTCAATACTCTCGGTCGGGATGGACTTGATCGCCGGAGGATGTGAGTCGTGCAGGAGATCGCGGCCGGTCGGACGGGCTTGAGAATCGTCCCATCCGGTATATGGATGTCGATGAGATCGAGGAATCCGTCGTTGATTACTGTCCCCGGGGCTGCAGCTGCGATCATGCAGTATCCGATGAACATTTTGAACATGGGTTCGGAGAGGTAGAAATTAATGCTGCGCTTGCTCGGAGGCGAGGTGCCGGACCTGTCGAACAGCAAGCGATTTCCGTTCCTGATCATGGTGCAGCTTAGGGCCCAGGGACCGGTGCCGTGGCCGTCGGCGTCGACGAAGTCGGTGAATGTTCACGGTTTGTCATCAAAGTCTATCGCGATGATGCGCGCCATTCCCGTATGGTTGCGCAGCAGAAGTTCACCGCAGGCGGCGAGGTAGACTTCGGTGCCGAACCGAGTGGCTAGCTCGCAAGTGCGCCGGGAGGCTGTGCGACAGGCCGAGATAATTGCCACCAGGTCGGAGCGATACCAGTCTGGCCGTCATGGGTTCCGACAGAGTAGAACCACAAGGTCGGTGTTCATCACCCCCTTGGTGTAGAGCTTAATGCATGGGATTTGGATGCCGTCGTCGAAGACGGACGTTGCGTTGATCGACATGCTTCCGGGGACCATGCCCCCAACGTCGGTCAAGTGACCAAATTGAGATGCCCAGCCTATGATTCTGTGTTCGTGGAAAATGGGCAACGGAGAGCTTCCCACCCATAAGAAGCGGGTGCTGTAGAACTTTCGTCATGTAAGTGTCGTACGTGATGAAAAAGTCGCCTTCTTCGATAGACCCTGTCCACGCTTCGAGGAACTGTGCAATGAAACTGCCAAATTGACCGGCAAGAATTTGTCCATCTGCTGTGGTGATCACGTTGAATTTATCCTGTTGTTTGCGAATCGCTGGCGACATGCTACAGCGGAGCATGAGGGTGTCCATTTTGCTGCGGATTGATGCGAGCGCGAAAGCAACCAGCGTTGCGATGAGTGGAGTGGATCTCACTATTTAAGAGCCCTTGCTGGTGATTGATCTTTCGGGGGTTCTTGGACTGTGTCTTCATCAGGGCGAACCAAGATGTTGCCGATCCCATCAATCTCCCTTAGCAGCCAGCAAGGATAAATGTGTTACTGTCCATCTCAGTGATGATGCAAGGGCCGTTAACGTGCATTCTGGTTTGACCTTCCTCCACCTGCCCAGACTCTCAGTCAACCTTTCTCCGTCAACATCGCTCACACTCACACCATCAACCCCCATCCTCCCTTGATACCCAATCACCCGTTCCATCAGCACATTCGGATCAGGAGGAGTATAATGCAACCAAGCACCCAATCCCCCAGTTATCTGCGACCGTCTCACAGCCAGGATATCACGATGACAAGCGGTGACGATCAACCACGTCTGGGAGCCTTTTCCTTCCAACACGGCATTGGTAGCGATCGTGATTCCATGATGAATGTACTGAAATTTCTCTGCACTGTCGGTCCAGTTCAGCTTCTGACGGATCTTTTCGATCCCGTTCTTGATCCTGATGCTCTGGTCTTCCGGTGTCGTTGGGACTTTTGCGCGCGTTAGTTGGCCCGTGGATGTAATTGCGCAAATGTCGTGAATGTGCCCCCGACGTCGGCACCTAGGCGGTAGCTTAGGTTTTGAGGTATTGCTGGGGTCTTGAAACAGACTCAGAACGATGGCGAGAGTAAAGACAGAAGGTAAAATCGAAGCAAACGAACCTGGGAAGACCCCGCTCGTTGCGCGAAAAAACAAGTCCCGATTCACGGTGTCCTTTTCCTAGCCAAGTCCATGTCCCGGTTCCTGTTCTCCTCTCTCAAGATACAATCCTTGCGAAGGGATACTGCCACAAGATCTTACTAGTGAATAGAGTCCAGACGCATGTTAGCGAGCTCCTAACGGTTCAGTCTGTGACACTGGCCGATACCTTTGCTTATGGAGTAGTTTGAGTGGATGGTGTCACAGGCGACCCACTATTTGTTGGACAGAGGAACAGGGGTGAGATGGGTATGACACTGTCCATCGCCGCTTAGCTTATAGTGCAGGCCGTTCGTATCATGTTTGAACATCAGCATTTTCTATGAACCCCAAAGAGGAAGGATGAACAGCATTTGATTGAAATCGAAAGATAAAGAACCGTAGATTTTACCTCAAAGCTAAGGCCTCAATTCCCTCAACCCGGTGCCGCCAACAACCTGTTCGGAGTTTTGCGTGTGAGGTCGGTTACTGGCGAACATACACAAGTAGTTAGGGTCAGGATAGCTGGATAGCGTGATGATTCGATTTCGAATGAAATTGCAGCTCGGCTTTTTTCAGCTATTCGGAATATCTTGCTCACAAAGCTTGTGTTACTTTTGAGGTTACACTAAATGATGCCCAACAGCAGGTATGATTCATATTTGGCCAAAAACATTGTTCGATCTTGCTATCATGGTTCATCTTGTGGTCCAGTAATACTAGGCCGTCCGAAACTAGCTCATAAACCTTCAATATTATGATATTCTTACCGCTGTAGAGCTAATATAAGATAAGCATTTGCAAAGCAGGACAAGTACCGAGACCATCGGGCCCTCATTAAACTGTGATAACACGGCCCTCGACTCTCTCCTATCATCCCTCACTCGAGCTTCCGGCTTCTTTTAGCTTTAGCTAGTACCAATTACTTTCCTGACCAGGTCGTGCTGTAATGTTGTATTATGTCTCGGCACCTAGTTCTAGCCTTTGGTCCCTTAGCCGACTGGCCTCATTCCTTTTGCCTTCCTCACATGTCTTCCCTGAGTAATTTCCGTGGCGCACCGGGCGAGTAATTATAGTTTACTCTAACGACACCAATGCACGCGACGAAGCCAACCAGGAGGTTGCAGGAAAAAGGTTATATCGGCTCGCCATTGATATGTTGAAGGAGGCTTTGTGCAATGTGTTTTCCTAAGATAATAGAATGATATAATACGGAAAGAGAGTAAACCGTAAGTGATAAAACGTGGGAATGAATGCAAGCTCGATCCCAAGCAAAGCGCAGAGAACCGTGAGACCCGCTCAGAGAGAGACGATAAAGTACTGTTGATTACTGGAACGCGTTCTTGCGCAGTACACGGAATACTCTGTAGGCTGGAGATTTTCGTTGGTCATGTTTCACTTCCAGGGGCATCTGAGAAACATTAAGATGGATTAGCGGACTGTAATTTTTGGACGCGGAATAATAATCGCGCTGGTCTATTTAGTCAACCCCTACCTTCTGATGTTGCATAATTCTGCATATAGATGCAGCCCAATTGAGGGGCCATCCTAATTGAGTAGTAATGAATGCTTTGTATCATTCGTGACTGCATAAACCTGATTTGGCATGTAGGCTGCGAGGCGGGGAGAAGCATCACGAACCCCATTGATGAATGTTTTGTACAGCTTTAAGAAGCCTCGGTAAGCAATATCCAGCGACATTCGACTTTGTACATTTTCAAAACCAGGCCCCGATGCTACAAAGATGAAGTTTCAGCCTGGGCGGGAGTTCTTGAGGTACTCATATTCGTATTGGTCGGTCGCACAGCATCGATTCGTTTCGATTTCAGTCGTGCAGCAAACGGTACAGGGAAAGCGAGAATACAACAAACAGTAAATGGAATGAAGAGAGCAGATTATTATTAAGCGGCTTGGTCCAATCTTCAAGCAGACTCGAGGTCTTGAATTTGTCCTGTGCACTTGAGAATCAAACTCAACATCTTGTCCTACAGGCTTTTGCCGATGAATATGTGTTCTACGGGGATTTTATTTTCCTGTAACCACCCTTTTTTTTCTTACCTACTCCAGAGGCGGCCACGGGAAGGATGGCCACCAGAGGGGCAAGGTTCTGCGATTCCTTTGTTGTTACCATAACAGGGACAGGGGAGCCGTCTTAGGAAGTGCTAATTCATGTGTTTGGGACTTGTTCCACAGCTGAGATCAACACGCTTCGTTGGCTAATGCCAAGCGCCATGTTACAGGGGCTGCTGTTTCCTCTTTGCTTTTTCTTTCTACCTTTTACACCGGAGTATTCGTTCTCTCTTCTCATTCATTACGGACATTCCATGGTTGGCTTTCTCACCTTTGTGGTTACTTGGTCGTAAGTTAAACTTGGCCCGTACTTGGTGTATTATAAAGGGGAAGTGAAACCGGAGGATATAACCCATATTTTCTCAGATAGGACTTCAAAGGTAATAGAAAGCCATGGATCCCTCTTCATGTCCCGTCCCTCAAAGTAGGAATAATCGACATGTACGGAGTATCTGTAATGGCCACATTTCCAGCCTGCATTCCCCTCAAGCTCTAGGCCAATCCATTCCCAAAGCGGACGGTAATCGCTGATCGAGGAATCCGGACGAGGGGCCAATGGTTGGGAAAACAACGATCCCAGCGATCGAAAGTACCACCCAAACGCAAACAAAGACCCACTGGACAGCTGATTCGACGCACCACTGCAGACTAGACTAGCTTGAGACGGTTGCTCAGAGTCAATTATGCCGACCCTAGCGATCCCATAGGCCCACCAGCAACGATCAGTGAGCGGCGAGTCACGCCATTCGCGGCCGGCGGATTTCCCCGCAAAGTTTAAGGCAACCCCGCAAAGTTAGGTCAGCCCACTGGCCAACCGCGTCACACCACCACACGTCATACGACCATGGGATACGGAATGCATGACCTCACGAGTCACCCCACTCGCCCGGCATCCGGGGAGAAGTATAAATATTGTATTTCACACGCGACCTCCTTCATGGGCTTCCCAGGACTCTGCTCCTATCTGACGTTCATACCAAACAATCGTATCTCACACTGACTCACTCGCACTTATCGACATTTTCAATATGTCTACTATCCAGAAGATGGCTTCCATTGAGGAACTCAACAAGTACAACTCCCAATGGGTGGAGTTTCACATCCGTGACCACCTCGCCAACGGCGAGATCAATGTCCGCCATACCGTCATCGAAGGGCACGCTCTCTCCTTTCTTTCTTTCTCAGTCTTCTCCCCTTTTCTTCCAGACTAACCTACCCTTTGCCAAAATCAACTAACACCCTTCAAGCGGCGAATTCCACAACGCAGACACCTCCAAACCCATGACCGAAGACGATGTCGACGAGATGACCATCCCGTCCTACGGCGTCGGTGAGATCTGCGCCCGCGGCAGAAGAGGCAGCGAAGGCCGTCTGGACCTGTTCCACGACGAGGAAAAGATCTGCGAACTCCACTGGGACAACCGCCAGGAGAATGGCTTTAATTTAGTCGAGGTGCTGGACGGAAGTAAGTCGTACAGAGTGGAGCATGGGGGATGGAGCCCAGAGGCAGGACCTCTGGGCCATGTGTACGTTGATATTTGGGAGATGAAGAAGAAGCTCGAGGAGAAGAAGAAGTTGGAGCAGAAGATCGAGGAGATCGAGAAGACCAAGGTTTGATTTTACGGCGTTTTTTGAGACTTACCAGCGTGGGTGGGGTGTTTTATCGGATTTTGTTTCGGGGTTTCGTTTATTTGCATTGTCTATCTACCTCGCATCGACATTAACGCTGGAAGTGATGTTGCTAGTAACTAGGGAAATTGTCTACCCGTGTATCAAGATGAACAATAATAACTTATTTGAAAACGAGCAAGTTCCCCCTAATCCGGTCTTTCCGGGAAGTTGAATGCTGCAGTAGAGGTTGCCTGGACACGTAAGACTGCCGGTCGCCGCGGACTTGGAGGGTACAGGGATCCTCCCAGTCAGTCTACAGGGGTACGCCACCACAGCAGCCTTCGTGATTTGAGACAGGCAAGCGGTCCAATAACCAGTCCAAATTGAGATTCCGTCGTCCAACCTTTCGGGGCCAGCTCAACATTCCATCCAGCGAAAGCAAAATTCCAGCCACCCGCAAATAGAGTCCGAACGAAAAGCATCCGCCATTTTCCTATTACCAGATATGGCTCAGAAAACCGTGGTAACCACTTCCACAAGCTATACTGTGTAGGCAGGAATCGAGATGGTGTTTTGTTTTGTGACAGCCGATCAAATGCACCCTGACTTCCTGATCCAGTGTCCCGCACCGGGCGTATTGCCGTGGAATGTACGACCCCTCCATTCGTTGCTTGTCCGTCAAGGCGACATGTCATGTCCAATCGGAAACGTTTAAAATGGACGCTATAAGGAAGGGATCATCAGCTGATGCACTTGCCACTTCATGGGTCGATCCTGTTCCAGTCCGCGTCTTTGCTAGGGAGAGGATCGAATCCCTTCAAAATGCTACTTCGTTTTTGGCTTCTATGCTCATTGTATTCGAATTCCAACGCTCATTCACAAATGTTCGGCGAGGAAACAGTAGAATGTGGCCGGAGCAGCTGAAGAGGTGAATACGAGGGACTGCAGATAGGAAAGCGGCCCCGAACCGAACCACCTTGCGTCAGACTGCATATCGCTGCGTTCTAGACTATTCAATCGGCCTATCGTCAGTACCACCTAAATCTGCCACTATTCGAAATGTTCCACTTCGGATTCCTCTCATCCGTCTAGCATGGGTGTAACCCAATCACGTGCACAAGTTTGCGTGCGGATTCCAGTTGAGGTGGTTCATACAGTAGACGACCGCAAAGGCTCTAGGGCGCATTCTGGGGATCATATGGATGCTGTTACGCGGACAACCTCTTGAACCGATACTTCTTATCACAGTGTATGCAGGTTTGTGCCAGGAAGCGAATAGTTTTTGGTCAAAGCCTGAGTATCCCTAACAACAAAGACGCAACATGCATTCTGAGGAAATGACGATAATGAAACTTGACTCCCGATGAGCTAAAAGGACAGCCAAGAAACTGGTCAATTCCAGAATCTCAGTTGTAAAGAAAGCCTTGTCTTTAGAGGAGAGGTCGCCATAACTAGGCCGCGGCCAAAAAAAGGAGGCAGTAGGTCTGAAACAATTAGAAGGAAGCTTCAGCTAGCCAGACCGGGGTACTGCTCTGATGGCGCTGACGCTCATGTCAGATAATCTGCAGAATTCAATTTTTATGAAATACTGCAAGGTCGGGATTATGAGCCAACGTTGTCTAAAATAGATAATTTACAGCAACGAGCTAGATTAATTACTACTAAATCTCAATTCAAAATTCACGGGTTGGATGGAGGGCACAGAACAAACACCATCCCTGGTTTGGACTATTGCCACTATGGCTCTCATAAGCCTTGCGGCCCCTGAATCGCCCGTAGTTGACGCTGTACAATATTATGTTGCATCTTTCATCCCACTAGTCGCAAGAAGTGCTCTCAACACAACATGACGAGGGTTCGCTTGATCTCATAGGCCATGCTTGTTCGATTCACGTTTCCAGGTGCCGGGTTCTCTCTGCAAGGGACATCACTATGAATATGGTGGAGAGTGTAATCATTTTTGGGGAAACATCTTTCTGAAAAATAGGAATATCTGCCTAGAGGCTTTGGATAGTTCTGCAACAGCATCATGATTCCGTCAGCTAAAATAACTAACCTGAGGTGTGTACATATATATCATTGCTTCCTTCCTCGGGAATACATTGTCGCATTGCATCATCACAACATTGAAACGGAAAAACGATTCCATATATTTTCCTAAGATCCGGTACAGGTAAGCAATGGCTATTTCGATCTCCTGATAACACAACTAGAGTGTTCGGACACTGCAACCCAAGTCAATTCCTTACGGTTCTGTATAGACCGCCGATCCATACATAAAGCGGATGCCGGGGCAGATCCCTCGCGCTATTCCACCATCGGAACTCACTGTCCCGAACGCCAAGAGTTCCTTATCTTTTCCAGAGTTCTTATGAATTGTCAAATCCGCAGACTGACTGGATGAAACATGAGGCATCTGGCATTTATATTAAAATCAGAAGGAAACGGCACAATCATCCAGACGAACCAAGGGCTGATTGTGGGTTTTGTTTCCCCGAAATGCAGCAAAGCCAAGATTCCCGGCATATCACGAGCCCAATCTAGCCAGATGCGGGGAAGTGAGGGGAAAAGAGATAAAGAGATATGAAAGAGAGTGACGATTGGCAAGTAGTGCTCGGTATATCTCTTTTGACTATCTATTCTAATGAGACACGTATACAAAGTCCTTGCTGACACCTACCACCTTTGCAGGAGGAGACGCGACCGAGTGTCTATTGCTCATTTTGAATTTATTTATTTTCCGCTCTCTGGATATCTGCAATACGTACATACACTGCGTCTCCAGAAAAATAGCAAACTCCTCGGTATCAGCTTTCCCACTAGCAACGTCGAGCTTCGCTCAAACACGGTAATAAGGGACAATCATGAGTACCTGCACACCTGGAGCGAACGGAAATATCCGCAAAGGGGCCGTTTCTGATGACCTAGAGCAGACCAGTGTAAAGCCTTCGCAACAAGGCATAATAGAGACCAACCATCATGGAATTGATACTAGGGGAATCCCTAGCTCGATAAACGAGCTATACGATCGGAAAGTGGCCTTGATGAATCAAGCTCTCATTGACATTGGTATGGGACCCTTCCACTGGAAGATCTTTGCAATGACTGGCTTTGGATGGTTTGTGGATAATGTAAGCTCTCATAACATGACCAGCAAGACGCTCATAACTTACCATTATATAACGGGTGGGCTTTAGTTCTGGATGCAAGCTATTACAATAATCAGTGCACCAGTCAGAAACGAATTCTCAGTCGAGCGCATCGCCTTTCTTACCGTGGCCAAATACGCAGGCTTGGTTGTCGGATCATCGGTTTGGCCTATCACAGCTGATTTCATCGGTCGACGGTTAGCATTTAATGTTACACTCTTGATATCGGCGGTAGCTGGACTCGTCGGAGCCGGAAGCCCCAACTTCGTGGCCATTTCGGTCTTCTGCGCCTTCATAGGCGTCGGAACAGGCGGCAACCAGCCCGTGGATAGTGCCATTTTCCTCGAGTACATACCGGCTACACATCAATATCTTCTCATTATGCAGTCGGCATTTTGGTCGGTTGGTCAGACTATCGCTGCCTTAGTTGCCTGGCCATTGATTGGCAACTTCTCATGTCCGTCTGACGCGGACGAATGTCTGTACGCGGATAATATGGGATGGCGATATACGTTCTGGACATTTGGTGGCCTGACTATGGTGATGTTCTTGCTTCGTTTTTGCTTTCGGATTTACGAGACCCCGAAGTACCTGCTTGGAAAAGGCCTCGACCGCGAGGCGGTTGATGTTGTCCAGAAGATAGCTGGTAGAAACGGCGGATCAACATGGCTCAATCTCACGCATTTTGAGGAGATAGATGCGGAGATCGGGACGCCAGAAAGTTCAACTGTACAACATTCAAACCATTACAACATCATGGACCGCACCCTGGAGAAGTACAAACCCGAGAAGCTACGCACTCTCTTCTCCACACCCCGTCTAGCGCTCTCAACCTTTCTGCTCATCTTCCTCTGGTGCTCGATCGGAATGGCCTATCCCCTGTACAACTCGTTCATTCCGATATTTCTTGAAAGCAAGGGTGTCTCACAGGGTGACTCCTCAATTTCAACGACCTACCGGAACTATGCCATCCAAGCCGTTTGTGGCATCCCTGCCTCGCTCCTCGGCGGGTTAACGGTTGATCTTAAGCGCATCGGCCGAAAGGGTACAGGAACACTGGCATGTCTGGGCACCGGTCTTTTCCTCTTTTTGTTCACGCGCGCCAGCTCCGAAGCCGGGGTTATCGGATTCACCTGTGCTGTTGCTTTCTTTCAAAACCTCGTCTACGGCTTGTTGTATTCGTACACGCCTGAACTGTTTCCCGCGCCGGTGCGTGGGACGGCGAATGGGCTGGTCGCGTTTTTTAATCGGCTGAGTGGGCTCATGGCGCCGATCATTGCAGCGTATATTGGGATTGAGACAGACGTGCCCGTGTGGATATCTGCAGCGCTGTTTGTTGTTGCGGGGGTGGTGTTTCTGATTCTTCCTTATGAGACACGCGGGAAGGCGGCAGCTTAGATGTGAATCTCAGTCTTCGTGAATCATGAGTGTTATGGAATAGGATTAGCATGAATCTGGTGCCTTCCTGTTCTTGAATTCAAATCCAATGCCAAAGACCACAGACTACCTATAGTCCACCGTGGGTAACACAAGCACTACCGTAAACAAGATTCGGCAGAGATCAGAACTGATGGTAGAGCTACTGATGACTGAAGTGACCAATGTGTTTAAGCGTTACATACGTTCCAGAACTGAGACTAATAGCGCAATTTGATTGAAGGTCGTCGTTCTGTCAAACATCCTTGAGCTGTTCTCCTAGAGGCGAATGGATCCATACTGTGATGAAAGGAAAAGTTACAGCAACTAGTAACAGCAACTAGCCATGGTGTAGGTGCTAAAGTAACGACTACTCTTAGCGGACTAAAAAGGAAACCCATTACACATTTGACAAACAGCAATATTGGTAAATCGAACGAGCTGTTAGAATGCATCGTAGACGAGATAATTTGTGATAGAATTGGCATATGTCGGTACTGGGAATGACATGGGCAACTGAGGTGAAACTCCACAGGTTATCTCGATTTGTCTGGCTACCATTCGTGGAAATTTGAGATATGCAAGTCTTAAAAGAACAAGAGGTGTCTTATAAGGGTGTTTCATAAAATTTTACTTGATTTATTCGGATATGTCAATTGGACATGGGCGTGACGGCCTGAGCGTTACCCCGACAACGAGAAGCCAACCCTTCCGATGCTTTAATTGCTTCCATTTACACCGACACAACATGGCAAAGAGTCACCTATTCTATCTGATGATGAGGCAGAATGGTTTGCCGATTGTTGCCACGCGACACCTCTTCTGTCCAGCCATCCCCTCCTCCATTCCGTGCGTGGGTCTCGGCAAGCGTGGCGTCGCCAATCGTCGCTCTCCCGCTGCACCCCGCCTCTTTCCTATCTCAGGGTGGGACCCGGTTGATATATCTTTCTTGGTTGAAGAAGAGTCAATTCCAACATATAGACCGGAAAGGTTCTATCCAGTTCACATCGGCGAGGTTCTCAATCGTCGTTATCAAGTAGTTGGAAAGTTGGGCTACGGATCCAGCGCGACAGTGTGGCTATGCCGTGACTTATTCTATGTCTGACAATCTTTATCTACGACCACCCAGGGTCTAACTAAACAGAGACAACGGCTATAGTACATTGGAAGTACACACAGCATCGAAATCAGTCAGTCGTGAGGTCGAAATCTACAACCATCTAAAGGGTATCCAATCTGATCATGCGGGTCTTTCCTGCCTGCGCTCCTTGATTGACAAGTTTGAGATTCAAAGCCCGGGTGGAAATAGCGTGCACACTTGCCTGGTGCATCCATCTCTCGGTATTAGCCTCTCTCAGCTTACGCCGCTGCTCTCGGATGGCGTTATGACCATAGGCATGGTGAGAACCACCATCCGGAATATCCTAGCTGCTTTGTTTCTCCACACTGAGGCCCAGATTATACACACTGGTAGGTACCAATAGTATATGATCCAAGAAAGGAGCCAATGACATATGATTCAGATCTTCAAACAAACAATATTCTCCTTGGAATAAAGGATGAATCCATTCTGTCTAAGTTTGAGCAGGCAGAACTAGAAAGCCCTGTGCCACGGAAGACCCTTGCAGACCGTACCATTTACCTCTCAAGACCGCTCCCCATGTCATTTGGCACCCCTGTTCTCTGTGATCTAGGCGAGGCTCGAATAGGCACCGACCGTCAACAGGGTGATATCATGCCAGATATTTATCGTGCCCCGGAAGTCATCTTGGACATGACATGGGACTACAAAGTCGACATTTGGAATGTTGGCATGGTGGTGAGATGGGTTTCCATTCCAGGCGAAGACAAAACTAATAATGACCAAGATATGGGACCTGTTCGAGCATCGCCATCTTTTCCGAGCGCGAAATCCAGAACGTAAATTGGATGATGCATATCATCTTGCCGAAATGCAGGCAACCCTGGGAAGCCCTCCCCGTGAGTTCCTCGCCCGGAGCGACAGGAGCAATTTATTCTGGGACAAAGAGGGTTCGTTTAGCCCCTATCATCCATGCCTGGTTCAAGCAATGGGGAGACCATATAGCGTTGATTATGCTAAACTCTTACGCCAGGCCATTGGAAACACGCAGCTCCTCTCCCGGATTATGACCTCGAAACATTGGAAGAAAGGCTTGAAGGCGATGAAAAGGACGATTTCTTGCGTTTCCTCCGACGGATGCTATGTTGACTACCTGAAGAAAGATCCACTGCAAAAGAGCTTCTCTTCGATCCCTGGTTGATGCATGGCCTTTTCAATTGAAAAGAAGTTTGCCATTGTAAGACAGAGGTGAAACAAAGGTCTACTTACACTTTTGACCTTAATAGCAATATTGAATTCTAATTCCATCACAAGCGCCGCGGACAAAATAAGACTTCGCCAGTCTCAATCATTTTCTTCAAAGAGTCATATAGTTATAGCAGTCGTTAACGTCCAACGGACCTAAAGTACTTCAAGGGGGAGACGCTGCTCTATGACTTTCCTAGGGGTACTAGAGAGCTAAGGTTACTATACTGATAGGTCAATGCATGGCCTGTATACAACTCTAGAAGACATTTTCGAGCCAAAGGTTGTATATAAAGGATATGTAGTAGATTCTGTCCCTACCTATGGCCAAGACCCAGGTGGTATAGGCTAATACAAATCCGTAACATGGTATAGCCGGTCGTGAAGTAGTAGAAAGGATGCAAGCGATGGGATGCGAACCCAAGTCTTAGGAACTTTAGCCAGCCCCCGAACTAACTAAGAACACCGAGACTTCCGGGATGACGCTGAAGGGTCATATACAGTCTTCCACGGGGACTTCAACATTACGAATAGTGTTAATGTGTTTTAATCGCAACTTATATAGGCTACTTTACAACTTTGGACTTGGCTGTTTATCTCAAAACGCCGCAAGCAATGAATAATAATAAAAAGAAGAATTATATTACTGTTACATTAGATATTCCAGCAGGAGAAGGGGGAAAATCAAGAAAGAGGGAAACATCGCGAAACACCCAAGAGGTTTGGACGTTGACCAAAAATGTTGATCTTAAATGCAACAGTGGCTTTGAATGGGGAATAAGAACTGTCGTTTGCAATCAAAGCAGCGCCAGTGCTTGTCGAAATCGTGTTGCCGACGATCCCCTGATGTAAAAAAGAACCTGCTGCAGTCGTCACAATAATTACCAGTTCCTGGGCTACAGGTCCGAGCCATATCGAAAGGAATGTCGTCAGTTTGGTCCTGTAAAGCCCGATCGGCCATTCGCCTATTACTAAATATGAGCAAGTCCAAGGGCCGGGTGGGAAGAAAGGCCTACTTCATCTCGGTTTCCAATTCATCCATTCTTTCCATCATTGCCGTCGAGAAGTCAAATGAGAACTCCAAGAACTTCTTGCGAACTTCGTGAAATTGGTCTAATCCTTTTAGTGTGGAATGGTGTCGAACGGCGAATGTCGCTATAGTATCCCGCAGCTCTGAATGTGGAGGACTTTCCGGCCCATAAACGTACTCAATCGTTTGGATAAATGGAATGTCTTCGAAGTCATCTCTGAAAATTGACTGTGACTTCTCCTTAGAGAGAATCATAAGACCGTTTATCGCGTACTTATCCGCAGCGTTGTACATTCGGATATTAGCATGAGCCTTGGCTGCACTGAATTTCAGGGTGGTAACCGAGGACGCCAGCGACGGGGTTCTAGGTTGAGATTGAATTGAGGGATCGGGCTTTACGGGACCAATTTCGGATTGTGATTGTATAGCAGGTTCGAGATCTGTATAGGGGAGTGAATGTTGGGGGTCAACGACAAAATGAGGTGAATCGTCGTAGTCGCCTCGGTAGAGGTAATCAATAATTCTGCCGATGATAGAAGGGTCATCTTGAATAACTATCTCTTTCGATATCGCTTCCTGTAATTGATCAGGATTTTACTTGATTATTAGGACGAAATTGTTACCTTGAACCCTCCACTTAGAGCCTTTTCGAAGAAGGCTGATTGTGGGCATATAATACAACTGTGTACTTTGAATGTGACCGATTCACACTTGATTGTTACATCAGAGTATGCACCATCTGCTCGGAGGCTGCATTGTGATAGTTTAGTATCCGTAGACAAGCGGATGAGCAACATTACCTTGATAGAAGTTCGAGAAGAGCGCTGGGAGCCATGTCTGGTTGAATAGCAGGTCGATGTTTCTTTAAAGGGGGAGGGGGGGAAGGTGCTTGAAGCAAGAAGATGATCCATTCATTATGTCAATGGCAGAGGGGTGTGATCACATGATTCTATGGTACAGAATTACGAGTGGTCCAAGTTTAGAGATAGACTATTGTTCCGCCCCGATGTCATTCTTCTATGATGCTCATTAACTAGGAAAGTATGTGCCTGGAAGGCAGGCCATATTTGGCACCCACGGCGGTTATTATAGTTGAGGTACAGGGGCTTCTTGGTTCGCCTTTCTGGCCTCTGCTTCTCTCCAGTGTCACTTCATAATTATTCACGTCTATTTATTAGAGTTTAGGTTATCAGGAAAGACTGCTAGGGCACTACACGCGCCTTTCTTGCGCAACAACTGCAAATTTGATCGACCTCAGGGAAATACTGCACACCGATATTAGTTCAAGGAAGCAGAACAATATCGTCAAGTCTCTCGGCAGCCCTATCTACTGCTTACGAACAACAAATCAAAAGCGACGCCGGTGCCAGGATGAACGGCGTAGGGAGCTGACTATGTCGGTGGTCCACACCGGAAGGATGATCCGAAAAATTAGCAAAATGCAAAATCACCACACGGTATGGGTCGGTCTGGCCACGCTTTAATTCTGGGTTTTGAAGACAAGCTCCACTATTTAGTTCCAAAGCAATCTTCGAATTGAGGAGTTCGGAAACTAGCAAGGATACTCTCATCTAGGAGTCCGGAAAGAAGAACATGACTATACATGCAGGAATGGCCAATCTCGTCAAGACTAAGAAGGTACTCTATCCAACTAAAAAAACCTACTATCAAACCCGAAGGAAGAGCAGAAAACACCAAGTTGATTTTACAGACTAAAGATTCGGAGTAACCAAGTTCTTTCCCAACACTATGCAGATGTTTACCGTAAAGGCTACCCTTGGTCCCATTCCCCAGACGTCTTTGCCAAGCTGGAGGCGTCAACGACGAAGTACTGAAGGAATACATTGCATAAATCATAGGTATTACAGTATAGATTCATAGCTATGACATGTTAACTCCCTGACGAATGAGGAGACAAACCAGGTAGAATGAAGATCCTATATCGTTGTTTGGCTGTTATTAGAGACATTCCACCCTACGCAGATCATTTCTCCAGTTTATTTCCCTTTGGAGCCCCCGATGCTCGAGTCATCTTGAGTCATTTGGTCTTCCCGACGACTCGGCGGAAAAAAACCCGGTATTCGTCCGCCGGTCGGCGGAGCACCCCTTTCGAGGAGAGGACTTAAAAAACAAAAAAGCCCGACTAGTTCATATCGATAAAAGAAAAAAACAAAACACAAAAAGTTCAAAGATTGCAAGTTCGCCATCATGGTGAAATCCAACACAGAGCTGTCTGATGTGGAACAGACAGAAAAAAACAACCCAAATATCGGTGGAAATGATGCAGAAAGCACGAAAACTGAACCGGAGTCGGGGACGACAGGATGGGTTTTCCTAATGACTGTTGTGGCTTTGGCTCTTAGTATGTTTTTGGTAAGAAATGCGCAAACCTTTATGTATGCACGTGTCGCTAATTTTGAATGAAGGTCTCTCTAGATATGGTAAGAAATTCCCAATTAGTCGCCCTTTGGTCGACATATCACCGCTAACTTCGATATGATTCTTGCCTAGACAATTGTCGCAACAGCCATACCCAAAATAACGGACGAGTTTGGTGGTATCGAGCTGGTCGGATGGTATGGGTCGGCATTCTTCATAACGTTGGGAAGTTTCCAGGCCTCTTGGGGAAAAATATACAAATATTTCCCGCTCAAGCCCGCGTTCCTGGTCTCCATTGTTCTTTTCGAGGTGGGAAGTTTGATGTGTGGTAGGGAACACCCTTCTTGTCCAACTTGCCAAAATCAATTATTTACTCCTTGCAGGTGTCGCAAAGAATAACACCACATTGATCGTCGGACGTGCCATCACTGGAATTGGTGGCGCCGGCATCTCGTCCGGAGCATTTACCATCATTGCCTTATCTGCCCCACCCAAGCAGCGACCGGCATATATCGGAATCCTCGGCGCTTCATACGGAATTGCTGCAGCAGTCGGACCTCTCCTAGGAGGAGCATTCACAAGCCATGTTTCCTGGCGGTGGTGCTTTTACATCAACCTTCCGATTGGCGGCGTCGCCGGGGGAATCATTCTCCTGCTGTACCGTGCTCCGCCCCCATTGCCGTTCCTGGGCGAGCCACTGGTCGAAAAGGCTCTTCAGCTGGACTTCCCCGGGACGTTCCTCCTCATCGGGGCCCTGGTCTGCTATGTGCTGGCTCTTGAATGGGGTGGAATATCGCTGGCGTGGAGCGATTCCAAGGTTATTGGGACATTGACAGGCTTTGGTGTCTTGCTAATCGCGTACGGAATTGTTCAATGGCTCGAGAAAGAACGCGCAGCAATGATCGGCCGTATACTCCGTCAGCGAAACGTGTTCGTTCCGATGATCTATATTCACCTTTTGGCTGGCACGTTCTTCCTCCTGGTGTACTACCTGCCGATCTATTTCCAGGTCGTTTCTGGAGTATCCGCGGCCGACAGTGGAATCCGCAATCTGCCACTGATTCTCGCGCAAAGCGTTGCGACTGTTTCGTCGGGTATTGTCCTCAGTCGCGTCGGATACGCACCGCCATTCCTGCTTTCCGGGGCAGTCATCACGGCGATCGGTTCTGGGCTTTTGTACACCCTCGATGTCGACTCAGGGTCTGGCAAATGGATCGGCTACCAGATCATGACTGGTCTGGGTGTGGGATGGTGTTTCCAGGTCCCTGTCGTCACCGCGCAAGCCGCCGTACAACCCGAGGATTTGCCTTCCGTTACCTCGATGGTCTTGAGTATGCCACAATCCAACCCCATATCGATAATCTCACTTGCTGACCTAATTTATCTAGCTGTTCAAACAATCGGTGGCGCTATATTTGTCTCGGCTGGCCAGTCCGCAATGTCAAATGTCCTCCTCAAAGTCCTCCCAGGTCAGAGTCTTGACATCGATCCGCTTGAAGTGGTGACAACCGGCGCGACCGAGTTACGAGACACATTCTCGTCGGACCAGATGTCGGGTATTCTCACTTCTTATATGAAGGGTATCAAGGCCGCGTTCATCATTGCTACTGTTGCTTCCAGTGTTGCTACGGTGGTCTCTGTTGGTAGTCGGTGGAAAAAGCTTTCATCGGCAAACGGGGGCGGTGCGATGGCTTAATCGTGGTATTCAAAGCTATGTATTGTGCTCCAACAGCGTTCCTGTTCGGAGTGGTTTCAAAAAGTAATATAGAGGGTATTTAAATAGAGATATGTCACTGTGATAGCAACTCCAGCTATGATTAAATATCATCGCGTAGCTTACTGGCTAGAATCCCCAGTCTAAATCCCCACCAAAATCAGCAGAGAAGTAAGACTGCGTGACCAAGTTGGGATCCAAGGACCATAATCCAGAGGTTTGCTCTTCTGAGCTGATCCCTCCCGGATACAGAAAGTTCGCGTCTTCTATGCGGAGAGAACCGGGGGCTGGAGAGATCCCTGGTTGTGGATATGCGGAGTGGGTCCCTAACGCACTGTGTGGAGCTGGTTCTGGCGCTTTTTGTTTGATATTGCGATCCAGGAATATTGTCCCGAAGTAGGGAATAGAGAGTTTGATGCGAGTAGATTCGTCCTCTGTCGTTTCATTAGAGCCCTTTTCGCCGGATAATAAGTCCCTAAGAGTCCGCAGTACACCCAGGCTTCGAGATGCAACATCGTCCGGCTGGGATGTTGCCAGCCGTTGCAGAATTTTCATAACCTTGTCAGTAGCCTCCCAATCCTCGGTGGAAGAGCAGTGGGTGGAAGGTTGCGACCGACTTTCAGGTTTCAGCACGTTTATGAGAAGAGTCACAGCTGCAGTGAAGGCTTGAAAGTCCAGGGACTTGCAGCAGAAGCTTTCTCCCGTCAAGTTTCGAATCGCGATATAGATAGTGATCATGTGCCTAGAAGCGTCCAGGCAGCTTTGTCGATTGTATTCATACCGCTGCTGTGAAGTTGAATCTAGCATGAGTGGCAAATGTAGCCAAGCGACCAACTGGAAGTGCCATAATTGTGCCATGAGCTTTGCGTAATGTTGAGCAACCACTGGTGTCTTAGCGACAGCGCCAATCGCAACTGCGACGGTAGTGATTTCTCCTGGATTCATTTCCGCTAGATCCGCGTCAATCAGTTGAGTCTTCCGAATCATAGCGGGAGAATGTTTGCTAAATATCTGATTTCGCTCAACAATTAACCCGGCTGCTAAAAAAAGCTTTTCCATATGATCTGAAGTAGGGTGTGGTTCGAGAGCGGCATCGAAAGTTCCGTGGCACATCCCCAGCATGAGTGAAAGGTAGCGGTCGGCAAAAAGGATATGCCTCCATATCTTCTTCGAACGACTTAAATGCTCACTGCCCTCCTGTCCCACTGGTCGGTGGAGCCCGAGAAGCTGAGCGACATTCAGGGCATTTCGATAACATAGCCATGCTCGCCGTAGTTTTCCATCATTGTTGTGAAAGATTCCCTGCAGGACCAAGCATTCTAACCCATCTAAACTTCGTACTAGGGAGTCGTGTGAGCAGACCAATGTTGTGATCATGCTGACACATTTCTCTATGAACTCGTTTGGTGGACTTGCAAGATCTAGACGGGTGACATCGAAGCTAGGTGGTAACTGCTGGAGGCAAATCGCAATCCATAAAAGGGCCTTCGCAATGGCTACAGGGTGCTTGTGTGTGAGAGAGGCCACCGGCTCAGGCAGCAAGCAAGCATTGTCATCTCCAAAGCATTGCATTCGAATCAACCACCAACAGGTGTTCTCACTCCCTAGTGCATCAACAGTTAGTTGAGATGGCAACAACTCCAGCAAGCCCATCCTCAGCTTCTGCAGTTCTGGTTCCCCGTTGGCCGTGGAGGTTTTGGGCTCAGGTTCCGGCCTATGTAAGCCCAGCTATAATGAAAATCAGCCCGGAAATACAAGGGAGGAAGCTAGAGCCTACCAACCAAACTATTGTTAAACAGCGACAGGACAGGGGCGCTTTCCTGAGCACTAGGGGTTATAGCAGGTGGGCTTGAACTTCTAGTGCTTTGGGCAACCCAGGAAGGCGAGGATTGTCGTTCAGTCGTGATGGGTGTGTCTAGTCGTTGTACGACCCGCTCCAGGAGTGATTCGACACGAGCAAGTCTATCATTCACTGACGAGCGATCTGATTCACGATGGTTCTCAGGCTCAGGCAAGTCCTGACTGTGGCATGTTAATCCACGCGAGAGACATTCTCTGCAGGTTGACCGGTTACTGTCTGAAAACAGGCACCGAACCTTTCTGTGTTTGCCTGTCGGTGTCCGATAATCAGCATTATGCAACTGTTCAGGTAAGATATATTCTCACATTCCCAGCAGCTTCGAGTCCCTTTCCGGATCTTCTTCCGCGGGGGTTCCTCTGAAGATTCTGCTGGATTAGGTGACATTCTAGTTTGAGTAGTGGGTCGAAAACCAATCCTGCATGGATGTGATCTGACACGTAGACGTGGACATACGGGGTAAATCAAGATGCAGGCTGAAGACTGGGCGTCGCTCGTAGCCGTGGCCTCATCGCTGACCGCCTTTGCGCCAGGATGCGCCAAGTCACTAGTCGGATGCCCATCACATGACAGGGGCCATTATCTCACGTACCACTATTTACCCAAATTAGATCCTTCAAAAACTTCATTTTGTGGAGCGGTGGTTGGCTGGCCCTAGTCTAGTCTTTTTGGAGCTTAGTGCACGTGTGACCCATAGTGGCCATCAGCTAGCCAGCGGTCATCGCCTGCTTCATAAGAATTTGAGCATCCTACACCTACAGTCCGTCACGTTTCTGATTCGGTGCGCAATCCCACAGGATCTTGATATTAAATGGCGTGTCTATTAAGATCCAAACGTAGCATGCACAGTTAATCATGACCATATCAATGCGGTTGAACCGTTGTTTGGCCTGTTGAATAGATGGGCCCTTGATTCTACGACGGACATTTCAATCAGCTGGAGGCCTAGCAAATGGCACGATAATTGGAAAACCCCGATTCCTCATCTTGAGCAACGAAGGTAAACGTCAGGAGATATTAATAGTAAAGAGGCTAAGATAGGGACTGTTCCGACACCGATGGTGAATAACAGTGCGCTCGATGGCTAGGAGCAGAACCGATGGAGAATAGAAGGTACTGCATATAGATCATATTAGCAATCAGTAATAGGGGTTACATTTAGATCCACTATGAGAATTTGGAACCCCATAGGAGGACATGACCACATAATACTCGTTAGACATTCAGCTATTACAACATCAACCTCCATCAAGAGTATAAATGCAAATTTTCATTTTGTCTGACAATCTGGTGTTTCAACTGGAAGCAATACAATCGCACGGAAGCTCAAATCCCAAACGCCGTCAAATTAACCGTGGTAAAATGGCAAGGCCGCAATCAATAATCCCTCAGCTGGCAAGTAACAAGTCCCTCCAGAGACCTCCAGTCTTTCCAGTTGTTACCGTCCCAAGCTCTATGCTGAACGCTGTTGTTATGAGTGGACACACCGAAGAGGTCAATCTGGCCCTCGCGAGCCCTGCAAGACACTCCAGTAATTGCACTGAAGAATGTCACATCCCCTTGAGTCTTCCAGTCACTCCACTTACCGTTCTCAAAGGACCTGAAGACGCATCTTCTGTCCCGGTTGATGGCGACCACGTCCAAGCGGTTAGGAGCGCAGCTGATGACCTCGATGTGGCTGTACACCTGGCCACCAAGGGATTGCCATCCAGTCCACTTGTTTCCATCGTATCCCTGGTGATAGAATCCATTGTCATGGCCTCGAGCAAAGAGATCGATGCGGTCCCGACCCCAGCTGACAGCCCGAATAGGGCTCACCAGAGGCCCACCAAGGTTCTCCCAGTCACTCCAGTTGGATCCATCGTATCGCTTTCGGCGGCAAGAATTGTCATCCGCCCATAACGCGAACACATCCAGACGATCCTTGCCCCAGCTCACGGCCTCAACGCCACCGTTCAGGGATCCACCGATGGACTTCCATCCACTCCAACGGTTACCGTCATAGTATTGATGGTGGCAAGTGTTATCGTGACCACGGGCAAGAATATCAAGACGGTTTTCACCCCAGCTGATGGCCTTGACCGAGCTGGTGAAATTACCACCCAGATTCTCCCACTTGTCCCATTTGTCATTCTCCAGGACACGGTGATAGCAGGTATTGCTGGTGTCCAGGCAGAATATATCGAGGCGGTCCTTACCCCAGCTGACGGCAGAGATGATGCTGCTAAATCCCTTGCCGATGCTCTTCCAGTCGGACCAGTCCTCGCTGTTGCGGTACTTGTGGTAACAATTGTTGTCCTGGCCGAGGATGAAGAGATCAAGACGCTCCTCTCCCCTTGCAAGTGCTGAGATTTGGTGGGCCATTGTTTCTTTTTTTTTCCGATTGTTTTCTGACTTATTTTTCTCGGGTTTCGAAGTTCTAGTAAGCCTCTCATATAGTCAGCACATCTTGAAATAGCAATTCTTAACGGCATAGAGATGTTCGACTCTAAAGCATAGGGGGACTGATAGAAGAAATATGTTGTTGGTGGTTGGGGGACGAACCTTGGAGATGCGTGTATACGATTCTTATTCTTTCTTGTCAAATATCATGAGTAGTTTCAGGAGAGAAAAGTTCAAGTCCTGCCCGGACATCGTCTGGTCTTTTATGTTCCATTTTGTCCCCCAGGACATGACATCACGGTGATTATGAGAGGTACGTTTTACTTTCTATACCCCGCTAAACTATTGCATCGTATCGGATCTTGTTTGAGAGGTTGATAGAATATTGGATTTGGGGATTTGGTTCCATCTTCCCCATCCGGATTGAGCTGCTCTTAGATCGGGTAGGCAAATAATGAACTACAATCGAACGGTAGTGCATGTCAACGCTGCAATAGTAACTCCTGTCTTCAATTCAATTAATTCGATTGATTCTGCTGTTATATTTTATTTCTCATCTTCCAAGCTAAAAGGCGTTGTTGTTCAACACGGTTTAGAGTTCATAGGGTAGCATTCAACAATGCGGCGAACATCTCCGATAGGTCCCGTCTAAGTAAATCGTACGAGCGTCTCTGGAGTGCGAGTAGCGTCTCCACTTAGGTGGAGGTACTGTTTTGGCCGCTGACCTGCCTACTGTGCAGTACCTTTACTTATTATTGATCGTTAGTGCATTATATAGTTTCCCCCGCATTTTATTCGGTACGACGACATGAGATAGATAATGTTGTTTGAAGTCCCGTATAGATCAAACTCTACGTGTTGCGGCCAAGACTTCAGATAATAACAGTTTCTTGAGGTTACTAATGAGCACAAAGAACTTTGAATGTACGATACGGTTCAACACTATCTTCTGTCGGAATTTCATTTCACATGGGATCCATTTAACAATGGCACCGAAACCCCGGACTGGAATGCCAATTGGCAGGTAGGGGAATCTAGAGCTCATACTTGTCATCCGGAGTTCTGCTCCGTATTCATTGCTGTCAATTACCAGTATAGATCAACGGCTGGAACGCAAGGAACTGGAAACAGTCGACTGGAGAGAACCTTATTCTTCGTGTTCACCACTGTGACCACTCGGAAGACGGATAAATGTCGAACATAGAGGTTCAAAAGTGGAGCAATTCTTTGCGCAGAATTCCTTATCCTCTAGGACTACGCGTCTTACGAGTGAATGATGCTTGCCTGGAAGCACCGGACTTGGGTAACTCGATTAGCCTAGACCCAGCTCTGAAACTCTCAGTGAGGTCGGTTACAACCGTTGAGTGGTTGGATCGAGGCGGGGTCTGGCTTTTTCAAGGGGCCTCGAATTCCGTAGACTTGTCAGCAAGATACGATCATTTCACGGGCAACTGGGTTAAGGTTTCTCAGGTCCTGTCTCCTGGGGTTTGATGATGTTTCATCAAGTCAATGAGACTCAAAAAGAAGCAACAAATGAGGTAGAATGAGAAGATTGTTCGGCTGGAACAGTCAGATTTCTAGCTGCTTACCTCTCTGCGTAGTGTTCCGGTTGCACAACCCGAGGTTGTTTTCTTCTTTCCCTCCTTAGCGTCACCTAGGCTCCCCGTGGTCATAAGATAATGTTATTAGCCATTGGCTCTATAGCCTGGTGAGTTCCATATGTGAAGTTCGGATCTGTTTGTCTTCATGTATAAATGATGAAAGTCAGAAAGAGCCAAAGTAAACCTACTCCATACAGGACTGGAGAAATTTGCGGAACGGTTGAAAGCTTGGAAACCCACCGAGGTGTGGCAGAAAGTACCTTTGAGTCTAGTCACAGATTCGCAAGTGAGCATGTCCTGAGATCTCTTAAAGTAGATACTTTATACTATAGCAACCTAGAGAAATCCAGCGGGCAGTGATGGGATAGATTATATTTTATTTTAATTGGGCAAAGATCACTGTTGAGTTAGATGAACCATAATGTAGGAGTAGAATTTACTTTGTATAACCTGGAGCCTTGCCGGGGTTTAGAGATTGGAAAAATTGAAAAACGCTTACTCGATTAGGAATTAGAAGAGGCAAAAAGTAGCGGAGTTAAGGTCAATTAGGCCAATGTCCGTTCTTTAGTTCACAGCTACAAAATGGCACCAAGCTTGTTCAGGGTTAGTGCTGAGCCGGACGGCCTAAACTAAGCCGATTTAGGTCACTAGCCCTGTCTTCATAAGGGGTTGGTGAATAGTGTGAGGGCCCGAGACCCTGAGAGTGTGAAAATTGGCCCCTAAAATATAACCGAGACATCAGAATAGGTTTAGGGACGTCGTATCAGGCTAGTCCGACAAAACTAGGCGTGAGTCACTTTGAGGCGACTGCAGCATGGTGGGTTTTCAAGCACATTTAACAATCGGTGGCGCCCGATTGTTAATCTGGGGCAGCATTGATTTGAAACAAAAACAAAACACCTGTGCCTCAAGATCGACATGAAGGGTGGATCAACGCTGCTCTTTGCTCTTTTGGGCCCGTCCCTGGCAAGAGCCTCTTTGACGCCGGAGAAGAAGGATGTCCCAGCTACCCTTGAGGTACCATTTGGGTATGGACCTATCTTCGGCTCAAAGTGGGTTGGCCGCACTGGCATGGACAAGAGGAAGAATGTGCTTGACGTTGACGCGGCGATCGAGGTATGGGAACCACTTGGAAGATTTGCTAATGACAGTGATCTAATATGAACAGAACATGGTTTTCTTCCACACAAACATCACCGTCGGCACCTCTCCCCAGGAAATGGAGGTCTATTTCAATATAATGGGCAATGAGTGCTGGATGCATGCGGCCAATTCGACCAGCTGTCAGTGGTATAAGGACAAGGAGGATTGTGACGGATATGGCGGATATAATACCAGTACCTCGAAGACTGCCGAGTTCATTAGCTCCGATTTCGCCGTTAACGATAGAGGCCCCAACGTCACCGGCGATTTTTTCAAGGATGCTCTAGCTATCGGGAATGCCAGGGTAGACTCCATGAAGTTGGGTGTGGCATACGACGGTATAACCAGTAGTACGTTCGATTGTCTACCATATGGCTGATATACCTCATGCTAATAAAGATGGTCAGACACGCTTGGTCTTGGGTATGGAGAGGAAGGCTCTTCGTCGGCATCGCTCCCCCAAGCGTTGACAGATGCAGGAATTATCAACTCGCCTGCGTTCAGCATGTGGACAGACTATGGATACCGTCCCGGTGGCAAGATTCTTTTCGGTGGCGTGAACAAAGCAAAATATGTCGGCACCTTGCATACTCTCCCGATCGTGCCAGGACCCTCTGGACAGCGCAAGGCGTTTCGCGTCAACATGACTGGCTTGCTAATCAACGAAACATCCATCTCTCCGGAATCCTTTGCATTGGACGCGGTACTCGACAACCAGGTATCCCTCACGCATGTTCCTGAATCAGTTATGTCAGAGCTAGCCAAGCAACTAAACGTGAAGAATGTCCCGGAATCCGGGCAAATCATCCTTCCCTGCTCGTTGGAGTCCTCCAAAACCAACGTAACCCTTGCATTCGGCGCTGCGAAGTTTGAGTTCCCTATTGCTATGCTAATGACGCAGATCAGTGTTGAGCACTCTTACACAAGATATGGTGATGCCTGTTATTCAGGGATTGTGGCCAACAAAGATTACAAGAAGAAAGGAAGCATTGTACTGGGGACTAATTTTATTAGATCTGTGTATTCGGTCTTTGATCTTGCCAACGATGAGGTTTCCTTGGCGAATCTAAGATGGGAATCGTACTCGGATAACATTGTTGAGATTAAATCCGGGGAAAATGCGGTCCCGGGTGCTACTGCCACCAGTACCGATACAGACCAAGATAAAGGTCAGAAGGACGAGGAGTCTCTTGGCTCTACTTCCAGGGATGGGAGACTTTCTTTGGGATTGACTCTTGCCCTTTTGTGTTATATCCTCATATAACACAAACAGCCCGACATTTTTTGACAACAATGTGTGTGAGGAAGGAATATCATGTCCACATAGAAAATAGTACCTTTAATATTCAGCATAAATATAATGTGTATAGTACACCAATAACAAACAAAACACAAGTACCGACCCACCTAGATGACAACATGAACTAGCATTGACACCATATAGAAAAGCTACATCAGGTATCCTATGCGCCTGATCAGGTGGAAGGGATTAAAGCCAAAAAGAACAAAAGGAAAGAAAAGGACAAACAAGAAATTATGAGAAAGGAAAGCCCATTTAATCAGCTGCCACACGCCCGCAGTGCCACCCTTTCTGTAAAAGACACACACGGGTCCCGGTACTGCTGTAATTTTCCAATTCTCGTCATCCTATACTTTGGCGGCTACGAGGTCAATCTTTCCCAGAAGCTCCTTCCATCAACTGTCGTGGCAGATTGCCGCGGCGATTCTCAGAAGAAAGGCTATTTCATTCAGGCGTAGAGCTGTATCCTGCATAGCGGCCTTCCTATTCTCCATAGGGCGTTTGTAATCTGCGATCGCGTCAGTATGGACCGATTTTTGCAGCATCTTGCTCTCTCACCACGTCGTTCCCCATTATGAGGGGTCAAGGGATTTGAATTGACAGTATCGGCATCCACCTCATTGGGCCTCTTTTTACTCGCGTGTTTGGTCTTATCGATAAGATGTTCAAAACGCTTAGCTTGATCCAAGAGCGCAGGACCAATGTAGTAGATGATGTTGTGGAGGGTAGGATGGCAATCGTTGATTGTTATGGGCTGATATGTGTATTAGCTCAACTAGAAACAGATTCAATAGCCAGGCATTCAATCACATACCATACGGTCCTGAAAATTGCTTATTAGGTTGAAGGTTTGTTGTATGGGCGAGTTTACCATATTGTGTGCTGTCATGTTCCCGAAATTTTCGTTCTTTGCGCATTGGCAGTTATCGTTCATGACACCCATTTTGAAGGAATTGGCACATCCACCCAGGGTGTCATCGTAGTACGTCTCGGCATGGTCATATGGTGTTGTTGATTCTAAGTCAGATTCTTCGGATACCTTACTCGATTCCGGAGAGCTTTCCTGACTTTCGATTTTGACCATAACATTTGAAGTATCCGCCTTTGTAGCACCGGTGTCTTTCTTTATCATATTCGCATGCTGTTTGCAGTAAACTGACAGCTCCGAGGAAAGTCGACGGCATCGAGTACCTCTCTTGACTTTAGCCTCGCAGCGCAGCTTGGATCCCATGATTGATTCCCAGAAAATACCTTCAGTACAGTGCGCATTGCCTCTCTAGGGTAATGTAAAATACATATCTACAATTTCGCGCTTCTGCCCGAATATATACATACGTTTGTTCTAAAGCCGTCTCAAGCAAACCCGGCGTATCGCGTCTTTGCCGCCAAAATTAAAACACAGTAAACTAATGCTTTACAAACGACCACAATCAACAATCGTGCAGGTATAACGGACTGAATTAATTATGTGTCTATGGTTCGGTGGGCTAAAGTTCGCTGCAAGGCTGTGACATACGTTTCAGTCAAGACTACCTTGGATCGAGAGAACCTTTACGTGGACACTACTGGTCTGCTTTTAACCACCCTACTTTATCAGACAACTAACACGATAAGATGTTTCATGTTCCCTCCACGTGAACCTCCCTAAAAGCGGTTGCCAACGGTATATCTGGTGGGATGCATGCAGGCCCAAGACTCTGGAGGAGCTCTGTGGCTAGTCTAGTGTGCAAACTGCCTCATCAGACGCCAATTGTGGCCAGGAGAACCGGTCGGCAGATTTAGGACACCAGCGCCGCCTGAACTGGCGCCGATAGCGGATCTGCAATGCTCATGTAGACCCGATATTGCTAATTTTCTGCTTCACCGACATATGAGGGGTATGCATCCTTGTGTGCGCTGGTGGGTGATGAAGCCCAATCCAGTGCCAGCTAATGATCGGTCTACTTGTCATCGAGCAACGGGTTTCATGTGTCTATCATTGCGCAGAGACGAGCCGCGCTTTCCAACAGATTAAAACAACTAATATACAGCCAGGAATGTATCTAAGCCCCTTTCTCGCTTTCCTGGTAGGAAATCGGGCGGCTGCTGTCAGATTTCCCCCTGTCGTTAGGTAGTAGTCAGCTGGCCCTGTCACGGGAATAGATTCAGGCTCAGGGTATGATTGATACCCTACCCCGTAGGGTTCTATCTTCCACCCAGAGATTAAGTCGAGATCTGGTAGTTAGCTTGTAGTCAACATGGAAAAAACGAAGGAGTTTGCCCCGCGAAAAGAGTGATGGAGGGGAGAAACATGCACATGACGTCAGACGGGAGCGGCCAAGCTCAGCTATTCCAGACTAGGCTTGTTACGAGCCAAGATAAGCCATCATTGGGGAGCTACATATACGGTGTTTGTCACACTGATATTAATTAATCCATGCATGTCTATCAAGCGAATTCATGGCTCCCAACCAGCATTCCCCTCATTGAGAACCCCAGCGAGGAGCCTTTACAGTCCATTCGGTTCAAATTGCTTGAAACTGATATGGTCTTCCATTACAACGTGCCACTTCGGACATTTCTTCTGCTGCCAACTCAAACTGCGACCGTCTCTATTGTGAAGGCTGTTGCCTTTGACGTTCAGCCTTGCGAGGTTCACGGGTTCTCTTAAGCCTACATAGGTAAGGTACATCTGCGGCAGCCTTGCCGAATGTTTGACCATTAGATCAGCATGGCTAATGTGCCTTGTAATTCTGAATTTTCGACTCTCAAGCCTAAGTGCGAGGAGTAAGAAATGGGACAAGGGGAAGACGGGGAAGAAGACAGCAGAATAAAAATAATAAGAATAATAAAAATAAAAATCAGACGCAAGATAGCGAATCAGAGACAGCCAGAAGGCGTACAGATGCAATTCCATTTAGTTCATATTGTGTCCTACTGAACATAGCAACAGCATAATATGCCTGATAACGAAAGACAAAAATGACATGTAAAAATAATCAGAACTAGACAACTTTGAAGGACGTTGCATCTCCAACCCCTTCCAACACCGCCATCCTGTTACCTAGTTAACAATATAGACTGATGTCAGGCACAAATTGAATTGCTCACATTTATCCAATAGTGATCTTTCCACGAGAGCCAGCGGTTGCCTTGCCCGAAGTTGCGATTTCGGTTCTAGAGGAGCTGTGCCTACCGCGGAGCTGGGCATCTCCTCCTTTGGTGGAAATGTCACCGGCTTGAACATTTTGGTACTGACCCGAAGTGGCGATGGCAATCTCATTTCCATCTCCTCCGTTTGCACTTCCTGATCCGGCTTGTTGTTGATAGGATGCCGGTCCCAGCCGGACGGCTTGATAACCTATGGCTCGTCCTCCATCGCCAGTGACGTTACCAACCTTGAGCGAGCTGTTTGCAGGCTTTTTCTTGTTCCAGCTGTATCCGCGATTGGGTGGGGATTCAATAAGAAGTGTCAGGAGACTATAAAAATTAACTCTGAGTTGGTTTGAGAAAAAGGGGTTAGTCTAGGGTTCCTGGGGAATGGCTGATATTTATCTCGGGATAGTCACATGAGGGAAAGCCCTATCTTCACCTAAAAAGGCAATTTGAAAAGTCCGAGTTAAGGAAGTTGGGTATGAATCATGCTGGTCATTCCTGTGATAGAGTTACCTTGCTGTGGTTGCTTTGTTGCAGATCCGTTCCCATGAGTTGCTGCTCTCTTAGACTGAACTGGATGGTTTTCTCATCTCGTTATCCATCAGGTTGCTCTTTGTGGTTGCTGCCTCGTCCAGATGGAATATGTCATGTCCTGTACACGTGGACCTATTCAACCTTCCTAAGTGCCCTTGAATGCGACCTAAACTCCGAGGAAGCCGAACTCAGCTATCGAGATACCTGAAACAAGGCTTATACTATCTCTTTGCGAATACATGAAGTTAGGGCTCACTCCGCGTTGCCAGCTCACTTTCCGAACAACCCGCCCAACTTCCTGTAAGTGAATATTTATTGGCTCATGAATTCGGGGCTCCTGAGATTGGAGATGAACATCAAGATAACCACATGTCGATCCAGAGGTTGTTGATACCAAACATTATGTGGAGTTGTGATTCAGACCACACCCTCAATTGGAAATCCACTGTGGGATTGGATTTCAGGAATGGCCACGCGGACCGGCAGCCTACCCGATGATTGTTTCGGGATGAATTCGGACATTGTCACATACTTCGTCAACGGGCATCGCAAGCCGCTATATATCAGATCAGTATACGCTATAAAGCGCCTCATTAACCCGACCAAAGCGACTCGTACACAAACATTGACTGGCACACTCAATTAGACTCTTCATCCTTTTATCTGTTCTGACACGCGTTGAACCTCTACCAAAATGGATTACAATCACTATGAAAACAACGCGGGATGGGGGTCCCCACAGCCGAATCAGAGATATCCTGGATATCCCCCAAATTTCTTTCCTGCACCCAGCTCGCATCATGAGCCACCATACGACCCGTACTACCCGCACCACTTTCATGCATACGGCGCAGGATATTGGCACCAGAGCCCATCGCAATTTCCAAACATGCCTCCACAGTTTCACCAGCCCAGAGGCTATGAGCCTCTCAACCCCACTGGCAACGAGGGCAGGATTGCCGTCACCAACAGCAACTGTGGCAGAGCCGCCACGAGCAACTTTGGTAACACGACGATGACCAACTGCCACAATAACAACCAAGGCAATCATCATGCCGATAATCGCGGACGCATTGAAACCCGCAACAGCCATGAGAATCGAACCACACGTGTTGGCGATGTTTCGAGTAATGGTGGCAATGCGAATGCAAACACCTCCCGCAATGGCTTCATGACGAACGCAAATGTCAGGGGTGGCACCAATCACAATTCTGGCTATCAGCATGGTGGTGCCGGGGGTTCTGTCAACATTGGACGTGGCGATTAGTTATTGTCCGTGTCGTTGCATGTATGGGTTTTGATCTCTTCTTTTTGTTTCAAAATACAAGATACGCATGTACTGACGTTCGAGTAGCCCCCTAGTCTCTATTGGATATCGACTTTTGTTCACCAATCGTTGGCAGCATCTGGACCTGTGTTCCCTGTTCTTTCAAAGTTTTCTTGTATCGTTTTGGGCTTTCTTTAGTTTTTTTTTTCAGTGTTCTTCGTTCTTTTCTTTTCCTTTCTTTTTTTTTTTTTTTTTTTTTTTTTTACTTCTTCAGTCAATCGACATTGTTTCGTGATGTCCTCAATGGGCTGCTGTAAGGTCCACCCTTCAACCTCGCAAATGAACCTCCATCCGTGCCCGAAAATATATAAACTGGAATTTGGAACGTATTTGCTACAATATGCATCTGCCAATCACGGAACAGTATTGACCGAATTGGAAACGCACAGGGCATTTCATCCATTGAGGCTAAGTTGAGCAACATAAGAGCAATTAGATGCATAGTTAGTGGATATAAGGGTGAATGCAGGTGCCAGGAGAAGCCGTGGAGAGATAGAGATGACTAAGCATATGCCAAGAAATTCCCGCGTTTCCGCCCGGCTCTGCCTCTTTTTCCTCCCAGACTTAAGTCAAATCTATAAGGAATCTCGACAATATGAGTACGTCACGCTACAATGCCTCTCTCTCATCGTCTGATAGTAAGCGCCTGCGAGACCGCTTGGCTCAAAAAGCCCAGAGAGAGAAACGAGAGGCTCGTATGAGATCACTGGAAGATCGGGTGGCATTTTGCGACCAGAATCATGGACCCGCATGGATGCACCAACACACTATCACGCTGAACAGAATTCTTGAGGAGAATAAAAGACTACGAGAGCAGCAAGTCGTCCTTCGGCATCTGCTGGGACAACTTGATGATGTACTGTCTGAAAAGCCGCCCTTGCTCCAGACACCACCTACAGTTGTTCCGAGTCCCTGGCATTCAAGCTTGAATCCTGACCTTGCTCAGTCCGTGGAGATGGAAGCAGCACCCAAACTGGCTCTGGAACCCGGCATTGCAATCCCCGAGCAATCTCCTCATTCACTATCCAGTCAGCAGGGAAGCGGGGACTCATGTCTCGAAGTTGACAATGCGTCATTCAGTCTAGCAGTTAAAACGTCAAACACACCTGCTGATGTCGGGATGGTCCTAAGGCTACTCCCTGGCGTACATTCATTCTCACAATCAACTGCACCGGTTACTATCCCGACTTGGTCTCTTACCCCGATCAACGAGTACGGAATGAACCCCTCTTTCATGCCGGCTACATGTCCATGGTTCGCTCGCCCAGATCTGGTGGCTGCATGTCCCCCCGTCCCGGCCCCTCTGGACCTCCTCTACGGCACTCGACGGAACTACCTAGCCAACGAAGTCAGCCATGGCATACGCCGCCAGTCCATCCGAGACCCGGAATGTCTCGCAAGTGGATGGTTGACGTACGTGTATAGCAAATGGCGGGTTTCTCCGAACCCCGTTACATTTGAACGATTACCACAATTTCTGCATCCCTTGATGGCGCAGCTGCAGAGAGGACACCCGAACTTAATAGATCTGATTATATGGCCGCAGTTACGCTTAAACATGATTGAGCATTGGACGAGATACGATTACTGCGAGCTTATTGATTACTTATGTTGTTGCACCAAGATCCGATGGCCGTGGGGGAAGGATATTTTGGAACGGGATCAAGCAGATAACCTTAGAATCCGGCAAGACTTCTTTGATGTCTTTACCAGATCGGATGGGTGGGGGCTGACGACAGAGTTTATCGAGAAATATCCGGAGTTGGTGGAGGGGATGGATATCGAAGCTATTCGATTTTCTTATGAACCGACGGTGCAACCCCCGGGATGAAACAGGTGCACAAGGACAAACCCCATTCCCCGCTCGTCATGACTAAATGAAACGTCCATCAAAACAGCCCTCGGCTTTGTAACATTACAAGGTCGTCTTTATTGCCGAATGCACAGTTCAGTTACAGCCCATTTAAGTACTTAGTGAGTACTGTGTGGTAAAAGTGGGTCATTGTAGAGATTAAGATTGGAGCTCGACACATCCGCCTAGAGAATGCGACAAGTGGAACTGTAGCATAACTCTCGTCTTGGGGAAATTTTCTGTCTTCTGCTGTTGTTACTATCGCCTGTAACAATTTGGCCTCGCCTAATGCCGCGGAGCCTTTCCTGCAGATCGGCATCGTGCATATGAATCCCCACTGTTGAATCAGTGATCCACTATTACCAACCAATGGAACCGGTCAAGTAGGCATTTTGCCGCCTCTCTTGGAATATATCGATTTCCATTGGATCGAAGATCTGAAGAGTGGATCAATGTTGATTCAGTACTAGCAATGTAGACCCAGCATGTTGATGTCTCTAGAAAATTGTTCTCATGAAACTCGTTGGCCTTCCTTTCTTGTGAAGACCGATTAATATGATTAAGAAGTGATCTTCGGTTACTCTATCTATATAAGTTCTGTGCATTCGCAACTCCTAGCTTATCATGAGGTCAAACTTCTTGGAGTACATGTCTCAATATGATGCTCCCAGTATTCACGACGTGTTACTCCTCTGATCCAATTGTGGTGACAGGTGTACTTGCATTCACCGTTCTTGCGTTCCTGTTATACCTGAGCTCAAGTCAGAACCTCTTCTTGGTCAACGGAAAGGAGGGTTTTGAGATCGGCCTTGCGCCTGCGAAGAGACGTTACCTCTACAATGCGAGATCACTAATTGCCCAAGGTTTGAAGAAGGTATGGCTGGCTATAATATTTCTTCTGGTGACCTCAAGCTAACAAGGGTACTTCTCCTCCCTAGTCGCCCATATTCAACATAGTCACCGACAATGGCCGCAAAACTGTCCTAGCCCCCAGTTATGCAAACGAAATTCGAAACCATCCGGACCTGAGTTTTGGACATGAAACAGGGCGGGATTTCCACTCACACATTTATGGGTTTGAGCCGTTTCGGCAGGGAACGATGCCGGACCAGATAGTTCAAGATGCGGTGCGTATGAAATTGACACAGAGTTTGGGTAAGCGTTCTAAACCAAGCAAGGATTTTCAGCATGAATGGTTGGCACTGACTATGTAAAAGGCAGTGTGACTAAACCATTGTCGGATGAGACTACCGTTGCATTGAGGTCCTACTGGACTGATGAGCCTGGTGAGTTTTGCGGTCAATGTCAGCGGTTGTATTACTAACCGGGCCTAGATTGGCATTCTATTCACACAAAAGACACTGTCCTGAAGCTTGTCGCCCAGCTCTCATCGAAGGTGTTTCTGGGTGACAGAATCTGTCGCGACCCCAACTGGCTCCGAATTACTGTCGACTATACGGTTGATTCGTTCATGGCTGCTCAATCCCTGCGAATGTGGCCTCGCCTGCTTCGTCCCTTTGTCGCTAGATTCTTACCGTCTTGCCGCAAGATTCAGACCGAACTTCAGGATGCCCGCAACATCATCAGTCCGGTACTGGCGGAGCGTGAAGCAGAAAAGGCAGCGGCGGTCCAACAAGGACTAACCCCCAAACGCTACACAGACGCGATGGAGTGGATGGAACAGTGTGCTAAAGGTCGACCGTACGATGCCGGTGCTGCACAACTTTCCTTCTCCCTTGCGGCCATTCATACTACTTCCGATATGATCACTCAGGTGTTGTATGACCTTTGCGGGAAGGACCAACTGGTGGAAGCTCTACGTGAAGAGGCTCGTACTGTTATTCAAGCAGACGGCTGGCAAAAGACCACACTCTATAAACTCAAGCTCATGGATAGCATGCTCAAAGAGAGTCAACGGTTGAAACCGACTAGTGTTGGTATGTTTCACGCTTCCTAACCTCCAACCAAGAGCTAACAAGATACGTGCAGTTTCTATGAGGCGCCTCGCAATGAAGACTGTCACCTTGTCGGACGGAACTGTGATTCCCAAAGGCACTTCGATCTTTGTCTCCGGCGAACAGATGTGGGATCCCGAAGTCTATCCAGACCCCGACACGTTTGATGCATATCGATTCCTGCGACTGCGCGAGACGCCTGGCAGTGAGACCTCGGCCCAGTTGGTTTCGGTCTCCCCACAGCACTTGGGATTTGGTCTGGGGAAGCATGCTTGTCCTGGCCGATTCTTCGCTGCTAATGAGATCAAAATCGCGCTTTCGCACATTCTGCTGAAATATGACTTCAGGCTACCAGCAGGTACGACGCCTCAACACATATATATGGGAGCCGAGCTTGCTGCAGATCCATTTGCAAAATTGGAAATTAGGCGGAGAAACTCCGACATTGAACTATGAGGCTGGGATAGGTTTGACCAATTGACATGTGATCATGTATTCTTACTTCCTGTGGACATAATCTCATAGAGACATGGGTGTAATCCGCTTGAGGACACCAAACCTGCTGTTCTTTCGCTTTTCAGGCTCAAAATACTATCTATATACGGCGCAACACATCTGATTTAGAGGGGCCTGTAGTAAGAGGCTGTCTCCGAAGGCCTCAGAGCTCTACAGATGATGGAAGATAAACCATACTGAAGCCCCCACCGTTACCCAACATTGTACTTCGTCTCTGGCTAGGTATAACACTATCATCAACTTTGAGTAGATAAATAAAATGGAAATAGAGGCAAGACTGAATAAACGAATAATGGTCTATATCCACTAACCCACATAGGACCGGCTGCAGGTGGGATTTCAATTTCTCCTCGTACATCCCCGAGCGGGCCGGTAAGTCAACTAAACGCCCGAGTAGGCATTGATTTTATATCGGTGGCCGATATTTACGCTGCTTCGGTTACCTAGAGTACCATTATTCAAGTAGGCAGTCGTGTACCTGAATTATATGATAGTAATTCATCGGCGACCGGTAAGCACCATCTTGCATGGGGAATTCATGATTTACAGCAACGGGCACCTTGAGCATAGACCAACTCACTTGACCTGACAACTTTACAGCATCCTGGGGATTGCACGGGTATATAAACGCTTGAGGGGCAGCTTCTTCATCCTCAAGTTCGGCACTGCGAAGTATCAAACCCATCAACCCAGAAGACAGCAACTCTACCGCCGCCACCATGAAGCTCGCTTGTATCGGCTTGGGTGTCTTGGGGATTTTCGCTACTTCGGCGACAGCTGCTTACTGCACTGACAATGAGTACTACTGCGGCTGGAACCTCTTAGACAAAGGTAATTTGTTTTCATATACCTACTCGGAGCGAAGGCTGAAAATAGGCAGGGAGCTACATGCCGGAGATCAGAGAGGCCCTCGTGGAAGGCGGGATCCCCAACCCCACGGAATTCCAGATCCAGCACACCCTTTTCTACTGCCGTGATGAAGCATCTAGGGGTGTCGGATATGCCATGGCATGTAAGCAGCAATGTTATGAGACTAGTCAGAGCGACTATTGTGACGAAATTGGTCCTGTGAGTAGTTTTATTTCTCTGATGAAGACCAGGGCTGATCGATGTGAAAAGTGAACAAACAGAGCCTGTGTTCTGGGTTGTGTGATGACGCCTTGGTCTAGGTTTTTCTCCTTCTACTTACGTTGTCGAGAGGGTTTTCCCTAGGCTTTCATGCGAATGCAGAGGATGTTCTTCCACTTATTATTCCAAAAAGATGAATAAGCATTACTCTTGCACATTATCGAAAGAGATTCCTTGTTTTCCCTTAGCCAACCTTTCCCCTCTAACCTATAATGCACCAAGGCGAGAAAGGTTCCTTCCGATCAATCGGCCATCTCGCCTCACTACGGTTACCTGTCGAAAGTTCTGTGCCTCGCAAGGCTCCGAGTTCTATATCCCCAAAAAACATCTATCGTCGACTATCAGTTAGGGGGCATGCGATCCATCTTTCCCACCGTTTTAGTACACTGTAGGATGACATACAACAGAGAGCAATGATTAAATACGTATAGTACTACTCCACCTCAGCTTGCTGAGCACCGTCAATTATCCCAGTTTCCCTCAGCGCCTTGAGCATGACACCGCTTCTCACAGTAGTATGTCATCTAAGGAGCCATTAGTCATGTGCACGTTCAACTCACAGGTCGAAGGAATCACTCACCTTATCGCCACCAATATGCTAGTCCGCTGAGTTTCAATAGGTTCCGTCCCGTAACAGTCAATCTCAATCCGCATCCAGACGCACGAAGTACAATTTACGAATGTGCAATCTGGGTAGATACCGCACTGATTGCTGCCCGTGTTCCGCTGCGTATAATAGTCGCACGAGCGCTTGGTCTCGTCCGGCAGGATTTCGTAATTCTTGGCCCAGTTGTAGCTGACGCTGAATGGAGTTCGCCGATTTCAGAGAGTTCCCGGTTGGAGATACAGGCCGCTACGTTGTACCTTGGCGACGGAAATGATAAGATGAGTTAGTAATTTGGTCGCTGAAATTCATGCAAGGAATTATACGTATGTGCGGACAGAGCCAAGAGAAGGGAACTTCTACTCGACCGATAAGGAGCGGATAGAAAAATTACCGAGGACATTGTTAGGCCCGCCGCTTAAAATGAGTCTCGTGAAATTGCTGGAGTGGAGCTTCTGCAGTCTAAAAAATGAGGGCCGTGAATGTCTTGTGAATGACCAATAAAAGACTTCACGTTATGAAAGTTGAACTAACCTCTTAACATGATCCCAGATTCTAACCACTCTCGATCTATCTATAATCAGTTAGGTTAGTTAGTCCACATACTCTACGCACTCCTCACTATCGGCTTTGGAGTCACCACAGATGGGTAATATCGTGGCACCTGGCCCTCGTCTTGTTAGCCTCTTTGTAAAAGGAACTTCGCCTCCTATTTTCAAGCGTCAGTACGTTCATATGGAACCAACAAAAAGTCTTCACCGGACCTAGTTCGAACGCCTGTGAGATCCTGTGGGACCCTTGAGTAGTTTATTGTTATAGGCAGTCCACATAGTAAAGAGAACATCTACTTAATGAACACTGTAAATGAGGGGTCTCCAAGTAGGTACACGGGCTCAAGGAACTTTGCATCGTTGTTCGCTCTCTTCGTCCCAGGATATGCGAAGCCGGAACAAAACTCCGGGATCCTGAATCTTGCTACTTCAGCTTGAGGTTTGTGACTCCACACATCCCCATCCCAAGCGAAAGAGCACTCTGATATTAATATTGGACATGATCTCGGATTCTGATAAACCATTTTATTCTATCCTCACTCCCCCAACCACACATTGCTGTGTTCCTTATAACTTGTATTTCATTATCGCAATAATGCCCGTCGAACTTGTGGAATTCCCTAGGGTCTCATGTTATGCTACCAACACAAAGGAAGTCCAGCATGTCTACAAAGAGATCTTCGAAGATGACTGCTACAGTTGCTTGAACATCGGAGAGAATCCCTTTATCATCGATGTCGGTGCGAACATTGGGCTCTTTACTCTGTATATGAAGCAGAAATATCCCAGGTCAAGGATTCTCGCATTCGAGCCCGCGCCCGAGACATACGATGTTTTGTGTCGCAACCTAAAGTTACATGATCTCTTGAATACGGAGGCGCACCCCTTCGGTTTGAGCTCGCAGGAAAGCATACAGAAACTAACGTACTTCCCTAATATGCCGGGGAACTCGACTTTGAATCTGACCGAAAAGGAGGAACAGCGGAAACAAGCTGTTGAACGGTTCGGCGAAGAGGCGGCCAAGTACTACTTTGGTGGTGCTCGCGAGGTGGATGTCAAGCTGCAGCCGTTGTCCCACTTCTTGTACAAAGAGGTCGGTATCACCAAAATTGATCTCGTTAAGATCGATGTTGAGGGCGCAGAGCTGGAAGTCTTGCTTGGCTTGGATGATGTTCACTGGGCGTTGATCATGAATGTTGTGCTTGAGATATGGGAAGGATCTACTACTCGACCTGCAATCGAGGAGTTACTACAGTCCAAAGGATTCACTGTCATCTGCGAGGGGGCGTCCTGGGCTCCGGAAAGCTTCCTTGTGATCAAGGCTTCTCGGGCCAAAGGTACAATCTTGGCAGGGGAATAGTCTGATTGTGTTCAATGGCCATTAAGGAAAGTCGGGTCAAGATGTGTTCCGGTCTAGGCCACACGAGCCATGGGGGGAAATGTTTTCTACTCAGCAGGATACTACGACTGTTACACGGGCTTGTTAAGTGTAACCTGAAATTTCTGCGCGACAAGCTTCTCTTACCGACTCACTCTTTGAAAGACCTTCGCACTCGTGATGCCTGGGGGGCTTTATAAAGCGGTCCAAGTCGGGTGTTTCGGTGTTCAAGCTGTTTGAGGGCTGACGGACTGTCAGAATCCTGCTGATAATGGCTAGAGATTAACATCCCCCAACATAAAATCAGGATAGACCACCCAGCTATAGTTTGCTTTTCCGCGCGAAGTCCTGAATACGAACATCGCACTTCACTTCTTCGCACAGTTTCTTTCGCTGCTTTGGATCCAGTTTCCGGGCAAACTCAAGCCCACTTCCTCGTTCAACTGCTTCCAGCTCCACCTCGAAGTCACTCAGGTCCTTGTCCTTGTCGATCGGGGCATTCGGTAGTATGGCGACCGGACCGCCTAGCTCACCCCCGTTGTCCTCCTCCTCTCCGAACACGACTTTGTAGAAATGAGTTGGCACCGCAACGCTCGGCGGATCCCCGATGACCTCATAACTAACACGCCATTTGTTTTCACTATCCCGATGCGGAAGATATAGTGGGCCAGTGATTACACGAACAGACGGATATCTCGTTGTCAGACTGCGGGTGAATTTCTCCACACGAGCCCAGTAATGCTGATTAAAGCCGACCCCAACCTGGGGACACATGTTGCTCATCTTAAACGTGTCGTCCATAGCCTGCTGTGACCAGTTCGCGTTCGCAGCAGCCACTTGATGTCCGCGATCATACCCGGAGTTGGAATAGTCGGCGACCTTGGCGCGAAAAAAGGCCGGGATGCTTCTGTCTTCGCGGAAGTTGTTTTTGCGGGTTGACAGGTTTGTGGCCACTGATTCAGTGGTCATATGCTCGGCGACCCAGGACGGATTGCGCGTGCGACGATCGTAGCCTCCGTATACGGAGAGTGATTTCAACTCATCGGAAACCGGACCCGGGAAGCCGTATTTCAAAATACCTGCTGGATTGGCGGGCCCGGTCGGAAGCTCCTGAGCTTTGAAAATTGACAGTGGACTTGGGAATGCAAGGCTCTTGGTTTGGACAATGGGGCTGGGAACTGTGATTTGGTCCTGGGGCGTATCGTCCGGCTCCTGCGCTTTAGCATAAAGCAAGCTGGATGCTGCTCCCACGGCAGCACCGAGAGCTGCGACAGAAGCAAACTTCACTTTGGACATGATGTTTGCGTTGTACGAGTGCTCAGTGGTCTCCCTGTTACGGAAGCGCCCCCTTTATACCTAGCCTCCCGAAATTAATTCGTGCGGGAGGTTGTCGGTATCAATGGCTTGGTGCTACCTTGGCTTGGGACCTTTCACCCATGGAAATGGTATATGCTCTTTATCAGCAGTCACTGTCGCGGTGTGCTCGAGACAGGGACGTGGTCCAGCCAACCGTTGAAAACCACCATTGCGCAAGCAGGTGAGACTCTAGAGTTTAATTCTTCCGAATTAGCCCTCATGTAGATCACATGTCAGCGTCCATGACTCGATGACACCTACACGATAAAGCTATTCATCCAGGATGAAGGTCTGACGAGAGTGGTATAACTACGACTGTCCGCAGCGACCATCTCGGACCCAATTTCAACTAAACTAATAAACTTTTTGAAGATCGTGCAAGATAGTGAATCTCAATCATTTGAACCCATAAAATATCTAGGGCTTGAAGCCAATCGTGACCACGTGACCGGACCTCTATACTAACAATATCTTTATCTCTCCCAGGAAAATTAGCTTGGAGAACTACTTACCAGTTATTGAATGCTAGCCTGCCCACCAATCTGTCTCTTATTTCATATCTGCCGCTCCAAAGCTATGTTCCTACTTCAAATGCTTTACGCGTCTCCTCCGAACGAAATACATTTTTCCCATACAGGTACCAATGAATAACATAAAATTGAAGAAAAAAGTGGTCCCTGGATATATCTACAAAGAGAGCAAGAGAAATTGGCGTGTTCCAACGGCAGAACGTTATGTCATGAGACAGGTTAAATTCAGAGAAACGATTTCAAGTCCAGCTGCCCTTGGGTGTTCCTAATGTTGTCCACAATCCTATGTCCCGTGAATTAATTGATAGGCCCCGCATTGCCTCCACGAACTATGGCCAGGTGTTAGTTAGATAAGGTATACTACATGGTCCTGGATGGGATTGAATATGATTATGTCGAAGGCCAAAGGAATCTCGCCCGTGTAATTTGCCTGAATGTCGAGATTATCACTGGGCGATGCTGCGAAGGGGTCTATATTGAAAGCCGAGGTATGGTTGACGACTTTCTCTATGTGGAGGATACGAGCAGGTTTTTTCAAAAATAGACTTCATATGTTTGAGGCTCTGGGAGGAGATGTTAAGTGAAAACTAGGCATCTTGTGCGCTGATGAAACCAGCTTAGATGCGTAGCTCCTGGTTGAAAGCACCAATGATTTGCTGTTCGTTATTGACATCGATACTCTTTGATCAACACGGGTTTATTTCGCGACCTCACTCGTAAACGCGGAATTTCCGCCGGAGACATCACTTAGCCTAGCAAATCTTGAAGCTGTTCGGAACTCGTGCTGAGCGTCTGCTAAAGAGCATCCATCGTAAACAAGCGGTCACTAGTGGACTCATCTAGCAATTCAATTACCTGTCCCTTCTCGGCTAGTGTCGATGAAGAGGTGTTTTTTGGGCCGACCGGCTCTGACCTTCGACATAGTGTGAACGGAGATGTTGAGTGACATTTGGTTATCTAATCGGTCGCTTTTTTGCTCATGATCCAAAGTTTGACGACTTCGAAGATGGAACGAATACAGTGAAGATCTCGAGAATCATGATCGACAGGTGGATCCTAGTGCGTCTTAGCATATTAGAATGCCAGCCCAAGAAAATATTCTCATCATTGACTCGGAGTGAAATAGACATTGACGTTTTCACATCAAGGAACATACGGTGCGACCAAGAACATTGGGCTGGCATGAAGACTGAAGAGACCTAAATCAATCACATGGATCATCACAACCCTAAGTGACCAACATACCTCGAGATGCAGAAGGCGATTATATGAGTTCGCCATGCCATCGTATCACGAATCCCCCAATCATTCCAGATAAGCATCCGTGCCGCCTAGCCGGATCCCCGAGACGTGAGCAAATGTATCGCGACTTACAATCCATGTCCAAATCACTTGCCATGATACCACTTTCTTCCCAAGAACATGATTAAATGGTTCAGAGTCGCTCTTGATGCAATATAGATTGAAAATTAAATGCCCAAATTGCGACTTGCCTTGTCATGTATTCCAAAACGACAGGTTATCCGTGCTCGATGGGAGTTTCTATGATCACCTAGCTTAGAGAGTTTTATTCTTTGTAACTAGAAGCAGCCACGGCTTCTTCTAAAAGCCTCTACAACTCAGGATTGAGATTATCTCTTGAGATGAAGTGAATGTATTTCAAGAATTATTTTCATCCTATTTTTGCGACACCGCGAATATGTGATTCCTTCCCTGTCCAGAAGACCACATTTCATCGAAGACGCGAGTCCAGGCCATAGTGTCCAGTGCTTAATATTGGTAAACGTCCTCGCAGTTGAGAGTGATGCTATCTCCCTCGATCTGTTGTAATTGACGATTATCAGGGATTGAGTCGGCCTATAAACGAAGGGGAAGGAGCTTACCGGAGGCCGAGTAGCCACGAACGCGCCACAGCATTGGAGCGACTCGCCGTTCGCACTGCAGCGGGCGACAGCGAACTCGTCGAGGAGGTCAATGCCTACGATGGAAAATAACGTCAGTGGAACACGTTACGGGTCGATCTCCTCGATTGAGATATAACGGAATGTTGGAAGCCAGGGTATAACTCACCGTCGGAGCACGCATTGGCGTTGTTCAGCTCGGGGTCAATGCCATAGTATTCCTGGACGTATTCGGGCAGATCGGAGTATTGCACAACGTCGCGGCAGCACTTCAGGGCTCCGGACTCGCAGGTGGGAAGTTCCTGGGAAGCGCACAGGGAAGCAGCCGCGAGGAGGGAGAAAATAGCGAACTTCATTTTAATATAATGAATAAGAATAAATTTTCAGAAAGTGCTTCAGATCGATGATTATTGCGTGACTTCAACTCATAATTGCGGAATGGATGGAGCTTTATAGCTTCCAAGATTATCATCAACATAGAACATCCCTGCTTTGTTTAAGTGTGATGTTGTTATGGATATTGTCCATGCAAGGGTGGCCCCTTGCATCACTAAGATGCCAGCGCCAGCTGCGAGAGATGTTTGTTCATCATCTGTGCTCTAAGCCATCTACCGACAGCGTCGCTATGTGGCTAATTTTCCGCCTGGATAATGGTATCTGGAAAGGGTTGCCACACAGGGTAGGTGACAAAGTCATTTCCCAACATCCTCTGATCATCGGTATTGACAGTAAAAGCAAAACAGCTTCCTTCATCCCTTTCAATTCCAGGTTAAGAGCAGCCTGACGAACAATCACTGCTCTGCCAGTACCTTACTAATTAATAAAGGGTGGTCGCTTAAACCCACGTATTGGTTGCTTCACAACGAAATAACAACAGCTCGGAAGAAGCCATTCTAATCCCAACCGAGATGTAAACAAGAAACAAAAGGTGGGGGCTGAGCACAGCTGAAATGTCATGCAAGGTAGATCCTGCGCCTGCATTTGATCTGGATTGGCCCAGTCTAAATTGAGTTTGAGTCCCCTACGTCTCCCTTGGAATTCTTTCTAGACAAGAATGGTCAACAATGCAGTACCTAAGGAGACCCTAGGTAACTCAGCTCTTGGTATTAATTTGATCCTAGTTCACCTCGTGCAAACTTAATCCACTGTTTTAGCTCCTGTTAGTAACTTTCCAAGCCCCCAAATAACCTGCACTCTTCTATGGCTACTTCTTACTACTCTGTATGACCCTCAAGGTCAACAGTGCTGCGTAAAACGTGGCCCTCCCCAAGCTGTAAGAAGACTCTGTTTCTCTTTTCTTTTGTTTTCTTTCTTTTTGAACTTCGTTCCCGTTAGCCCGGCGTGTTCATAATGCACACATATAGGTCCCAACTACACAAATTATTCGCCATTGCATGCAGACGTTGGGGAGATGTCAGGTTATATATTCCCCTGAAGAGGGAGTATCTCTACTCAAAAACGATCTCTCTAGGAGTGAACAGTCCCGAACTGGTCAGAAGTATATAGTAAAAGCTCTCTGCAGAATTAGACCTTTTCCCAGTGATGGCATGTAAGAGTTTCAATATCAATCTATTTATGCGTGACAACTAGTTGAGGAGGGAGTGAGTAGGTAGGTAGAATTGTCTATTCCCACGAGACAGCGGAAAGCATCAGGCCACCGCTGCACCGCATGAGGCAGCGATATACCTAATTAGGCTAGGGCATTACTCCATTTGGCCACCCGGTGTGTGGCAACATGATGTGTGGCGTGGACATAACACATTTTCCTGGTGGCCTGCTGTCATCGCGATGGACTGATGCCGTGTAGAGAGTTAGAGTTATCATGGACCCTGTAAAACAGGTTTGAACAGGCTTCATGGGAATAGAGAACTGAGTCCGAAATGCCGGACTCCCAACATTCAGTGGTGTTTTCAAATGGTTATATAGCACTTCGGCGATATTCGGGAATGAGTCACCCACAATCCTTCGTCAATGACTAGTCACAGAGAGCTAACAGGGGATTGTCATGTTTAGTGCGAATCATGGCTTGGGGACCTGCCCGAAATCGGGCCTGTAATTCATGCACAGTCAACAAGTCCTGAGTCATCCAGTGAGAGGACGGCAAATATAATGCCCTAGACCAACGCAAGATTTATCCCAGTTTGGCGATACGAACATTAATACAATTTAGTTGAAAAATATTCTATGGGTCGTTAATTGCTCGTCTTGCTTTTCTCTCGATTTCGGTCGGCATATCTGATTTGATTGATAATAACTAGTCTCCAGCCCATCATGCTGCGACATATCGCAAGGAAAGCGCGTCCTGCCGGCCAACGCACTACAGCGCGCTCTCTTCAGTCACAAGCGTTCGCCGCGGGAGAAAGTCAGGATGTCATCGACCAAGTGATTATCTCGTCTCCGGACCTACAGAAAGAACGACTATCGAAGCGGTTGGTCACAAAGCAATGGTCTTGTGCTGCATGTACTGACCCCAAGGTAGAGCGAAACACAGGATCATACCATTTTCCTCGACGACTCACACATCATGGAGGACAGGAAAGAACTTCAAACCAAGCAAGATCGAATTGGATGACTCGTTGGTAACTCCTCGACCCTCTGCCTAGGTGAGATGCTAATTGGGACGCTCTTTTAGATTTATCGGCTTAACGGGTGGAGAGATTGTCCAGCAAATGCTCATTCGGCATGGTGTGAAGGACTTCTGTCAGTTCATCGACCATTGTGTCTTCACTCACTCTTCCGAGGCTAGACCTGCTGACTTCTTGCTTCTTGCTCTAGTTGGCTATCCCGGCGAGACCATCCTCCCCGTCCTCAACGCACTAGACGCATCGAAACAGCTCCGGCGAATTATACCACAACATGAGCAGGGCGCCGGACACATGGCCCAAGGATATGCTCGGGTGACCGGAAAGCCAGGAGTCGCTGTCGTGACGAATGGATATGGGGCAACGAATATGATTACGCCGCTGATGGATGCTCTGGCAGATGGGACGCCCATGGTCGTGCTTTGTGGGCAGGTCCCAACCTACTTGGAGAGTTCAGAGCAGCAAGCAAATGTCCTCGCAATGACCCAACCCTGCACGAAGTGGAATGTCAGCGTGAGAGACGTATCAGAGCTACCGCGACGTATCACCGAGGCGTTCCATATCGCGACGAGTGGCCGTCCGGGGCCGGTGTTGATCGAGCTCCCGTTGGATATCTCAACCAGAAAATTGAAAACGTCTCTGCCAATCACAACTGTCAATGCGGGTGTTTCAACCCGTGTGGAGGATACGTTTCGCGAGGTTCGAAGGATCCAGATCATGGATACGATTAAGCGGGCGGGTAGCCTTATTAACATGGCCAAGAAGCCCGTTCTATATGTCGGGTATGGTGTGCTCGGATCACCCGATGGGCCAAGGCTGCTGAAGGAGCTGTCCGAGAAGGCTTCGATCCCGGTCACGACGAGTCTCCAAGGCCTCGGGGCCTTCGACGAAACTGATCCAAAATCTCTCCATCTGCTTGGACTGCATGGCTCGGGGTATGCAAACATGGCCATGCAGCATGCCGACCTAATTATTTGCCTGGGTGCACGATTCGATGACCGCGTCACTGGAAGTATCCCTAAATTCGCGCCCGAGGCCCGACGAGCTGAACAGCAGGGCCGAGGTGGAATCATCCATTTCGATATCTCACCGAAGAACATCAATAAAGTCGTTGAGGCTACCGTGGCGGTGGAGGGCGACTGCGCGGAGAACCTCGACCTGTTACTTCCGCTTATCCAACAAGCTCAACGGCCAGAGTGGCATTCGAAAATTGATGAATGGAAAGCGAAATACCCGTTCCAAGCGTTTGAACAAGGACGGAAGAACAGCGGTTTAATCAAGCCCCAGAAGGTCATTGAGGAGTTGAACGATTTGATTGATCCAATCAAAGACCGCACGATCATTACGACGGGTGTAGGACAACATCAAATGTGGACTGCGCAGCATTTTCGATGGAAATATCCCCGGACTCTGGTGACATCCGGAGGACTGGGAACGATGGGTTTCGGACTACCTGCTGCGATCGGTGCGAAGGTCGGCCGGCCAGACGCTCTCGTCATCGACATCGACGGAGATGCGTCTTTCAGTATGACTCTAAGTGAGCTCCTGACGGCCAGTCGGTCGAATATCGACGTGAAAGCAATTATCCTCAATAACGAAGAGCAGGGCATGGTGACTAACATTCAGACGCTTCATTACGAACGTCGATTCGCACACAGTCACAATAAGAACCCGGATTTTGTTCGAACCGCTCGAGCGATGGGCGTTCAGGCTGAAAAGTGCACAAAGACTGCTGATGTCAAAGACAAGCTAAAATGGCTGTTGGAAACTCGTGGACCTGCGGTGTTGGAGGTGATGGTCACAAAAAAGGCGCTAACTCTGCCTATGGTTCCTGCTGGCAAGGGTCTTGATGAATTCTTGTTTTACGAAGATGGTCCGGGCTCTTGATAGGTTAGGAGGTCTGTGCTCTAATTCATCGCTTGTCCGTCAACTTTCCATTTTCTTCCTGTTAAGATATACTAGCGAAGTACGCCCTCGAGACATAGACTTATACAAAATACAGACGCCATATAAAAAATACAAGAAAGGCGGTAAACACAGACAAGTGGCAGTTACCTGCGCTTCAAGAACGTGAGACAGTAGGAGACAGAATGGCCGTTTGCCCGATAATACTACTTAACACAAGTAGTATCTGGGGTAGTTGATTGTTCCGGGTCGAAAATTGCAGGGAGGAGAACTGGGTTTGTCAGCTAAAACGGTAACTACTTCCTTTCGGGCTTATGATGAACTTTCGTACGTTTCGATTTTTCTCCAAGCGGAGAAACCTCCAATCCTTAGAGTTGGTGGCTATCCCCCATATGTCCCTATGGCTGCAACCAGCCCGCTCCCGAGTTTCCAACACGACCCCTAGGAATTTTATTAGCTCTTCCATCTATATGATAGCACTGGGATTGCAGCCTTACCCATGTAACCTAGGACCTGGGAAAAGCCATCGTGCTTCATGTCCTTGGCCTCGACTAGGCAAATACAGTTTGCCTCGTTATGGGGATTGTTGCCATACCAGATGGCGTAGTCGGCAACGCCATTGATCGTTCTGGTAGGCTTTCTACGCGGCATATCCACTTTGAGATGGCGCTCAACTTGGCTTTGTACGTGGGCATAGTCCTTGAGGGCAAAGGCCGCTTGAAGGATCGTGTTGATGGTTATACGCAACCTCGCCTCATTCAAGGGTGCGCCCCGAAATATCTTCTCTTCTGCTTCCAGTTGTTCCGCTATAGAGGAGATGGCTTGGGTTGGGAGTTTTGATGTGGCAGCCTCTTCGGCGCGTACTTTTCGTTTCCAACCAGTAGTGAATCATACCTAGACCCGTTGGGACAATAAGGAGGGTCGGTAGAAACGCAGACATTCCCGTCTAGGGTGCTTTCTTCCGGGCAGTGCGGCCCGTGGGTGGCAATACACTTCCGAGTGGTAGGGTTGAATCGGGTGCCAGTGGGACAGGCAGGGTCTTCCATTATGACGCAGACACCCTTCCAGGGATGAGAACCAGGAGGACAGCTAGGGCGAGTGGGATGGGTGCAACTTCGGCCGTTGAAGTGCCCCCCGTCCGGACAAGACGGTCGCTCATTGGCCACGCAGATATTGTCCTCGAGATAGAAACCGGAGGGACACCGAGGGCCCTGCTCATGAACGCAGAGACTACCACGGGAAGCAAAAGGCAGCGGAGATGTCGGTGGACGAGTGCTTTCACACGCTCCATGGTGCCAAGTGCTTCCATCCGGGCAGCTAGGGTCACTGGTCGAGATGCAGTGATCCCCGCGAGGGTTGCTGCCCGGAGTGCAGATTGGATGGCCCAAGGCACAGACAGTCACGGCCGTCGAAGTCGGTGTCCACAGGACAACATTTGATCTGTCCAGAGACGGGGTCGAGGGAAGGAACAATGTCATTAAGAGTGAGACGGACAGGCGAGTGGGAGGACGAAGTAAGAACAGACTCTTGAGAGACTTGGGCAATGGCAGCGGCTTGGCGAGTCACCAACCAGACCAGTGTCTGGGCAAACTTTGGCATGATCGAGCTTTCAAAGAGGATAAATTTGAGTCCGCACAGGAGCGGAAAGTAGGAGTGTGGGGAGCAATGAACACCGACTGATTGTACTTATAGCCAATACTCCAAGCAGGCGAGCAATCAGTTGGTTCTTTGCTAGCATTGGTCTAACCTAGGAACATGTATGGGTGAAAGACGGAGGCAAGAGTCGCTGTGAGGGCGAGAAGTCCGCATGCGATGCGGAACAGTCTACTTGCAAGGAAGATAAAACCCGCTGCGAAAGTGAGAAGGCACTGTGTGAGGCCAAACGCGGCAATTTCATGGATGAAAAGAACCGATGCGAAGGTGAGAGGTCGGCCTGCGAGGCTGAGCGTGAGACCTTGAGAGAAGAGAAGAACCGCTGCGAGGGGCAGAGGGCGACGTGCGAGACCGACCGCAAAAATTGCCAACAGGATAAAAGCCGGTGCGAGGGTGAGAAGACCACATGCGAGGCTGATCGGGACAGATTCAGGGATGAGAAGACCCGTTGCGAAGGCCAAAAGGCGACATGTGATACTCAGAATTCCGCCTGTCAGAAAGAGAAAGGTACCAGTGAGACACAGCGACGTACTTGCCACACAGAGAAAGAGAGCCTGAGCAAAAGGATCGTGGGCTTGGAGAATGATCTAAAGAAGTGTAGGGCCGATCTCCAGGCAGCGACGAGGCCTCCTCCAGCACCGGCAACCTGTAAGACCCTTTCCCCTTGCCAAGCCTCCTAGTACTCCAATATTCTCCTTCCATTGAGCGATTGCTAACCACTGGCAACTGTCACAACAAAGGCCCTGGAGCGGCTCGGGGCGCCCTCCGGAATGTCGGCGGGGTGAACTTCCGGCTGTACTGCAATGCAGGTCAGTTTCTCTCCACTGCCCGATAAATATCAATCCTCCTGCCCAATATGTATCTGATTTCCGGGAATAGCAACACATGGCACTGCATGGGAGACTATAAGATGGAGTAGTTCTGATGCTTGCCTTGCGAACTGCGCCGTGGGGCCGCAATGTGTGCAGTTTGACTTCAAGGCAATGAACGACTTCCCCTGCTATATGAAGACCGATCGGATCAGCGAGGCCAATGTTGTTCCCGACACCATCGGACATGGAGCCATCCGGATTTAGACAACGGGTCATGAGTCTTGAATATCTGGCCCAGGGGGACTTTCAATAGCGTCCGCAAGGTGAATGAAAAATACCATTGTGAGAGTAGGATATAGTAGGTGGCAGGGGGGTTGTCTGCGAGAACTGCATGGTTTTCCTTTTCTTATCGACAGCACCTTCTGGTTTGGCACATGGTTCCATCGTACTGAATCCTCCCGAATTGTCTTCCTTGCATCAGGTTCAGTGTTGGTTCGAATTGATACATCCACTCGACGAACGAGGTGATTAACACAATTGTAGGATGAGACGCCTTGATCCCAGGGGGTAGGGAGATTGATGAGGAATTCAGAATGAAACTGGCGGCCAGACGCGTCGGTCACCGGATCCGCTAAACCCAACTGGGGACCCGGCCAATAAATTAGTGCCTCAGGCAATACCGTACTTGATCACCTGACGCCCGTCCCCACCTGACGCCCGCTTTTTCCCATACAAAATCACCTAAAATTCTTAACTTTAAAGAGCTACCATTCAATCAAAATAAAAGATATTAGATTTATATTTTATATATATAATCTATAATAGTAATAAAATAAATATATATAAAAATATATATAAGAATTCCAATCGAAATATCTATATAAAAACTAGATCTTTAAAGTAATTAATAATAATAGTTTTTACATTAAAGATTAGAATACTAGTAAATATTTATATAGAAAGAATATTATTATTAAATTAAATAATAAAATAAGTTATTTTAGTAATTTTTTTAATCTAATCTTATACTAAAAGCCTATAATTTTTAAAATATATTTTTAGTTAATTATATTTAAATTCTCTAATTCTTCTATAATATATAGTTAATTTTATAAAAATTAATATTAGACTTAATATTTAAGTATTTATTTTAATTTCTAATCTAAGAATTAACTAAAAATATCTAGATCTAATAAGAAAACTTAGTTTTTTCAAATATATTATTATCATGAAGATTTTATTTATTACTTTATAATAAATTTATTTATAATAAGATAAAAAAGTTTTAAAAGAATTTTAATCTTTTTTATATTTATCTTTCAAAAAAAATAAAAAATTACTAATCAAATATAGTTTTATTTACATATTACTAAGTTGTATTATAAATTGTATTTTTTAAATAATAAGATAAATATTGATTTTTCTTATTTTTTTAAAGAGAGTTATATATAAATCTTTTTAATATATTTTATATTATTTTTATATAATTTTCAATCCTTATAAAGTATTAGATTATTCTAATTAAATTATATATAAAAAATTACATTTTTAAAATTATATCTATAATAATTATGAAGAAAATTACAGAATTTTTAATTTTAATAATATTATAGATATTAACTATACTTTACTTAATATTTTATAATTTATAATAATTATACATTTAGACATATAATAAATTTAAAAAACTTTATATTTATTTTCTAAATTTTCTTGTAATTTTATTCTTTTTTTAGAAATTTTTATGAGAATTGAGTCTTATAATCTAATTTAAAGGTAAAATAATCTTAAATATTGATTTTAATATATTTTATTGAAATATTATTAGTAATTTAGTCTTTTAATTATTCTTTAAAAAAGCTTATATTTAACTTAAATAAAATTATATACATACTTATAAAAAATCTAATTTTTTTAGAATATAAAAAGGATATAATACTTTCTTTATCTAAATATAAAAAATAAATCTAATATCTTTTATTTTGGTTGAATGGTAGCTCTTTAAAGTTAAGGATTTTAGGTGATTTTGTATGGGAAAAAGCGGGCGTCAGGTGGGGACGGGCGTCAGGTGATCAAGTACGGTACATCCGCGCTGCTGCAACGGACCTTTTTCCGCTCTTGGACTCCCAATGAATATTGTTGAATGGACGAATGGTGCACACCCATTGCATCTTCATATCAACGGGACTGAAGCAACTTCTAGAACACGTTTGCTCCATTTTCATAACCGAAATGGCCGCCTCTCATGTCGGACAGTGGACGGCTGAATGCCTGAGGCTGCTACATCCCAGGCATTCCGCTGTTGGGTGACCAGGAAGATTTTCTTGGTCATTACTCTCCAATCAGTCTCAATGGCCATGTCATAATCAGGTTACTTCATTGAATCGTTTTCTCAGTCGTCTGTTCCCTATCTCTAGGTCAAAGGGCCTACGACAAAGTGTTGGTAGTGCCTGTCGGTATATGTTATATGTTTTTCGAGCCGAATATTGCTTAGACTATGGAGAATCGATTTATTGGGCGAGAAAGAGAAAAAAAAAAAGTCAGGGTTCGTGAGATTTATTTCACAAAAGACTTAGCTGACTGTTACACACGCCTAAAATAGTTATTCTTTTTCAATCCATGATTCTTGGAGGGGTCTCACCGTCTTGGGAGCCAGTCGGTAGAAGGTTCCTAACTTGACGCCGGAGCGCATCATAATCCCGTCATGCGGTTTATGACTCAGAACAAGCACTCTTTACTACATTTCTGAATCGCCCCTGAAGACTCGTATCTGTCCGCAAGTTCGACCAGCAAGAAAACCCCCCAGCAACAAAATGGCAACCACCGAGTCCGATTCCGACACCGAATCCATATTTGAAAGCGAAGAATACAGGGCGATCCATGACTTGATGAGGAAGAACAAAAAGGCGTGCCCTTGCCTTAACTTTATATTCTGGCGTCGGTGGAATAAAGGCCCAGATTTCATACCAAAGCATCTTGGTGAGCTCACAGTAATTTGCGCGATACCCATTTCCATTACTCAGATTTATACACCTAGATGACCAGCTTGAAGCCCCCACAGTGGCGCATAATCTCGCTTACGGCAGCCCTGAGATGATACGATACCGTCTGAAAAAGATTATTGGCTCTGCAACTTCCGTTACCTTGAATCTTGATCTGCTGTTCGATTACCAAGTGGAAATATCACACTTTTTCGAAGGCAAGCGGTACGACTATCCTTTGCCACTGTACGGCATTCTGTTGTATGGCGACAAAAAGGACCTGAAAACGAATTTGATCATCACGAGAGAGGACGAGAAAGGGATGACAGAGAGCAAGGGAACAGAGGTGTGCGGTACCGCTTGTGAGTACTAATCACCAATTGTGCTCTCAGTGTGGAATGTTGCCAACATTTACAGTGCTCATGTACCAAGCCATGAGGAAGGTGGGGTTGAAGCGAGAGATGTATGGAATTGTGACAGATAGTTACAAGTGGCATTTTACGCGCATTTCTCGCAATGGTCAGGTATGAAACCAACCCCATCCTCCGAAACTGATTGTTAATCTTGTGTTACTTTCAAGTGCTATTCCAAGTCCTTCGAATGGGATATCGAGGACCAACGAAGATCTATCCTACGCCTCCTTCGTAAAATTGTGGTCGAGGCTCTTCAATTAGCTCAAGAGGATGATGACCCTTACGGTATTTCTACACAGGGCATAAGCGAAGCTGCTGGATGTGTGATAGAGATCGACCACTATGCAAGCGATGCAGACTCAATACCTTCAACAGACTCGCAAGAGAATTAAGGTTCATAAAGGGTATGGGAAAAGAAGTTATATCTATCATTAATCGCGTCCTTTGACCAAAGGACGGAAAGCCCATGCGGAACTGACTATAAGGATTAAGGTCAGAGTTGAGAAGAAAGTTCAATAGGTCTTTGCTCACAGAATGCTCTGTTTAGTTTTATTTTATTTTATTTTTTAATTTCATTACCTCTCCTCCTTCGGGCAGGTTGTAAAATTACATGATCGTCAATCTGTAGAACGAGAGTTATTGCGCTACGGGCTGCTTTATACCTCCATATATTCGGTCACTGCCACGGCGTCTAGTTATCTATCTCCGTACATAAATGCTTCTGGACTGCAGTTCAGCCCTAACTGTACCCCAAATACGGCTGGTTAGTGTCAGGAATGGGATCGAATTTTGACCCAATGCTACAGCTATTATTTGGAATACTTAAGGCAACCAACTCTCTTGTATTATTATGAAAAGACTAGTAGGGAACTTGAGGAAGCTACGAACTAGTGATTAATCAAGGCTGTCGGGGAATGTGACACCTGAATAATTAGAATTCGAGTGTAGGTAATGCCCCATATACTGGGTTCTCGTAAAGCAAGCACTCAGCCCATGCCACCTTCAATACAGAATCATACCTTCATCAGTCCGCATCATTGGGCTTCCGAGTCCTAACACACAGAGGTGGAAAGAGGATAATTAAGCAATTTCTGTGAGCCATATCTAGTCCTTTCTAGCCTTCAAATGACAGATCAGCCACTTGGTCAATGATCTCACTAAGAAAAGCGACAATCTCCCTCAAAAAAAAATTGTGGTTGCCTGCATGAGCAGAACAAAGCTGGACCTAAATTAACTTCGATAATCCAGGGACTGATATGACTGAATAGTCTCACCTTGGAGTCGGTGCACAACCTAAAAAAGTACCAATCCACCCCATTGTATAGTAAACCATAAATAGTTCGCGCTTGGAGGCCAGCGGCCATTCTGGCATGATGGACCATGGCTGGGAATGTAAGTAAGCGTTGGAATGCGTGGGAAGATAGGTTTTGTTCATACCCATACATGGTATCAGATCTTGCACGTCGGACCCCTTGGTATTTACTATAAAGGTGGGATAAGGCTCATTCTCATGGTTTAATGCATACTCACAGTGCCTTCTAAAAAGCGTCATCTTGCCCCGGCGAAGTCCAACCAGCTCCACGGTTTTATTGACCTCAAAATTGAGCAAACAGCACGAGGAAAATGAGTCTGGTGAGTCGTGCCCGTGGTCATGTGTTCTCGCGTTCCGTCTTTTGTTGGCCAAAACATAAGACAGAATCATTTGAAGACGGGCTTTCTCGAATTCTGGAGAGCCAGGCTTTCCATTATTTGCAACTTGCTGGTCATCCAATGCGCGTGCTAGGAAGTGTCAGCAATAGTTGCAAGCTGAACACTGTGAAAGCTTACTAAGACGGTCGGGGATTTCTACAGGATGCTCATGAGCGACATTCCACTTTCCTTTATGCGGTTTTATCTGAAATGTTTCGTAGATTGTGTCTTCGCCAGCATCGGTGGTTTCCGAGACGGGAAGCTTCTGTAGTATGGATTGACTGTGATCAAGAGGCAGTGTGAACTGATATGCGTTTGACCTTTTCAGGCCGGTGGCCATGACTATCGTATTGCCGTGTCTAGCTTTGACTGAAAGGCTGGGAATTATGTGTTGAAAATAGGTCGCTGTTGGATTCAATAAGCTGAGATCACAACAGTGAGAGATCTGGAGATTCTTGAGGGAAAGGTGACTACTCGGCTATGTCAGGATGACCTTGGTACGGTACCCGTGATATAATAATGATCCATATTGTATGTAAATGTCACGTATGTATCACGTGTGATCGCGAACAAGGTAGCAAAGGCCCTTACTTTTGGTGGTTGAGGGTGGTCTCCTGTCTCCACGATCAACTGTCGTATTGTTTACGCATAGATTTGCTATTTTCAATTACGTAATTCTCCATTCAATCAAACAGAAGTTGCTAGCTAGTCCGCCTATACCTCTACGTGTAGTGGATAATGGCGCTTATTTTGTAGCGTATCAAAGCAAGGATCTCGTTTCAAATATACTTCACGGTGGTTTCGGAAAGGAGCTAATAGAAATCGCTGTCTCCACCTGAACCCATCTCGTCATCCGATTTATCGACCTTGTTACTCTCATTCAGGTCCTTCCAGACCACACACTCGGTCGAAGAGCTGATATTGCCTTGCGGAGGCAATATGTTGATAGGGCTTCCTCTTAGTAAACCAAGTGCTTGATCAATAATATACCGCAAGTGATCGATAATCGTATCCCTCTCGCTTTGATGCCTCCAGTCCAAAAGGGTTTGAAAATACTTAACGGAGAGTAGTCAGCTGCTGTCATACTGGTCATTTCAACCTAAAGGTTCTTACCTGGCCACCATGTTCCATTTTTACAAAACACCACTGATAGCTGTTGGTAACAATGCCGTATAGCCTTGACCTCTTGCCTGCACGCCTTCGGTTGTAATGGAGCATTACTAGAAGTGATTATCAATGAGAAGGTGTAGTACTCAAGGAATGGGACAATACACGCACACATTGCTGGCGGCAATAGTATATTCTCGTCTGTAAAAGGACTTGTAGTTTCGTGAACCACAAGAATGGCGTCAAGGTTCTCAACGTCGCCATACCACACGATCTCATCAGCGCTAGACCGGAGATACCGATTTGGCGTAAGCGAAAGGTCTGGCATAGTCACTTGCCGTCCAATCGAAAGACGCAAGCAATCGATTCTGTTAAACTTTGGCCAGCAACCCGAATCTTTTTCCAAGCTCTCCCAATCCTTCGAAGCTCTCAGACTGCTTGCTGGGCCTGCCGAGGACATTACATGATTCCTTTTGACGGCGGCGACGACGGAAAAGAGGATAGTGTTCACACGAGATCGGACGAGTGCGGAATCTGCTCGGGGGCTGAATGCTAGAGTAAAGTCGTCCAGTGCAGAGGCTTATCGTAGAAGATTAGAAGGTCCGTTCTTCGCATATTGATCAAGCTTACCTAAATAGTTGGGTAGACTGGGTCCCTGCTTTCTACGACGGTCCCAGTAGCTTTTGCTATCTGAAGAGCTAGCTTTGCGAGCCTTGAGGACCTTTAGAAGCTGTGTGCTTGTCCTGTCCGCGTAATCTAGATCAATATCGATCACAACCATCTTGCTGCTCTATTTTGTTTGAGTATTGCACAAAAATCGGTCAGAAGAAAATGTGTCGCTTGAGCTTGGGTAGAGAGGACGTGCGGATAGTAGCCCTCAGCTCTTGGACAGCACTTTAGCGTTCCTCGGTGATGCATATATGAGTCATAGCACTCGTACTGTACTTTTAGGGAAGAGCCTTCCCCAGTCACGTGCTGCGGGTTATACTCCCGGTTCCCAGGTTCGGTCACCTGTGGGTTTGCTCAGAGGAAAGGTAAATAATGGTCTTGGGAAGTCCATGATGGGACATTCGCAACCAATAGTACGGCTGTTTGTTGTATTTGCCATCGAAGATAATCACCGATTGAGCAAACGGAGAATCACCGCGCAGTATGAGATGTCGCGTTTAGGATACGACTAGAAAGGAAGATGGTCATTTTTCGATTAATAGAGAAAGCATTTTTTAGGTTTCTTATAGTTCAGCGTTCTATGGGAGTGTGAGTAATATTGTAGGCCTGTAGTAGGATAACAGAAAACGGGTTACCGCTGGCCGGTACGAATCACACGCTGTTATCAACCCTAGTCTCCGTGGGAGCCTTTTAGAGATCGCTTATAAATGACTGGTGAACAATGACATAATAAATGGTCTTGAACTGCTGTAGGGTTAGTTAAAGGGTCTACAGGTGGGATATATGTTTCTTGCTAAAGCTTCACATTGTCATACAAAGAGACTCATAATTAATACAAAGCACCATAAACTATACATGACATGCAAGAATCGAAAGGGTTTGACCTGGCATTTTGTGCCTTCTATGACGCAATCGACGACACGGGAGATATAATGGCAGCCTGGTCCATGATGGCCGCCAACAAAGTCAAAATCTCCGGGAGCTCATCCCGTCCCAGACTTAAGGTGATACTCGAGTACTTTTTTTGGTTAGCTAGACTACTCTTCTTTCATGAATGGAAATTGTCATACAGTTCGATCGGGGTTAAGGCGTATGAAACACCAATTTCTAGCATTTGTGGCGATGCCCCAAACCACCTGACGGGTGCAGCCATCCCTTTCCCGGATGTTGAGAATCATCGCTAGCATCACTCATGTTAGTGGATCCAATTTTTAGACTGGATATAAAACAAACACTTACCCATATAACTCAGTGCCTGATAAAAGCCGTCTTGGTCTGACTTCTTAGCCTCAATTATGCAGATGCATGCGGCTTGATCGTGAGCATTGCGGCCGTACCAAACTGCGTAGTCCACCGCCCCTACAACGGTCTTTTTGGGGCGGTCAATGGGTATATCGACTCTAAGATTGCGCTCAAGTTGTGCCTGGACGTTGTCATGCCTTTTGATGCACCATGCCGCCTTCAGGATCGTATCGATTTTCACGCGGTTCAGCGCCTCCTTATTAGGAGCACGGCGAAAGATTTCTTTCTCGTCTCTCATCGATTCGACTATATAGGTTAGATACTTTGAGTAGTGGAGCTTGTAGGGGTTCAATTCGTACGAAGGTAAGCAGGAACTTCGACTGTGTCGTCGGGGCCGATGCCCCAGGCCTCTGGGTCTTTCATTGTGATCTCCTTTAGTTTGAAGAACTCCTCAACCTCGTTCGTGTCTATACCTGTTACAGGTATGGTGGGATAGCACTTCTCATCTTTCTGCCTCTTTCGGACCTCCTTGGCTGCCTCAAAAAGCTGCTTTATCTGCCTTTTCTGGCGTATGTCGCGAGCAACCTTCGTCACCTTCTTCTCTAACTGGGCGAACCAGTCTCGAGGAGGGGCCATTCCCGTGGCTGTATGGTAGTATAACGTGTTTGGGTCTGGGCAGGGGGGTCTGTAAAGGAACTTAGTATCTCAGGAGGCTTAATACAAGGCTCTTCGATATTCCAAGCAGATATCATATTAAACTTCTAGTTTGGACAAATGGGGCAACTACAATCCTCATGGGCCGATGATGACTTCATTCGGTGTCACTCAGTATCCATCGATTAAACCTGGGCTTCATTCGCGAGACCTACAGGTGCATAAATTACTATTCCAAGTATCATGGGAAGATAAGGCTTGGATGGGAACCTGCTCCTTATATGTCGTTGTTAGAGTTAGCTATAAATCGCATTTTCTGTACCTTGGTCGAAGCTTTCGAGTATATCATCACATTCCAATCCCACGCATGTCGGATACAGTGGCATTTGAATAAATGACACCTTGCCAGCAATAGTTGCCAACCTACCGTAGTATCTATTCCGATCATCTATGAATGCGATCAAACGCAGCTTTTTAGAAGTGATCACTTATAAAATAGGGGTTTCGGTTCTGATAGAATATACACCGATGCGAGGCTATAGTGCAATATACTTAACCTGATATGATCCTACTGGGGATCTTCAGTAGCAATTACTAGAGCACCACACTTTTAAAAGGAAGGTGAGCCTAGATATTCAACTCATAGCCCCGCCCTATGGCTTACAAAATCATGGTGTTTCGCTAGCTGAAACCCTCTTGTTATGTGATTGATGGCAATTTTTGAGTACATCAAGAGCGCATGGACCTAGGTTTATAGCAGTATAGATCGAACAATAGACCAATTCCTCGATTAAGCGATTGAAAGCCTTACAAATCTACTAATCTTTACTGGACCTTTAATCTACCATCGAGAGCGCCGATATTCTTGAAGAACTATCTTAGATTCAGATTATCGCCAGTGAGGGCATATATATAATGCGAATAGAGTAATTTACCAAGTATTTCAATGAGGCCCATGTAATAGTATGCAACCTGCTATGGTAACTGTCTAGATATTGAAGGACCGGTTGACCTCGTCGGGTTCTATAGCCGTGATAGCTATGGTAGGTAGTCCTTGCACCTTTTCTTGTCGCTTTCTTTGTCTTTTGGCTTCTGCTACCCTTCTGCGCATCTTCAATTTCTGGCCTCTACCGCGAGGAGTATTCATCAACCTCCTCTCCAACACCTCAAACCAGTCTCGGCCAGGGGCTATTTTGGGGGCTCTCAGCAGCCTTCCATCACTATCGGAGCAAATTCAGTGTCACACAGTATTCTCAAGACGCACTACTGCCCAATATGACGGGCACTCGTAAACCAGCAACCTGACCACCGTTCCATCCCCGCCCATGGCCTCTTTTACCTCTACCACGTCCGCGACCCCGTTCATTATTGACCGATAGCGGTTTTCCTCCCGAGAAGGACCGATGCTCCCAATGTGCAAGAGACCTTTTGCGGGGCGGATCATTTTGCATCGGGAGATTCAACGATAACTTTTTCCCCTTCTTCGCCCTTTTCACTTCTTTCCCGTCGTGCTTTCCCTTTGCCAGGGTGAAGCGGTCCTGTACCAAATACTGTTAGCTTAGGGGCTCTCTCAAAGAATTGCAAAAGGGCACAACAGAAGACGCATACTTGATGAGCCTAATGCCCAGGATCTGGCAGCATTCGCTTCCTTGCCGGCTTTGTCGGAGTAAACAGCGTATTTCTAGCAGTCAGGGTACTATGGACCGTCCCGCCGTGGTTCAGCCTGCTTGATGACTGTCGAAACATGGCCTGTATGATCCCACCTGCGATCTTCTCAGGCTCTTCTTGGAGATGGCCTTAATTGCTGCAAGACTCAGACGAGGCTCGTTCTCTTTGTCTGATCCCTTGCCCCTTGCCGTCGCAAAAACAGCCTTGATCGAATCAATCAATCTGCTGACATATTGTAAAGGGGATCGAGCCACACACCGCGCCGTGACGGTGCAAGGGATGCAATGCAGGGCGAAGGCCACGTCAACACAGCACCACTACGTGGATGGCTCGCCGAGGACCCTACGGCCAACGTAGTGAACAGAGATGAAGGAAATGAATGATATGATTGTCCTACGATAGGTGCGGAACTAGCTGAGCTAAATATATGAGGCATCCGGGGAAGGGACGGCTCGGAACAACGTGGCTCCTTGACCGGGTATGCACCAGAATCATTTTACAATATGTATATGGCAGTTTGGAGGGCTTGGCAGGGATGACTAAAGCACTGAATTACGTGATCTCCACGGATTCGATTGAAGGTCTTGATATTCTAACTATGCGATATAGCTCGTATTTATGCAATCCCTGGAGCTTCAAAATGATGATCAATCAACTCAACAGGAAGAAGCAATTATGTTGAATAATTGACTGATCGATTATTTCGGCTGAGCAAGGCGATAAAATGCCAGCTTAGTCAACTCCCGCGGCCACACATCCCTTCAGCGCCTTGCGAGACCTATCTGTCTTCTTGGGCTAAAATGAGGTCTTTGATGTTAACAAGATTCAACATCTTTATGAATTTGCGATATTTCTGACCCAGAAGGACTTTCATGAGACCATCAGCGATCATTCGATCGGTAGAAATCCATTCTACATATAGATTGTCTCTCTAAATTTCCTGGCGAAGCCATAATTGATAAATATCAATGTGACACAATTTAGAACATTGCTCAACATCTTTTGAATTAATCAATTGAACGGTTTGCTGATTGTCACAGGAAATGATCATTTCATGTTAAGAATCGAATCTCATAATGTTAAAAACTCTGCTCCACCAATAGGTGGCCTTTGCAGCCTCAAATAGAGCGAGAAACTCTGCTTCGATTGTGAAAATTATAATGACACGTTGTTTGTCTGATTTCCATTCAATTGGACCGTTGTATAACTTAACAAAATATCTTGCCGAATTGCGGCAGTCAGATCGATCAGCAAAGACAGCATCTAATCCGATTATTACAACTTCTTTGATGTTTGGATCGGCGGCATATTCAATCGCAAAAAATCAAGTTGCGTAAAAATAGACAATAATTCTATTCGCAATTTAAATGTGATTTAAAGACGGATTCTTCAGCGCTTTAGATAAACGATTTATTACATGTGCAATATTAGATCGTGTGATTATTGCAGAATACTAAACGGATCCTATTTTCATAGAATATTTTTTGATCTTCGTCTCTAATGCTTGATCTTCGTAAAACGAGAGATCCAAAATGTTCGATAGAAGTGTATCTGGCCATCTTATAAGATCATCCAAATGGAACTTTACAATAATATTCTCTAGATATGCATCTTGACAAAGCCAGAGCTTCCTATGAGATTTATTTCAAATAATCTTGATTCCTAAAAATCAGTTCACTTCTTTCATTTTTTGTAATTCATATTTCTTTACAAAATCTTTCTTGAATCATCTGGCGACTTCACGAACGATAAAAATAAATAAGTTGATCACAATAATGTCGTTCACATATACCAACACGATCATGTATTCATTCATGTAAAGGCATTGCTTTTCGGAAACAGATAGAAGGCCAAATTTAAGCAGAATAATGACCAAATCTTTCTGCCAAAGACGTGACAATTTGTGTAATTCGTATAGTATTTTTCTAAGCTTCCAAATCTTGCCTTTAGTATAAAAACCGTCTGGTGATCTTGTATAGATAACATCATCAAGTGTTGCATTTAAAAACGCGTTTATAACATCTTTTTGATCGATGTCAAGATCAAAAGCTGCTACAAGTGCCATGATAGCGCGGAATGCTCGCGCGAACGCTGTTGTAGCAAAATTATTAGCAATTGTGTTTCTTTCAAGGTCTCTTCTCACACAGATACGTTTTTTTGCTTTTGTGAAGTTGTCATCCTCATTGAATTTGTATGTGAAAACCCATTTGAACGAAAGAATCTGCGAATCTCGAACTTCGTTGATTTCGACAAAATCAAAAACATCCATTGCTTTGAGATTATCTACTTCAACCTGCACAACATGCAAGAATTCGTTCTTAAACAGATGTTATAATATTTCTGAATAAGAATTCGACAATAAAAAAGATTGTTTCGATATCATTATTTTCTTTTTTTCTATATCAGATCCATAACTATAAAAAAAACCTTTTCGATCTTCGAGACTTCAATAAATGATTCTAATTCAATGATTATATAACTGATGTATTGGAGATTCTTCTTTGGCTTTGGAACTCTTCTCATATGTAGAATATTCTCTTCACAAATTCCATCATCAATAAAACCTTTTTCTTTTTGTCTTCCACTCCCTGATCTCGATGAGCGTTGTGAATCGTGATCTTCCTATATTTCGAAATTATTATATTAGATGATTTGCTCAGTTGAGAGCTCAGAGCCTCTTTTTGCTGAAATAGTGATTTATAACAAATCCTGCAGAATCCGTGAAGATAATTTATCTCGTAAAAGATCATCTAAAAGCTCTAAAAATCCTGCTAAAATTGTATTGATGCAGCTTTGATCTGAAATCAAATTATAGTGAAATTCAGTATTCGGATCAGAAATCAATTGAAATATTAATAAAAATCTGATTTTATTATTTAAAACGTTGATTGAATTTTGCACATTTTCTAACAATCTCAAGATTTCTGCAGACTCTATCTGATCCGTTTCCTGTTCGAGAAAGATCCTTTCACCTCTCAATAAATCTAACATCTCTGTAGATGGCTCGGGTGACATCTCGCTAATGAAATCTTTAAGAAACGGCTGCGTGAGATCATAGAACTTTGTCTCATCAAACTCTACATTTCTTACCTCTTTAACACACTGCCTCTTCGGATTCCATATATGCCAGATATTTGAAGCCACAAATCCTAGAAGAACACCTCTATAGACGCGAAAAGCCATTTTATTGCTTCTCTCCTGATCCTGCCTCGTATAAACAATGCAATCAACTGTTCGAAATCCTGAAAGATCAGACTTTTGTTCTATAATTCTTTTATAAGAGGTTTTCCACTGCAAAGCGGCAATTGAAATGC